AATAGAAATAAAGAAATAATATTTCGTCAAGTTATTAAAATTAAAACTAAAAAATAAATCTGTCAATGAATGATGAACGATAGATATAAAATACCAGTAGAGTGGAAAAAATTTGCATCAAAGAGTAATACTTTGAGGGCTAGATAATTCCCGTTTGGAAGCTTTCAGCACTATTTATATCTTATACATATGCATATTGAATACGCATGTATTAAACATTACTCTAGTTATATTGAAGGTATTGGGCATTCATTAAATTCCTTATTTAATTAAACTAAATTCGAGCTTTAAGTGTATTAAATATACTCTAGATAAAATATAATAACGTTGAAAATTAGTTCATTGATATATAAATCTTCATTAGAGCAATATGAAAAAAAATTTGATGATAACAATAAATAATTAAAAGATTAAACTGGAAAAAATGTTTAAAATAAATCAAGTGGAAAAAGTTAAAGAATAAAATGACGTGATTTGTACCTTGACTTATTTTTTGCAAGATAGTTGTATCAAGAAGTTGTTACAGATAACTTGAAATGGTAAAAAAACAAGAACTGATATATTTGCTCATTTTTTTAATTTTTTGCTTCAGTTTGAAAAGAATCATTAAATAGACAATTTACACGAGAAATCTTTTCACCAAGTTTTCATAAAATGTCTGCAACAATAACATGATAACCACTAAAATATTCGTATATTTTCAAATATTTAGTACAAATAGTCTATTCAAAATATTTTTCACTGAATTTATATCAATATCGATTAGCCTTGGATTATCTAACTGATACTGTTGGAACCTAACATAACACAACTGCAATTTTTTTCATATTTTTAATGGATCAATAGAGCTAAAATACTATTGGAAGAACATATACTAATCCCAAGACATTAGTAGCAATCGTTTTTACGATGAAATTCATTTTACAACTGATCACCAATATAAGTTAAGATGTTAGCATAAGTTTATCAATATGAGAGTAAGTATTTCAGTGTTTAGATATAATATTCATGTTGAAAGTTAGATCATTTATTATAACTTAAAACCAGAATCATCTTATACTTATTAATAATGTATATCTGAATATATTAATATTTTCTGTTTAAAGTTGAACTTTTTAATGCTTTTCAAGAAAAAGCAAATAAACAGAGAAAAATCATAATTTACTGAATTAATAGAGTAGAGTATAGATTTATCAAAGAGTTTCTAATTTTGAGATATTTTATCTATCGAAAATATTATTCATTAAAAATTGATTGTAACAAAATAAAAACTAATGAGAAATTATTTTAAACTGATTATCAAGTGTTGATCTAAGTTTAGTAAAATTTTAAATAATTGTTATGCTAGAATGATTGACATGTTCTATAAAAAAGAATAATTTACTTAAAATTGGTAACTTTTATATTTTTCTATCTCAATTTAATCAAAAATTCAATTTACTAGTTTGCAATAGCAAGAACAAAACCTTTTTTTGTTTCTAAACATTCAAAATTACCTTAATAATTTTTTGAACATGACTGTATCTACATCACGATGTATGTTGCAGACATATATGTCAATACTTCCGGTTCACAAATGATCGATCACAAAAATAAGTCGAGTGATTTATTGCAAGCAACGCAGCTTTACTACTATTTTTCATGGGCTTCCAAGCACTGGCCACAACTAAACGAACAAACCAACTGGTTTGCTCTCTTGTATCGTTTCTATACCATTATTTCGTTCCACTCTTTTTTTATTCGTAGCTTCAATTCTAAAATTTCATTTCAATTTACAACTGACCTTTCAGTCGTTAGACGATTTTCCTGGACACAGTGGTCCAGAAACTCTATTTATGCATTGCTCTTATGAAGATCATTTATTTCTACATTTTTTCATCTTATTTTTATCTCATCTTTTTAAGCTTTTAAACATCCGCTCAAAAACATTTTCACTTCCTAGACAATTGCATTGTATTTTTCTAGCAAATGTAAAAAAACTGAAGTCTGAATGCAATTGTTTGTACTGTGCTAACACGTGAATCCCTGAGGGACTTACATTTTAGTAAAAAAAATAACTGAGTGTGTTTGTTAATACATATGTGTATTCCAAGGTACGAAATCACAAAGAAAATGAAGAAGAACTAAAAAGAAAAAAAAAACCTCACGAGCTAGCAGTTGCTAAATTGCATTAACGCTTTACAAGGATAAGTTAAATGGAGAATGCATCAGTAATTCCTTCATTCTACCTGCCTCTTGCTTTGCTGCAATTATCTACATTCACCCATAGGTTTCCAAAGGGAATATCAGTCTACTCTATTCTCTCCTCCTCGTTTTAGCAGCTACCTATACAGCCTCATTAAACCGCATGTTTCACACAACATCTTGTTGATATTGATTTCTCATATTATCAGCGAATCAATTCTCAGTTGGCCTATCTTGAGTAATCCCCCTTGCTGTCAAAGATTAAAGCTAGATGCGGGCGATGAAACTCTCTAAAATAGGCCATACTCCTCCACACACAGTAAAATTAGCTACATCATGATTATTTCTCTACACTTGTAGAAGATTTTTGCTTACCATACTATTTTAATAAAAAATAATCAACATAAAACTTGCTCAAGTTTTATTAAATATTAACTAATGTCCACAAATAAAATTAAATTCATTTAGTAGTAACTTTTTGTAGTTTTCATCAATTTTATATTATTCTGAATACTCAATATTTTATTTTAATGACTGACATAAACTTTAATCTTCTACTTACTTTAAAAGCTCATTACTTTTTATCAAATAATCATACAAAGTTTCATGGAAGCACTTAAAAATGATTAAAGATCGCATCTTTTTAGATTTAATCGTAGTTCTTTTTATTTAATTATTAAATTAGCATTGCATCCATGTTCTAACATAAAGGATTGATACAAATATATATTTTTGATTATACTAATAAGTTCAAGTGAAAATACAAGCGATGAAAGTCTTGAGTGAAATATTGAAAATAGGGCAACATCTTCTACACAGTAATATCAATTTGATTACAACTAGTATTCCCTCTCTCAAATCGAAAAGCGGGTACTATCTACTATACTGAGTGTACACCCTTTCTCTTCAGCTTCAACAACTCGTAGTCATATCCTCCTAACGTTCAGCAAGCGACCTACTTCAAAGAATCTCCAGTCATTTGGATACGATGTTCACCATTAAATCCTTAAGCTTTGATCTCATGATGTTTTCCCAGAACTTTTGCTAGCAAAATTTTGTTAAAAGGATTTCATTCCCTAGACTAGGACATTTTTTATTTCTATCATTCACCAACATCAGTCGATTGATTACAACAACCTAAAGACTTCTGATGTCCGTTGTCATACTATAGGCAAACTTCAGCTGGTTAGATGAATATTTAACGAAGTAGAGTTATCAGTTAATTAGAGCTTCGAATATAGTTCAGATACCTGCGTATCTGCCGAACAAAATGCATGAGAATTATCGGGATGAAAATTCATTCATTCAACTATCGTATCTTAATTATTGTATCGCTTGCATTATGCTTCGATTAACTTTTCCCATCTTCTCATCTTTATTTATTCTTCTTCATCAACCTAATCTTTTAACACACCATTATGTACATGGGTATTAACACCAGGCTAACTTGATTCTTCGATCAACTCATGTTGAAGGTGTTCTAGAATTGTCATAAATTATCATGAAACCATTCTAGTCATATACAATAAGATGATATGATTATAAATTTCATGAAGTTCTAATCTGCAGTCATGTTTTGGAGATTAAAAAAAAACAGAACTTGGTTTTCGGAAATAATATTTGTAGTTAAAACGCACTTGATATTTTAGAGAAGTTGGAGAGTTAATCTACGTATGGATTTGACAAAGTATATGAGCAGATTTTTGCATATTTTGAGCAGTGACACATTTTTCTCCAATACTTCATAGCTATTGGAAGTTAGCATTGCGATTTCATTTTGAAAATCAATATTAAAACTTCCGGTAACTGAGAAACTTTCCTTTAAAACTATTGAATATAAAAACTTGGTTTTGGCTTTAGTATTTGGGAAAAAACTTACTTAACTTACTTCTGGATACACTTTTTTATGAATAAAGAACATGAAGAAAAGTTTGAGTATGTTCTATTATTATCATCAACTCAATAATTATTTTTATTGTTAATACCATCGGTTTTACTATTTTCATCGGAATTAATCGCCCTAGTTTACATAATTTTTATTAAAATTTATAGAGAGTTGGATTTGAAGGGTTTCCTCTTAAGCCATTCAACTTGAGTTCAAAAATAAACCAGTATGTCCAGCTTGTGATGGATTTATTGAATGATATTTAGAGCCTATTCTCTAACTTTTATTGAATAACAAGAATTTCGCAGTAAGAATGACCTATTTTGACCATTTTAATTAAAGAAAAAATTCTGTTGTTGCTAAGTAAAAAAAGAGAACTCGCTTTTTTGTTCTCATTAGAAGAAAAAATATGAAATACTTAAGAAACGTCTCTTTCAACATACTTTGCTATTTTAATGATTCCTGTATTTAATATTTTAAGCGTTTTAAAACCTAACCCATAAGGTTTGCATTGATTGTAAACAATTTTAGTGTATATTTAAAGCATCCTATCACTTTTAACTTCAATTTAAAAATTCATATTCATGTCCAACAAAAAAACATTAAACATGAATGTTTTATTCCTCAAAATACATAAATAGTGTATAAAGCTTCATTAAACATTTTCCCTTCCTCACCAGAAAAAAAGTTCAATAACTTTTTTTCTATGTAAATTCGATTGTTACTGAGTGTCTAGCTTCTTTAGTTAATAAGAAACTGAATTCTTTATTGATAAAAATAGATAAATAATAATTAATAATTGAGTTGTATTGGAGAGAAAAGTTTAGTAAATTTGTCGACAATAAATCAACTGGTTATCTTCAAAGTCGTTCAAGTAATTTTGACAATAATCTGAAAAAAGTATTGATAAAAGATTGAGTTTTAAACTCACCCACTGTTAAGCGTGTCTGTGACTGGATAACGGGATTGTTGTTGGTTTCAGCAGCTATACCAATTGTGGTGGTCGATGTGGTTGTTGTTGTCGTTAGCAGTAGCTGTTGTTGTTGTTGTTGTTGTTGTTGCTGTTGTTGAGTTCGCCTCTCGTGATCACCTCCAGACGTGTTCGTTATCGTATTAATAGCCGATGGAGGACTTGAGGAATTTGTCGTAGCGTTTGAAGAGGGTGGCTTTGATGATGACCACGAACTGCAAGTGTCGCAACCCTCAGCTGAACGAGATGATAAACGACAGCAAGACCAACGTTTACCACTCCAAAGTCCGGCGTGAAAACGGCCTGATAATCCAGGGTTTTCACTGCACACTGTAATTAAATTTTACTATGAATAACTTGACATATGAAAATTACGTTTTTCCCAAAAATTATGTCATTAAATCTCCTTCAAGAGAGAATTAATAATAGATTAAAACGTTGAGTATTAATTTAAACTTTTTAATTATAAAATAATTAACTTTTTAACTCTACAAATATCAAAAAATTCGAGAGTGTAACTTATTTTATTAACCATGAAAAAATGTTTCGAGTAAATCATTTGTTTGAAGTAATTATAAAATTATTCAAGAACAGCATTTTTTAATATTACTTTTCTTATATTAATAAATTACTTCGTCTTGTTGTATTAATATGACTTTGCGTTATTATTATTTCTACATGAAATGCTAAACAAATACGAGAGTTAATTAATAGTTATAACTACTCCAGTGATGAAAAGTATCATTGGATACGTTATTTTATTTGATAAAAAATAAGCATTTTTTAAAAATAAAATCAACACTTCATATACAAAGATAATATAATTTTTATAAATAGATTAAAATGAATATTAATATGAATGAATTTTGATAGTCAAAAAGCATCTTAATTTTAAAAAAAATACTCTCGCCCTCTCAAAATCATTCACAGTCTTTTTAACTTATTCTTTTTATTTTTATTTCATATAAATTATTTTTTTTCTACTTATTCATCCCTGAACTTTATCCTCTTTATACAGGTATACATCAAAGCACTCTTCAACTCACTTTCTACCAAGAGCTACTATTTTTTTTATTCCTCTTTACTTGTTCAATACGAATAACGCCCTGCGGCGCGTTAACTTCGTTTCAGTCTTGTCAAAGCCACACCAAAACAACCGTGTAGTTACACTAGCCATCTGAAATGCTTTCGACCGCAAAAGTCTCGTCACTGAAACCATCAGTATATAAATCAAAAAGAGGCTTAGTTTTCTCATTGTTTTCATGCGTTTTAAAAAAAAAGCTCTACTATGCGTTTACATAAAAAAGCACGTTTTAAAACGCGTAAAGGGATACGCTTCGAGCTACACTGGCTTCGCTATTCTTCCAATTTCTACTCATTCTACGTTGTTACATAGCTCAGCCTACTTTTTTTCTATAATCATTCTGTTTCTTCCACTCCCATTCTCTCTATCTACTTTGTTGTCATCATCATCATCATCATTATCCATAAGAACCATCAGTGTTGTAAACCTCTGGTTTTATTGTTACTCATCATCCTGATAACTTTTTAGACGTGTCGTGATTGTTTTCCAATTTTACAGCATTTTGTTTCATTTGATCATTCTTTTTGTTGATATTGATTAACATTATAAATGTTAGTTAGTTCATTTATAAGACTAGAATTTTCTATGATAATTCGTCAAGTCTGTTGCATTAATTCATGATAATTATAATTTAATAATGATAATAGAGTTAAAATATCTCATATTTGGCATAATGTTTCAATTTATCATCATTGAACAAGTGTAAGTTTTATCTTCACGTAATTTTTGAAGAGTTTTAATTCATATATTTTTTTGCTGTTAAAACCTATTTCGATTATTACCTCAATTAAAGTATTTTGTATATCCTATTATCTTCTCATAACCAGCTGAAGTAATTGATGTAGAGAAACTCTTCCACTAAGTTAGTGTATAGAAATAAATGTATATGTTGGATTATAATCAATTAAAAGCAAAACGTTTTCACAATAAATAGATTATTCTAGAATTTCACTTCCTACTCTGGCATGTAATGTGGCAGAATATGTGTTTATATAACCAATCACTCACTATCCATGATAATTAAAAGATACCTATGAAAAAAGTGAAAGATTTACTAATTTGGAGTAGCTAGAATGACAGAGATGACTTTAATTATTCTTGCATTTCATACATTTTAAACCGCTTTCCACTTAAATGTTACTCTACTATTCAGACACAACCTTAAGTATAATTGCACTTTGAATTTGGATCCAAAACAAAGTAATTCACAGTACAGTTGAAAACACTTAAAGTTTAATGTAGAAGAAGTTTCAAAGGATCAAATTTAAATCCTTGATCCCAAGATTTTCTTCAGTAAACTCGATCGCATCATCGCAGCTGACAGGTTTCGTGTGAATCTCTTCCTTTCTTACTTATTTTTCCTTGTTCTTCATATCACCGGCATCTCTCTCAGCCTTTCCCGATCAGACGCGACCACAATTCCAATGCTCGTGATGATAGATACCCAAACGATAGTCTTCCGGATCCCTAAGTGCAGTGCTAGTCGACGTCGTTGGAAAAATGTGGCGTTGCATTTTCTTTTTTATTTTCAACGATACGGTCGATAGGAGTTTCAAAGTAGGAACCGATGAAAGCTCTTTTTATTGTCGTCGTCGTCGTTGTCGTCCTCATGTCGCTATACTTCACATTTTTCCTTTACTATTTTTTTATACAACGTTTTTTAGCAATTAAAGTTTTACTGAAATGAAATTGAATCTTTGATCACTTGCGCCAAAGTTTGAACTCAATACTTGTGAATTTAATTTATTAAAATATCGTTGAGAGTTTATCGTTGAACGAACCAAGCTAACTGCGTAGTTTAATTCTTTTTTCTTTGTCGTAATATTATACCAAATCAAGAAATACTTGTACGTATGTATTTTTAACCTATATATTTTTGTATAATTTACCTATCCGTTGGCTAAAAGTTCTCTTAAGAGCGGTTTCCTAATTATGCTACCTTTTTTCTCATATTCAACCCTAGTCCGCTTGCGTTTCTACCTAGCCGTTATGTTTTCTCAATCTAATCCACTAGCCTAATTAACTTTATAATTACTTTCCGCAATTTGCAAAACTCAACTCACTGAAGTTGGTGGAAATACATTCACCGAAGATGATACAATACCACTTTAATTTTATTACACTCATCTAATTTCGTAATAATTTGGAAAAAAATTAAAATGATAATTAAATAATATTCTCTGAACAATGGTAACAGAAAAATGACATGAAGAGATTTATTTTAATCTTGACTCAACATGAATATTTTTAAATTCAGTTCTTTAATAAAACATTGAATTATACATTTTTATTTCAATCCCATTTAGAAAGATTTTTTCCTTCAAGTGCTACTTCTCGTTGTAATAAAAATTCTTTATTTACTTCTGAAGCTTGTATAACTATCAGACAAATGATTGCAGAAACTTTCCGAAAGATACTTTAAGATGTCAAATAATACTTCGATTTTTCCAACACGTTACATCTTTAAAATATGAATTTGAGCTTTAGTAAAAAATTTAGTTTTATTCACGAAATTCTTTAAAAAATAATTTGATACGAATATGTAAAGAATATTCATAAAATTCATAAAATTAATTTAACTTTCATATAATTTATGTGACAATGTCGTCAATTTTATAAAAATTATGTCATACATTAATAATGAACTCAGTAAAATTCAAGAAAAATCACACTAAAACATCAAAACAAATGATTTCATGTAGCTAAGATAAATATTTGTTGACGAAAAAAAAAATATAATTAACAACATGTTGAGTACTAATGAAAACTCGGAAATGTATTTTACCACTAATTAAATTTTTTACCTAGTATGCGTTAGAAAATATAAACATTGGACTAGTGAGAAGTTTCAACATAAAATAGTGAAAGAAACAAAGAAGTAGATGAAAAACCATCCAGTAATTTCTTTAATCCTCTTTAAAGACTTTTTTCCCTTGATGTCTGTACTAAATCAAGTCTCTTATCCTTCTTGGTACAGATGAAATCCCATGGCTGAAAAAATACCCCTATTAAAGTGACGTTTAATGTTCATGAACTTGGCTTATTCACTTCTTTATTTAAAGCATTATTTTTTCAGCATAAATATCAATTTTTTAGATAAAAATATCTAACTTTTCAGCTTGACCTAAAAATAAATTTTTCAGTTAATTATGTGATACAGCAGCTTTAATAAAATTACGTTGAAAAAAATTAAGCCAACAATTGATGAATTCTTAATAACACTACCAGGTAGCTTTAATCATACATCGAGAGGGAAAGAATACTTGTAGATTCATTTAATCAAGATATATGTTACGTTCTCCTATTCTATTTGCACATGAGCCACCTGAGGGATGCACACTTCCTCACAGTGTAATTCCCCATGACGCATTTCCCATCCGGAAATTTAAGCGAAATACACAGGAGCAGCCTCTTGCACATCGTCGAACCAAATTCTATTATTTGAACTTGCCAAGAGAATGGCAAGAATGGATCTCTCATGTACATAGCTATATGTATATACTCATATGTACTGACACAGAGCACAAAGAACAGTAAGGAAAAATAAAATACTTTAATGCAGGTAGCTTTTTTCAATGAACCAAAGTTATATCGAGTTGAATAATAGACATGAAAAAATGTCATTTTAAATTTCATTATTTTCACAAATAATAAGCATTCAGTTTTAATATTCCTCTATTATTTACATTTATATCCTTGAAATTATCCTGTAATTATAATTGTATGAATGCAAAAAATACTGAATGAAATTGTAAAATCCATTTGGATTAAATAATATAATACATTTTTCTCTTAATATGTTATCTTTTTTACTTGTTCTCCATGATATTTTGACTTAAATTTACATCGTATCTTTGATCAAAGAAAGAAAATGTTCTTTTGGAAAATGATATACCAATTACAACAAACATAAACTTATTTAAAATTCAAGTCACCCTTTTTTTAAATCAATTTGAAGGAAAACTATCAAATATCAATCCACCAATTGCCTCAAATAAAACATAAGCATTACCTGCGCGAAGTGCACGAATCCACTCTGCTCGGTCTTGCTCTCGTGCTGCCAAGAGATAAAGCGTGTATTCTTGGCCAGCTTCTCGATATCCAACTTGAAACGGTAGGCCTGGGGGTATTCCACCCCCGCCTCCGGATCCTGACTCGTTACCGGCAGCCACGTCGCTGCCGCTTCCGGATCCAAGGGATGCCGTTTCCACCACGTGTACACTCTCGATAGCAATTCTACCTCTTTCCTTACGTCGCTGAAACAAAATAATAACTCTTGACAAAAATATATCACAAAACTCACAAAAGCTTTTATGCAATTTTTATTAAAAAATTTTATAAACTAGGTTAAAAAAGATGTACATGTTTGAACATGATATTATTTCATCTTTCAATATCATGTTGACATTGACAAATTATTTAACATGAAATTCAGTTTTTAAACTAAAGCAGTTTATCATTTAATGTAGATTTCTAACTACCGAGGCTATTCTGTTCTCTTTACACAAGTATCATTGATTAAATCATTTATTTACAACCACCAACTTGATATACACTGCTAAAATTTCTCTCATTCTTTTATTCTTTTATCAATCTTTTGATCAAAGTCCAGCTAACAGTAAGCAACAAAAAATCCATCACTATCTATTTGATGTTGCAAAAAACTGTAAGAGAATAAAAATAGTTCTATATCAAATATCTCAAAATTTTCTTCAGCTCTTTAAATTCTGAATTATTTTATCCAAGTATTGGTGATACTAAATTATTCAAGTAATTTTGATACGGTAATAATTATGAACAACTATGAGCAATTGGAGTAACAGAAAGCAATAGAATTTAATTAAACAATATCGTAGGTCAGTCATTAGGTCTGCTAGTGAAGCATAAAGTGATTCACTTCTGATGGTTCTAACGAGCTTTAATTAACATAGAAGTTAGGGTTACTGATTCAATCAACAAATTGATCATCGATATGAATTTTTCAAGCTGAAGATAGATTGTGAAATTTTGAAAAATCCTATTAAACGGGTCAACCAGGCAATTCTCTGGAAATGTAACGGATATACAAGTGAACGCGACGGCGCATGTCCTGGTCACTACACATCCTTTTTCCATTTACTTTATCCGAAAAAAACGATATATCTGTATCTATTTCTCCATTTCTCTCTGTTTCCTCTATTGTAGAAGAAATACATATATACAAAGTTATCTTTTTTAGATACAGTGGTACACATATCCTTTATTCTAACTGAGTTTGCTCTGCTCAATCTCTTCATCACATTTCTCTGGGTTATCATCTCATCTAGACACTTTATTGTTGTGAACATGAAAGAAAAATCTTTTTAATTCATTTTACATGACAAAAAATACTGTGTTAATTTAATTTAGATGTAAGGTTTCATTGTGACATTTTTTTCTGGTGTTAAACAATGCTTTGATTTTATCAATATTTTTAAAATTACTCTTATTAATTTATATTTGTAATTTTTAAATTTATTGACTTTCATAATACTTAATGTCTAGTCTTATACATGAATGTCAATTAGCATGTGGTTTTAACGAACATAAAAGCAGGTTGGTTTAACCGTTTTTGTCTGACTAATAGCTAAAATTGATCAGGAGCCGGCAATTGATTTACAAATACATCAAAATGATATCAAACTAAAAAAAGCAACTATCTTCAATATCATTCGTCCACAATTTAAACCTATCAACTTCTTCCCGCTTACCTCCACGTTGTCTTTGATGTTATTAGAAGTGTGATTGAATTCTATTTTCCTTTGTCACGATCCCTCGTGACAAATGACACTTTAGACAATTATTTCTTTATCACGTGGGTCACGTTTAAAACTAGTCTATGTACTTTTGCTACTTTTTATCTTATTTTTATTCTTACTGCAAAAGAAAGATGAAATTGAAGTTGAAGGGAATTTTCAAGAGCAGCTTTAAGAGTTGTTACAAATGTAACAAGCTCGTTTGTTACTTGTGCAAGTCAATTAGAGAATGAAGACAATGAGATGAGACCAAGGATACAAGAGAATTTAAAAGAGGAATTGTGTTCTGTACAATAAAAGACAACGGAGAAATGAATGTAAACTAAATGAACACAAGATTCTAATATTTAACTAGCAGCAAATATACACGATACACCATTGACAAAAGATACAAGTGCTGTGGGCCAACTGTATTTGGGACAAAATTCGTCATGAGGAAAGAGTCGAATTGTTCGTAGATCGATTGAAAACACGCGCCCGCGCGTCTGTGACACTTTATTTATATTTTATCTTCTTGATAATGTTCGATACTTGATCATCGGAAAGTTGGTATTCAGATTTAACACCTTAAAGCTCAGATAAATAGTAGAAAGTTGTAAAAATAAAGTTTTGAGCGAAAAGAATCAATCTTAATCCTCTTTGAGAAGCATCAACACCTTCTTTAGTTTTTGTTCAGTTTAAGGAAGTTTGAAATAGGATAAACGATGAGCGCGTTAACGTTGGAGAGCAGACAAACTCAGTGGCGGCTTCTGCTATCAACTGAGCCGCTGATCCGGAGATGTGTCAGGATGTGTAGAGTTTAGGAGGTGGTTCCAGAGGTGAACGAAGAAAGAGGAGGAAAGTTGGCGCTTGCGCCAATATTACGATTCTCAACTGTGTCGAGAATTGTTTCCGACATTGTCTTGTTTGGCCTGGAACACAGAAGACAAGTTTATGGTTTTGTTCTTGAATATCTTTGTTCTACAATTGGGTTAGTCTTGATGTACATAGCCATCTTTACTTGCACCAAGGTAGATGATGCTACTAATGTCTTTTAAGACCACGATTCACGGCTAGCTGCTGTATTTCCGTGTGAATAAGATATTCGCTTGAGTTATTTCGCCAAGTCATAGTACAGAGGAAATGAAAAAGGTGAGATGTACGTTTAGCTTTGGAAGTAATGAGCAAGATAAAGCTGAAGAAAAGAAAAAAAGAAGAATGTAACTAACTGCTACAACTGGACTTGTCTCGTTCAATTAAATCGTCTTCAAGCTCAATTAGATTAAATTGTACACGTTCTTTAGCATGAACGGCTTCGTTTGGCAGACGATTGAGATAGACTTGAAGATTTGCGTGTTAATCGTAGTAGTAGATCCAAATCACCTTTAATGAACTTGTTATCCTGAACATTTTCTCAACGATCTATTCCTTGTTTTTTAACTTAATTACTGCCTAAATACTAAACTGTAAATAAATATCCAAGCTATTTTATTTCGAATAATTAATTATTATAATATATCATACAATTAATCAATTCAAAACCATAGTAAATATGTTTCATTATTTATTACCTAATTTCCATGTTTCTAGGTAATGAATATTATATGATATTCCATATGAATATTATTCATTTGCACAATTGCATGATATATTATTTAAGCATATTTAGGACATATGATAAATTTATTTTATTAGAATAATATTCAAAGTTTGTTAATACTTTCAAGAATATTTACCTCTCCATCATTGTCATAATATGTGAGAAAATTTCTGGTTAAAACAAACCACCGTTGTTTAAAATTGATTGGCGTAAATCTTTTCTTATTCTGCGATCGTTTCACCATAAATCCTTGTTTCACGATTTCTCGCTTGCTCTCCACCTTCCCATCCTTCCCAACCATCCTGAGGGAAACGCGGCCTGAAAAAATACATTTCACAAATATTAAAGATGAACAAATCCAATAAAAAAACAATAATGTATTATGATTTCATAATAAGTTATCATTAGAAATAAATAAGTAAATGATATTATGAAAATTTATTATAAAATAGTGGAATTGAAATTTATTACTTGGACAAAACATTATCAACAGTTGACTCCGAAGAACTATAAGACTCCAAGATAATATTTCCTCATTCCATGATATTATTCTTGTTATTACATCGAATAACAATGTTCGTTTTCATATGAAAATTGAATGTAATAATTGGTTTTTAATGTTTGAATAATTAAAAAATGTTGATTAAAAGCAATTACAATGTATTGCTAAATGGAAAAACTTTTTGGAATGAAATTCAAAAGATATTGAATACTTCTCAAAAGTGTTATTGTGAAGCAGTTTTTGGAAGCAACTGAATAAAATTGAAATTTGTTTTTACTTTACTTTCTAATCGTATAAAATAAACAGATTCCGGCATATTTATTAATTCTTTATTACAAAAATTTTGTTATAAAGTTATTACTCAACACCAACTTTAATAAAAACTTATGGGTTATGCGTAATTACAAAAAAATATCAAGATTTAACGGTAATTTAAATGAGTAAACAAATCGGAATTCACTTTGTGGTTATCCGGAGTTTTATCATCATTTCCGTAGAGACGATAAACACGTTTTGATACGACTTTTGAAACCAAAAACACGAATGTCGCGGTAAATATAGAATAAAATAGTTCAAAATTTATTGATAAATATTATCACTTACCATGCACCCCCCTGTTTTTACAACTTAGCGATGTAAATAATTGTCAAAAACATGACCGGTACAATGTAACAACAAAAAAATCACGTGGAATTAAGGCGCGCGCGCAACTCCAATCTGTCAAACGAAAGCGTCGGAAATTCATGGCGGATTAATCGGAAGTGTGCTACAGCTCTAATCAAATTTTATTTAAAAAAGTTCTTTGTATTTTTCATTCATTAATTTTTACAAATAATTTCAATATCCTGATGCAATAAAAATTTCAAAAAATTATAATTTAAAGTAATTACCATAAATTTTTTCTTATTCTAAAGAAAATTTCATGAAAATGAAAAATAGTTTTACAGCTCTGTTGACTCATAAGTACTAGAAGAATGTGCAAAAATGGCGATAACAGTTACAGCTTGTCTGAGCTCATCTAGTAGTTTTGTTTTAATTTTATGATGATCTGAGTTTTATTTCACACACTGCTAGCTGTTTTAGGTAGAGTTGGGGGTGGGGAAAAGGATCAATCTATTTTTGGCAACTGAAGAAAACTGAAGTGAAGTTTTAAACGACTTTCAAAGTCAAATAGGTAATAAATTATGGTTCTAACCTATTCGTCTTATTTTTCACCATACTTGTTGTGGAATATGTAATAAAGAAATGAAAAATCATATTTCATTTTTCAGATAAAATACATAATATAAAAATAATTTAAAGTAGAAATTTATTGAAAAAATGGCAAACTCTGATTCAATTCAAGTTAGTTCATTACCTCTACCACCGATCCAGTACATTAATTTGTATACAGACGAAAATGTACGTCGAGGAAGAGCTCCTAGACCTCCTCCACCAATTCATGATAACTACTCGATGTTTGGCAATCTTTTTAATGCAGATGACACAATTATAAGACCTTTGGAAGCTCAAGGAATCAAAAGACTCTATCCTCAACATTTTGACAGACGTAGAGAATTGAAAAAATTGAATCATTCTCTACTTGTGAATTTTTTGGATCTAATAGATCTTTTAGTTCAGTGTCCTGATAGTCCTCGAAGAGCTGAAAAGGTATTTATTGAAACTACTGTCATCACTTTATCAGATTTTATTTCAATTGGTTTTTTTATCGAATTAACAATGTAATATGTCAGAAAGTTATAAAATTACTCCAATTCATTACATTATTGAAATAAAAAATTTAATTAAGAAATATTAATTGTATGCAGTTGGAGTGATTTAATGAAAGTCTAATAAGTTCATTTCAAGAAGCATTCCAATACTATAGTCATTTATTTTTAAAACTTGTGTAGGTGGAAGATTTAAGCCTTCTGTTCATTCACATTCATCACCTACTTAATGAATTCCGGCCACACCAAGCTAGAGAAACATTGCGAGTGATGATGGAATTACAAAAACGTCAAAGATTAGAAACTGCGATGAGATTTCAAAAACATCTGGAGAAAGTGCAAGAAATTTTACACCACGCTCTTCAAATGTTACCAGATACATCAGAATTAGATTCTAAATTAGCAATAAATACGGAAGCCATGGAATGCAGTGATAGTTTGAACTCTGAACAACAGAATGTCGATCCATGTAGTCCAAATGATAGGATAATGTGTAAAATGATTGATGAAATGATTTCTTCGAATAATCTATTTTAGTAACAAACAATAAGTTTAATTTTATTTTACTTTTATGAATAATTTGTGAATATCTTTAGAGTGATTCTATTAATAAGTTGTAAATATGATCTCATAATAATTATTAAGTACTTTTGCAAATAAATCTTATACCTACTAGGATAATAAAAATGACTAAAGGTATTTTTAGAGTATTGATAAACGTTTATTGAGACAATAAAATTAATTTAGATTGTACACAGAAAAAAAACATGAAAGTATTGAGAAGGAAGGTGAGGTAGGAGCAAAGGGTAATTGATACGAGTATTCACAAACTCACCTTACCAAACAGCTATAAAAAGAAGGAAATTTCAAAATACACACGTAAAAGGCAATCAGCCCAAACAAACATCTGCATCTGAAAAACAAAAAATATTTTCACGATAGAACTGCAAACACCTTCACCAATTTGCAGTTTAATGGCTCTGAAACAATACAAAATTGTTATTCTCTTGACCTGGATCCATGTGCTTTTATTCCATTTCCCAAACGTCGAGAAACTCTGAAAAATTATTTCAAGTTATTATTAATCAAAGAAACCACAACTATTCCAAATAATTATTTACTTTTAATTTAAAAAAATTTAATTATATATTCTGTGGGTTATCAATTGTCTACTACATTGACATATATTCATGATTATTTGGAAAATGGTTATTGTTTCTTTGACTGAAAGATAATTTCTATGAGTCATTCGATGAAAATAGCCAGCTTCGTATCACTTATGTCCCTGTTGACATAATACAAAAACAGAATATTTAAAATGGGACGGAATTTTTTGGATCGTAAAAAAAGGAAAAGGAAATTATCAAGGCTCTACAACAAATTTTCAGGAAAATACAAAATTCTTTACACTCATCATAAATTCTCGCGATGCCTCTAGTCTTCATTTCGGTTGAAAAATTATCTTCACTTTTTAACTTGTATAGTTTCTCATCACTTTCACGTTTTTAAACAATCAACAAGTATTGAAAATGCGAAAATCAATAAAAAATATATCATTTTACAATTCAATTATGCGAATCTTGCATGGAAACGTATGCATCACTAATTAAGTTTTCTTTTGGTTAATTATTGTGTCATTTCATCTAGAAATGACGAAATTATCTTCGAACTTTTTCAAATGAGGATTAATTTGTTTTTATCTTTGCAACGATGTCTCGATATTTCTACACACTTTTGTAGAATTGAAGAAGGAAATCTGCATTGACGAATTCTTCATATACATATAAATATACACAATGTTGAAAATCATCCTATTAATCATCACATTGCTTCTAAGATATTCAGTTCAGGTTCAGTTTTTGAAGTTTATACGCGGACGATGTGATATGAGTTTGATTCACATTTTTCAAGTTGACTGAAGTAATTAATATGAATTTTTCCTCCAAGTTCCTCGCCCTCGTGGTCTGAATCCCCGTCCACCAGATCTATTTCCTCGGAATCGTCCACGATTACCTATTAAAAATATAATTTCCAAATTTTAGATGTATCTATGAAAGTTTTTTATAAAAAATACTATCATAAGATCAATTAATAATTTTGTGATCTGTTATTTAGAATTGATTTGAAAAATACATGTAATTATTTTTTTTGAATATTTCTATAACTTACCATAATTCGATGAGATGTTTGAACTGTATTTTCCACTAGGTGGGGTGTAAATTTCCCGTTTTCCACCCTTATTCTCTTCTTTTCCACGTTTGATTGGACTATTTCCATTGCCAAATGTTATAGGAGTATGTCTTTTTTGAGCTGAATTTGATTTCTCATTCTAAAATTAAACATTTACATTAGTTATAACAACTAGCGAACATATTAATTAAAAATATATAATAATTTAAATAATTCCTTAAAATTAATCAAATTAAAGAGCTATAATACTAATACGTAATGAATATTTATATATACCTTTTTGTCAACGATGGGAGTTTTCCATGAAAGATGAATAATACTCTTAAAACTTGGTGGTGAATGAAACAGATCCTTGATAAGAGTATTGATGTTACTGGTTGTTTTTAAAGCAACAACTTTTAATTGGTTTTCGTCTGTCTTCAAGTCATCTTCACTTTTGCCGCTAATTGCTTCGCGTAGTTTTTTGATATATCCTTGTATCCCACGTGCGAAATACTGTAATCTTAACCTAAATTCTTTCAACTGTTCTGGATCCTTGATCAAAAATTCCGGAGTCTGTTTACATAACTTATGGAACGCATACATGAGGCATTCAACATGACTGAATTGTAACTTTGGTACGTCAGAAATGTCTGAATCAGGAGGAAGCGGCATATAAGTCTGAAAGAAACAAAAATTAAATGTAGAAATGTAGCCATTATTATACTGATGCTTAGTTATATTTAATAATAATAATTACTTACAATCAAAGCATTATATAACTGTTGTACTTTTTCTTCTGGTTTTTCAATATTTCCGCAAAATGCAACTAGTTCTGCCAATAGTTTCAGAATTTCCAATTGGGCATCACGACCATCAGGTGCCGTGATCAAGGATAAATGTGGAAGAACTTGCATGCAAATGTATGAAACATATCTTGAAGAATCAATTTGAGCCTGTAAAATAATTAATTGTTGAATTAAATTTCCATCATCATTAAGTAGTATATAATCAATAAGTCTTTCAGAAATAAACTTACACTGAAGTGCGGAAGTGCATGTTTAATACATTGTACAAGTTTATCCCATTGTTCTAAGTTGTCATGTTTAAATGGAATCGAAAGTTCTGCTTGTTCTATGGTCATCTCAATGAGTTCCCGTTGTCCTGCTAATGTTGATCCTAATCGGGTCCATGCCAACATTTCCATGATACTGTGGAATTCCTCAGCAGTTACATCCTAATAAATGAATAATTAAGTTAGTTGATTTTGAATAACTTATAAAAAGATATAGTAATAATGAAAAAACCTTACGTTTAAAACTTTTTTACACTCAACAATGAGTAAGTCTTCAGGTTCCTTCGTTATTACATCATGTCCAAGTGCTTTCAACTTCGTAGCTAAGAATTTAATACAGCAATCGCGTGTAGCATCACATCCATTGAGAATTTGACTGAAAAATCCACTCAATGTTCCTGTTGTAAAGAGAAAAAAAACAATTATTATGAAACTGATGGAAAACGATAACTTAATGATTATCATTAAATTGACGGCTATGAAAAATACATTTCCGTCATACCCGCACGGAAAGTTCACTTTTCCATTGGAGAGGGGTTGAACTTTCCACGCAGGTATGACGAAAAATCATATTCAGCCCTAGAGAAGACAATTGGACTAGCTTAAACCACGTGTTTACTACCCTCGCCTTCGGCTCGGGTTGTAATTTTACACGTGGTTTGAGCTAGACTACTTTCCCTCCCTAGGTGTGAAATGTACTATAAAAATAGAAATTTTATTACCTTTTGGGTCATTCTTCATCAACGACATAATACTATTATGAACAACTGCTAGCTCTGTAGGATCTTGGGCTTGTAGGAGTTGAGCTAAAATATCAGCAATCCGTGGGGTATGTTCTTTATTGTCTTTACATAACGCTGGTAAATCCTTAATTGCTTGTTTTCTTATCTATGGGCATAATTAAATTATTTGTTAAGATATTAAAAGTTAGTTAACAAAATAATATTGAATTTTGAATTTCTAAATACCAACAATTAATAACGTCATTTACTTACAGCCATATCTTCATCTTCACAAAGATCCAAGTGGGCTTCAATTGCTTGATCTGCTAACTTAGGGAAGTGTTTAAAAAACCTTGCAATAAATTGTGACGCCAATCGTTTTTCTTTAGCTGTTCCCTTAACTGCAGTTAGTATTTCCAAATACTCTTTCTCATGCTGAAAAAATTATTTATTAATAAATCACATGTAAACGTAAATATATGTAAGAATACGTATGCGTAAGATAATTATGAAGGCATCATACCTCGGACAGTTTGTCTTTGGCGTCAGCTAAGATGCCAAAATTTTTGTATAACTTTTCAATACTGTCAGTACTCATTGTTTTAAAATAAATAGTTTTTAATTATTGTAAAAACACAAATCTACGTATACTTAATAAATTCTTATTATTGAATTGAAAATCCAAATAACCGGTAAACGCTGTAACAGCACGAAAGTACCACGACAAAAATGGACGCACAACCCACGCTCACGAAGACTAGAGAGATCTAGTATGTGTATAGTCAAAGAATGTAGTCAGACTGAGAAGAGTTCCTCAATTGCTTCAATGCTTTCCGGTTCCCCACCACTGATTTTCTACCCCTTCTACCACGTTTTTCGCTACTGCGCAAGCGCACAAGAGCACATGAGGAACTCTCTTCTCAGTCCGACTATACCTTAGTATTCTTTGCTATAGTCTTCATTTTAATGAACCCGAGTATACTATAAGTTATGTATTATACAACATTAAATGCCTCTAGTGGCATATTTATGAAGTATGAAATTTTCATTTATCATTTCATCATCAGGCGGTAAATTAATTTTGACAAATTAATTTTAACTCGTGCATCTATTTACCTGACTACGTTGTAAAAAAAACGTTCAAAATGCTTTAATTAGTTGATAAATGAATTCCGAAGTGAATCGTTTTTTTTTAAACTTTTTATTATGTAATTTAATTGATTATTGACACTATATTGGAAACTGGAAAATATCTCCCAAAAAAACAATATGAATTTCATGCATACATTTTTACTTGCTTATTATGGATAATTTTTCTTTTTATTTATTATGTATAATAATTTTACTTGCTTATTATGTGCAATAATCCATTCCAAAATTGAATAAAAAATATTTCGATAAATTTATATTTCAAATTTTTGTTTAATATCTTAGTAGAGTTATTCTTTTAATTTGATACTTTAAAAATTTTTTTTACTAATCATCTAAGAGCGTCAGGAAAATGTAAACAATACCGACTGTTGCTCGATCATCATTGGTAAAATAAATTTCTTCATGCCAACTTCCTCTAACGAGTGTTTTGCGCTTCCGCTTATGGCGACAATTTCTTTCCCTGAAGTACTGGATACTTAGCAAGATGGGTATGTATACATTTTTGTGCCTTTTAATAGAATAAAGTGTTTTTTAATTGAATATTAGTGTAATACTGTAAATGAATTTATTCTAATCATCAAAAAATATGAAATGTGACAAATATATATCAATATAAAGTGTGATATTCAAATGAGAACAGTAGTGAGGTTATGTTTCACTATGCTACACGAGGCTTTTCGGTGAAATATTGTTGCAAACAATTAAATTAACAATATTTATGTTCAATAAGAGAAAAAATAATTGAAATAACTGAATTTTTTTATTTCCAGGTAAACCTAGAGGTCTTCGTACAGCTCGTAAACACGTAAATCACAGACGTGAACAACGTTGGAACGATAAAGACTACAAAAAAGCTCATCTTGGAACTCGTTGGAAGGCTAATCCTTTCGGAGGAGCTTCTCATGCTAAAGGAATCGTCCTTGAAAAAGTGTAAATTTTTTTACTTCAAGATACATTTTTTGCATGTTAATTTGATACTAGTGAACTTTATTTTCAAAATAAATAAATGAAAGTTATTGAATTGGAGTAATAATGATCATAATTTTGTTCCCTACAGAGGAGTCGAAGCTAAACAGCCCAACTCTGCTATTCGCAAATGCGTCAGAGTACAATTGATTAAGAATGGTAAAAAAATCACAGCATTCGTTCCCCGGGACGGTTGTCTGAATAATATTGAAGAAAACGACGAAGTTCTAGTTGCTGGATTCGGTCGTAAAGGTCATGCTGTTGGTGATATTCCCGGAGTTCGTTTTAAGGTCATTAAAGTGGCCAATGTGTCTTTACTTGCGTTATATAAAGAAAAGAAAGAGCGACCTAGATCTTAAGGATAACATGTATTCCATGTGTTTTTAATAATCACTAAACATTCAATTATTTAATCATTTGTTTTTTATTAGTCTCTTTCCCTCGTTTATAAATTAAAACATTTATTTTACACATAATCGTATCAAAAATTTATTGAAAAAAATATATACACAAATGATATTTTTTTAATTAATTAAACTCAGTTATATTGAGTAGATACTGTTTCTAATTCAGTGACCACTTCTTGAACGATATCATCAATAGGATTTTCTTTTAAAGCTGGTCCTTTTGATATGACAGTTTGTGATATATTCGCTTCATTGTCCAATACCTATTCAATATTGCAAATAATTATTTTTATCTGTCAACTTCACCATAATAATTATTTATTATTTTAGTAGCTTGAGTGTACCTCTGTCACTGTATTGAATTGTTGAGGAATAGTTTCCATATACTTATCAATAAAATTAGTATTTTTAGAGAGTTGCCGATCATCATTTTTAATGCTTATCGATTTAAATGACTCATAAAATTCTTCTAAAACTAACGGTCCATTATTTTCCATTTTAATATTATTTGCATTATGTTCTCCATTTTCATGTCGTAACGTATCAGTCTAAAAAATTTGAAACCACACAGAAAATAAATTAGAACAATTTACATAATCACAAATAATAAAAAGGCGTATTTAAAATTAAAACAATTACCTCATCTCTTGACACTTAATTCTTCACTTCCATTTCTAGCTTCTTTTATATTTTGTTCAACTCTTTCCATGAATTCTTCAACGGCTTTGTATTTTAAATTTCCAGTGTATTTAGACGCAGCTGGAATTATGTTAGTCGAACTATTACAATATTTTATTGCAATGTCCCAAGGTGAATCTAATGGTTCTTGACTTTGGTCAAAGCCATTCATCACAAAGTGAGTCAATCGGACCAGAGTATCCAATTGGTCTTTTAGAGAACATTCACCCTATGAGTGAAATAAATATAATTACATAATTTATATCAATAATATCCAACAACGATATTTTTTAACAATTATACAAGAGATACAAACCAATAATGCTTCCCTGTTAGTACAAACACCCAACTCTGTGTACCATTGTACGATAGAAGCTGAGAAGAAGAAAATACATTTATTATTTACACTATGTTATTACAGTAACAAACTATCATTAATTTAAATAAATGATAAAATATATAGACATAAGATATAAATGAAAACAATGAATCTCAATTGCTCCAATGTAGTTTGTGATGAATTTTAAATTAGGGATGAAAATGAAATTGATGAATTATGTTGATGAACCAACGCACTTATAGAATAAACAATTAATTTGCATAAAACAAAAGGAAAATTACTTTCGTCATCTGATGGTGGATTGGAATTAGGATCACCAATACTTAGGCTGTGACTAGCTAGCCAATGTAGCATAGGAATCCTATTATTTTTAGCAACAGTGGATTCTAGATTACTGATATCAACTTGTGCTATTCCAGGATAACGTATCAACACCAAAGCTTCATATAAATTACTTATAACTTCATTAATGTTATTCATTTTGATCAACTAGTAATATAAACAAGATAGGTTATATGTATTGATTTTACAGAATTTGAAAGCAGCAATGTGAACTTTCGAATGATTATTTTTATTATCAAATAAATTTAAACTTAAACAAAATAAAAAATGCTTAATAAAGATGATTCATCTTTAATAAAAATTTTCTTTCTACCTCTGATAATTTATTTAATCGAATAATAAAAATCGAAGCACTTCATAATTAGGAACAAAAAGGAGCTATTTACTCTAAAGTCTGTAGATGGAGATGTAAGACCATTCCAATCGACGAATCCTGATTTACTTATAGTAATTTAAACAATTTATGATTTATAATTAAATAAAACATTTACTTATTTAAAAAAAATGCAATTTTTCTATTTGTAATTTGTTTTAAAAATAGTACGTTTATTATGTACAAAAAAAACATCAATCCCAAAGAAAAGTTAAATTTATATTCAAAAATACTTATAATAATTAACTAATGAATTTACAGTAAAAAATTATTATTTAAAGAATCTTAATGTAACAAAAAAACAAAGCTAATTTAAAATCAGTTTCTAAAATTTTAAATAATTTTTGAATCACGTGACTGTTTCACGAACGCCATCTACTTCTATACACACGGCGTAAAACAATTTTTAAGTTTCAAACGGTTTGACATGTTTTTAAATTATTCTTAAATATTTCATAATGAATTTGGATAATTTTCCATTTTTTAACAAAATTATTAAAAGAAATAAAAGTAATACTATTGAGAATATTCGTCATGATGTTGAAACAAATGATCATTCGAAACCTCTTGATGAGCTTCTAGAAGAATTAGATGTAGATCCTAATGTAGGATTATCAATGAAAAAAGCTCATGAGTTGTTGAAAAAAAATGGACCAAATTCTTTGACACCTCCTATTAAATCATCAGAAATTGCAAAACTTATTCGATGCTGCTGTGGTGGTTTTTCATTTCTTATATGGGTGAATCATAAAATTTAGAGATTTATAGTAGACTCGAGAGTTAAATTACATCAAACAAAAAATACTACTCTATCAATAAATACCTAAAAACTATTTACTAATAGGTAAATTTTTACAGATTGGATCATTTTTATGTTTTGGAAGCTACATAATCGAAGTTCACACACACACAGATGCATCTCAAGATCACTTATGGCTTGGAGTTGTTCTAATTGTTTTAATAATGGTCACAGGGATGTTCAGTTATTATCAGCAGGCAAAAAGCTCGAAGATTATGCAGTCATTTAATGATATGTTACCACAACAAGCAAAAATATTGAGAGATGGAGAAATAATGGTGATTGGAGTAACAGAATTAGTTGTTGGAGACATTGTCCTTCTCGAAACTGGTGACCGAGTACCTGCTGATATTAGAATACTGGAATGTCAAGGTCTACGGATTTTCTTTTATTTATTTATTTTTTATAATACGCCCTCGACTTTCTCCTTCATTCTCATGTTACTTTTGAAGGTCTTAAGGTCGACAACTCTTCAATTACTGGAGAATCAATTGCGCTATTAAGATCTGCACAAGCTTCTGAAGGTAGTGTTCTTGAAGCGAGAAATATGGCTTTCTTTTCAACAAATGCAGTAGAAGGTGATTTATAACATTTATTACGTGTCCTTAAAAATACTCTTTTATATTGAAAAAAAATCATATTTATCTTTTAGTAATTTAAAAACAATTTATTCAATAACTGATGATTTGAAAAGCTTTAATTGCATAATAATGCATCATTAAATAATGATATGATTGTTGATTATTAATTGTACACTAAAAGTAAAGCTTTATTTAATTCATGTCAACCAACCAAAAAAATTCCACATTCTTCAGTAAACAAGTTTTCATAATTTGTTTTTATTTTAAGGAACCGGAAAGGGGGTTGTGGTAGCTTGTGGAGATCACACGGTAATGGGCAGAGTGGCAAAATTAACTTCTAGATTGTCCTCAAGGCCAACACCATTGTCCCGCGAAATAGACTATTTTATGCGCTGCATATCATGTTGGGCAATTTTCCTGGGAGTTTTTTGCTTTTCCATGTCATTAGCAGTTGGTTATGGATGGATGAATTCTATTCTTTTTTTGATTGGAATAATAGTAGCTAACATTCCGGAAGGTCTGTTGGCTACTGTAACTGTCAGTTTGACACTAACGGCAAAAAAAATGGCAAATCTGAACTGTTTAGTTAAAAATTTAGAACCTATTGAAACTCTTGGGTGCACTGCAGTTATTTGTACGGATAAAACTGGTACATTAACTCAAAATAAAATGACAGTAAGTCACTTTGATAATAATTGTTATTTTATCGCATATCACATTCAATAATGATATATTTATTTATTATCAGGTTAGACATTTTTGGTATGATGGAAAATTAAGAGAAGTTATGGTCTCTGACACTTGGAGAAAATATGCTAATGATCTAGGCTTTAGAAATATTGCAAGAGTTGCGAGCCTCTGTAATCGAGCACAATGGGCGCCTACTTCTGGTCCTCCTCTTCCTTTTAGAAAACGTAAAGCTCTCGGTGATGCATCTGATATTGCTCTTTTCAAGTGCATGGAAATTCTTATAAGAGGCGGTGTGAATACCTTTCGAAATAACTATATAAAAGTATGTACTTTAAGATTTGTTGTTATTTTTTCTTTCTTATATTCAACATTTCTTTGTAGTAAAAAATAATAGAATTAAAAATAAAAAAATTCTTTTATTCAGGTTTTTGAAATACCGTTCAACTCAACAGATAAATTTCAAGTCAGCATTCATATGTTTCGAAATCGTCATGTACTTTTTCTCAAAGGAGCACCTGAAAGAGTCTTGGAACGGTGTTCAAAGGTAGCTTTTTCAAACACTACAAAGGACTTGACAGAAGATGTAAAGAATGCATATACTGAGTCGTGCTACGAGCTTGGAAGAAATGGAGAAAGAGTTTTAGGCTTTGCAGATTTAGAATTGTCAGACGTTTCGTTTCCACCTGATTATGAATTTCAAGCAGATCCACCTAATTTTCCACTTGAGAATTTGCGATTGGTAATTTATTCGTTCATAACAATAAAATTCAGTATAATTTTTTACATAAAAAAATAAACTTAAAAAGAAATATCACAACATTTTTAATAATTTTTATTAGATTGGTTTGATCGCTATGATGGATCCTCCAAGAGCATCAGTACCCGATGCAGTTTATAAATGTCGTTGCGCTGGAATTAAAGTAATAATGGTAACAGGAGATCATCCTGACACTGCCCAAGCAATTGCAAAGTTCGTGGGAATTATTACTGATGATTATGATGATGATTCTGAACGATCTATCGTAATTACTGGAACTGAGTTGAAAAACCTAGACTCGGATCAATTAGATACAATGATTAAACGCTACCCAGAAATAGTTTTTGCAAGAACATCACCGGTTCAAAAGCTTCAAATCGTTGAGAGTTGTCAGAGATTGCATTTGATCACGGCTGTAACTGGAGATGGTGTCAATGACTCTCCGGCATTGAAACAGGCTGATATTGGAGTTTCTATGGGAATTACAGGTATTGTAAAAATGAAATTTAAACATCTTCGAAACGAATTAAATGAAAATAATAAATAATTACCATTAATATGATGTGCAGGATCCGATGTGAGCAAAGAAGTAGCTGATTTAATTCTTCTTGATGATAATTTTGCATCAATCATAACTGGTATTGAAGAAGGAAGAAGAGTCTTTGACAATTTAAAATCAAGTATTGCTTATACACTTGCCAGTAATGTACCTGAAATCACGCCTTTCTTAGCTTTCATTACTTTGGGAATTCCTTTACCTGTGGGTCTTATTTGCATTCTGTGCATTGATCTTGGTACAGATATGTGGCCAGCTATTTCTTTGGCTTATGAAAAATCAGAAAGCGATATAATGTTAAGGTAAATATATTGAATATGATATGTTATTTAATTGAAAAACTTGAAATAATAGCTTTTATCTCATTATTATCAATAGTCAATTAAATAAAAACCATTCTTCATTACTGTTACAGACCACCGAGAATTCCTCACATGGATCATCTAGTAAACAGAAAGCTAGTCTTCATGGCCTATGGACAAATAGGGATTATTGAAGCTGCAGCAGGTTTTTTCACCTACTTGGTTGTGATGGCAGAGCACGGCTTTTTACCACAAAGTTTGCTTGGTTTGCGAGACCACTGGGACAGTGTTGCAGTAAATAATCTGAAGGACAGTTACGGTCAAGAGTGGACTTATGAAGAACGGAAGGTCCTTGAATATACTTGTCATACAGCTTTCTTCGTAGCAATAGTCATTGTTCAAGTGGCGGATGTAATTATTTGCAAAACCCGCAGAAATTCTATCTTTCACCAAGGAATGAACAATTGGGTGCTAAATCTAGGAATTTTGTCTGAAATAGCTCTAGCCTGTGTAGTTTCTTATGCTCCCCACATGGATGTTTACCTTAAAACATATCCTTTGAGAGCTGCTTGGTGGCTAACTGGTGTTCCTTTTGCAATAATAATTTTTGTTTATGATGAATTAAGAAAACTTTGGATCCGAAAACATCCTGGTGGTTGGTGGGACCGTGAGACATCCTATTGAAAGAACAAAATTATTTTAGAATAAAATGAAGGATTTTTGAAGATGTTATTTTTTTTTGTTAAATTAATGCATTCAATGGTGTATATACATTCCTGAGCATAGCAGATGTTGTAACTCGTCGCCATGCACGGACAGATTGAAGTGGGGGAGGCATATAAGATCCTGAGTGACTCCGTGAGCTGCCCCAGTAGTCTCTAGTCATCATCCTGCCTTACATCTACCACCAACTTTCAACGTTATCATCTGATCAACAACTATTTTGACTACCCTCATCCGTCAGGATGAAGATGCAGGTTTTTTATCTCCTGGTCATTTACCTCGGTGAGTCACCATAGACTTTCCAATGTTTCCTTCAACTTAGGCCTAAAAGAGTGTGACCTCATTAATCCTCTCTCTTTCATTTTTCTATTCTACACAATAATTATTTTCTATTTAACAAAAGCCTACACACAATTGTCCTATTGCTGAGTAATAGATGATCAAATTTTTTTGTGTTCAATTTTAACAAGAAAAAGTGTTTCGATTATTAAATTAACTAGTCCCCAACGTTAAGTAGAGCCAGAAAAATGGAAAGTAGCCGATAGAGAAAGACTTTGATCACTTTCTTTTTTTCTTTATTGTTGAGAAAGAATATTGATCAATCTCTATCTAATTTTTACGTGGATTATTTAGAAAAAAGATTCATTGTTCAATTCATATTCATTTTATTATTTCTCATGTTTAGAATGCGTTGGTTTTTCCACTCAACAAGTTTCTATTTTGTTTATACACAGTCCATTCCGGTTTCGTTTTTTTTAATTCTTGAACTTTTTACTGTCTTTATGATAAGCGGTTCTTAATATAATTTAACTACTTGTTTTATTTATCCTAAAAAAATTTTTTTGTTAATTTTTAAAACTAAGCAATAACAAGAGGCATAGCGATCACAATAAATTTTTTTTATTTAGGTGTGTCAAGTACATCCGCATTACTTGGCATGTCCTTCGATATATTTTTTAAGTAAATAGTATATCATTACCATAATAATGCTAAAATAATTTTATAACCTTGCAGGGGCAACAACTGCACTAACAAGAAAGCAAGAAGCTGCTGAGCAGAATCGTAGGAGAGTGGCTGGACCTGGATTAAGGAGATCACCAACAACAGCAGCTCCAATCCAGGACGATACCCTCTATGAATATGAAGAAGTAGAACTGCCTCTGCAATGTCCAGAACCAAATGGATACTTTCCTGATCCCGAGCAGTGTGACAAGTATTATGATTGCCGAGATGGAAAGTTTGTTGAGAAACTTTGTCCAGATGGATTGGTTTTTAATGACTTCAGTCCTCAGCATGAAAAATGTGATCTTCCTTTCGGAATTGATTGCTCTAAACGACCTAAAAGACGTAAGGATCTTTCGTGAAAAGCAATCTATGAAAAATCTTATGAATTATGATCCAAAAGTATTCTATTCTTGCATTTTGTTTTAATAACTTTATTGAAATAGTCGTTTATATTTCCTATAACATTCAAATTGTGCTTTATTCATTTTTTTAAATCAACTTTTAATTAAATGTACTATTTTATCCTCAAATTTTTATTTATTTAAAAAAATTAAAAGTTAATTCATTATTTTTGTAGAATCAAGTTTTGCTTTAAAATGAAATATTAATAATTAATCTACATAATTTTATGTTTGCATGGTTTATATTAATAACGATTTATTATTAATCCATTTTTTGTTTATATAGAACCACCACAACCCTCTCACCACTGTCCAAGGCTCCATGGTTATTTTGCTCACGAAGATGCTCGAATTTGTGACACCTTTTACTATTGCGTAGAAGGCAAATTCAACATGATTACATGTCCTGCTGGTCTCGTCTTCTCCGAGAAAACTGGAATTTGTAATTGGCCTGATGAAGCACAAAAGAAAGGCTGCGGTTCTCGAGAATTATTCAATTTTACTTGTCCTAAAGTTAATGAGACTGTAGCAGCCACTCATCCAAGATATCCTGATGTTGAAGATTGTCAATATTTCTTTGTTTGTGTTAATGGAGAAATCCCCCGAAGAAGTGGTTGTAAACTTGGCCAAGCCTTTGACGAACGTACAAGCAAGTGTGATTGGGCTAGAAAAATCCCTGAATGGTACACACATTTATTTTAATTATTTAAACATTTTAAGATTAAAATCAGATTTCATAGCTTCTTAATTAAATTGTATTCTTTGAAAATTACAGCAAAGATTGGTACAAAGGTCAACTAACTGATGAGGAATTGGATGCTCTTGAGAATCCAGTCTTAAGGATTAGATCAGAATCAAATAGAAGAAAAGGCAGACCAACAACAGAGAGCACAATATAAAAAGTGGATTGAATGTATATATGAAAGCTATGATAATTTTCTTAATTGTTAAACAATTTTGTACAATAAAAATCCATCATAAAATCTATAATACTAATTTAAAGATTCATTTTTAGACCGATAAACCGTTATTAAAATTATTTTGTAGAATTTAAAAGGACATTACTAATAACAATAATTTCAATTCATTAAAGAAAAATATAAATCATTGTTATTAATTGAAAAAAATTTCTTAGAAGAAAAGTTTCTGTTTTTAAGTTCAATCAACTGAATTATTTTAATCAAATGTTTCACTTTTTACTTTCAATTTTTTCAATTTGAAAGAAAACTACGATGAAAATCTCTTGGATTAAGAACATGATATTTGAGTCTGTTCACGCGCATCAAGGTGTGGCGTGATCTCTTCGACTTTCGTTGGAGAAAACAAGCAAGAAAGACAGGATAAGTTATTTAAGGAGAAAGAGAAAGGTCAAAGGAACGGATGCATGAGTGAAGAGAGACTTGAAGAGACATATTATAATATAGAAACGTTGAAAACTTTAAGAGTGAGGGTAAAAGTTGATGCTGGATAAACTATAGCTCTGTCTTCCTATATCTTTGTTTTGCAAGCATCTCAATTCAAAAGCCATCGACAGTGAAGGTGGGGAAATGGATGATAGTGGGGCTGGCCAGGGTATACCCAGAGGAGAGCTAACGACGGGACAGTATCTCGTGGCCAGAGGAAAACTTTATTTCAAGTGTCACCTAACAAAACGAAAGATTTATTAAAAAATTCTAGTGTTATTAAGCTGATTCTCAGCTCCAAAATTTTCAAAATGTCCTATTATTTGATTATCTTTTCAATTATTTCTATTTTTTCTACTGCTAGTGAGTATAAATTAATAATTCATGACAATAATAAATTATTAATCAATAATCGAATTTAAATAAGATAAATATTTTTAAAATAGTTATATATTACACTGAATTTGAATGTTAATTTTCAAATAAACATTAGAATATTTAATATCAGAAAATACTTCCGTCTTACAGTAGCAAGCTATTCAGGTAAACTAGGAGACAGTTGATGTTGAACTTTCTAAAGTGTAAATGTCAGTGCTGTCTCCTTGTTTCCGAGTTTAAGGATTGCATAAGACAACATTAGATTATATTGAGAATTATATAATAACTTGAAAATGATAATTGATTAGCATTTTATCGATAAAAAAATCTTTATCGATGCATATATTAAATGAGAAATCGATTAAATTAATTTTTATGTTGTCAAAAATTGTATAAAAAAATCTTTAAAAACCGTAATTAATTGAAATTCTTGGAAATAGGTGCTGCTTTCTCTTGCCCAAAAGACGATGGCCAATTTGAAGATCCAGTTCAATGCGATAAATACTACGAATGTGAAGATGGTGTTGCAACAGAAAAATACTGTCCTGATGGCTTGGTATTTGATCCTTTCAATCGCAAAATAAATAAATGTGATCACATATTCAACGTCGATTGTAAAGATCGCTTGGAATTACGTGAGTAAATTATCTAATTGCCCTTTCATTTCTTCATTACTAATTCACTTAGTAATTCTTTCACGAGAATCAAATTCTCAGAATAAAAGTAACGGTTTTTTTTCATTTTTGTAGAACCACCACAGCCAAAAGGAAATTGCCCGAGAAGAAATGGATTTTTCGCTCACCCAGATCCTTCAGTTTGCAATATTTTCTACAATTGCATTGATGGTGAGGCTATTGAAGTTAAATGTACGACTGGATTACACTTTGATGAATTCAGTGGCACTTGTGTATGGCCGGACTCTGCTGCTCGTGAGGTAATCTACAACATTAATAATTTATAATTATTTTTACTAATTATAACTCTACTGAAATTCACATAAGATTTTTTTGATTACCTTACGCTTTGAAGTCATGAAGATAATTTGTTCGAATAACTCCAATTTTCTCACTAAAAAAATCTGTTCAAAAAATGACTTGACGTGTTTTAAGAATTAAATCACGATAATTAAAAATTTCGAAATAAAGAATATGAGAAAATAATTGATTCATTAACTTTTAATGAACACTTTTAATTGGTTAGTGACTCATTATTAATTTAAAAATGTGCTTACAGGGCTGTATTGATCCAGCGAAAAAATTAAAGGATGGTTTTGAATGTCCAAAAGAACGTCAAACAGACACAAGAGGTATGCTTGTTGATCATCCTAAATATCCTCATCCTAGCGACTGTCAAAAATTCTATGTTTGTTTGAATGGAGTGACACCACGTGAACAAGGTTGTAATGAAGGTACTGTGTATAACAGTATCGAACAAAAATGTGATGATCCACGAAATGTTAAAGAATGGTATGTGTTTCTTTTTAGATTTATTTGTTAAAATTACTTGAAATTATTGATATAATTTTGGATTAATTTAAATTTTAGTGAGGATTGGTACCAAGATAAGTCGGGAGAAGCTTAAAGACTTCCGAAGTTTTCATCTGTCCCGCATCGGGATCTAAACTGCGTTGTGTTTCCATCATCAGTAAAACTCTGATTACAACGCAAAAATTAATTATTAATTTGTAAATGTTCTTATTTTTAATAAAACTGTTTGCTAACTTTAAAATAAAAATGATATTGAGAGAGAAATTTGAAAGTAGAATAACATAGAGTTGAATGTGATGTAAATAAGTTTCCTTAACATTTCTAACCGTAAGACTAGTTGACTTCCGGAGAGTGATATATTGCACAGACTAGTTTTACTTCACTTCAAATCGTTATTTCTTTTCCACAATCGCTTTCACCTTCCTTTGATAAAAGCTGAATTCTTTATTCTTACCGGAATATTTTTTCTTAATTTAGAGCAAGTTGCCTTCATGCTTCAATTAATCCTGTAGACAAGACTGGAAGCTGATTATACTTTCCTTCTTGTCTGGGTCAGTGGCGGACCTTGAAATGTTGCAGGGTGTTGATTGACATTCGACGGTCGCTAAAGGGAAAGTCTTCCTCCTTCAAGAACCCCAAGTTCAATTATACTTGAAGATTATTTATTGCTTTGAAAAAATTTGAAAAAAAAATTTTAAGAAAGTAGGTCAGTGCAATTGCAACTGGTTGAAATGTACAAAGATTCCAATGATAAATTTCATGGCTAAAGAAAAAGCGATCGTTTAAATGGTGAGATCTTTTTACATAATGCTAAAGTGATGCAATGCTTGAGTGATTGAAGGGTCAAAAAACTTGAATAACTCTTGGATTTCCTTATTGAACATCAACTTTGTAAGCAAAATGAATAAGCGTTGATGTAGACATACAGATAGCTGATACATACTTAGACGAAGGAAAACATGATGTGCAGCTTAAGAGAGGCGAGAGGAGTTTTGGCGAAAGGGGTGGGGGTTTGCAAATAATTCTGAGGTGGTGGAGGACATTCTCGTGAACCAGGACCAGTCCCATACCAGTCACGTATCATTACACCACTCGCTCTGAACATAAAGGAAAATTATTGTTAATATTCAGAGAATACTAAATATTTTGGGGTGAAATTTTTATTCTAATATATACCGTTAAAAGTTTAACAAAGAGAACATGGCTTTCGGTCTGGTGGTTTTTCTGCTGATTGGTTTAAGCATTCAAGCGAGAGCTCAATTTCAATGTCCTGAAGAAAAAGGTTTTTTTCCAGACCCGGAACAATGTGACCTCTATTATGTATGTCTTAACGGACGAGCAGAAGAGAAGCTGTGTAAAGATGGTCTAGTCTTCAGGGATGATAATCCTAAGAAGGAGCTTTGTGATATCCCAGCTAATGTTCCTTGTGGAAATCGTCAACTTTTACGTAAGTATTTTCTGTTTTTACACTTCAGAATATTTTAATAATTTAATTAAATTAGCCATAGTTTTGAAAAAGATGTTGTGTTACATTCATCACTTTTTTTTTTAAAACCTAGACAATAGAAAAAAGATAATAGTATCAAATGAAAACAGGAATTATTAGACAATTATTATTATTTATTTGTGAAATCTATTTTCTCTGTTATAATTAATACAAGCGTAAAATTATTTTCAAAGAAATCTGATATAAAAATATTTTAGTGTTTTACTAACCTGCTTAAGTTTATTTATAGAAAAACTGGTTCCTTCAATATTATCATCATCGAATTTTAGTCAACATCATCAATTAAAACCGGTTGATATTTTTTTTCCAATTGATGTCCTTCTAATTTGACCTGTCTTCCAACATTATTTTTCAAATAATTATTTACTCTTTATTCTTACAGAGGAACCTCAGCCAACTAAAGGTTGCCCACGTGCTAATGGATATTTCAAACACGAAGACCCAGCGCAATGTGATCGTTTTGTTAATTGCATTGATGGAGTGGCTACAACTATGCCATGCCCTCCAGGTCTTATCTATGAAGATAAGATGTCTAGCTGTGTCTGGGCTACTGATGCATCTCGTTCTTGTCATTCTCTTCGAGATGTTTTAGATGATGGATTTTCTTGTCCTGAAGAGAATGTTACTGGTCCTGATGGTCGCATTCTTCCACATCCGACGTATCCTCATCCTGTTGATTGTGCTAAATTTTACATATGCAGAAATGGAGTTCAACCTCAGAAAGGTCAATGTGAACCTGGAACTGTCTATAATGAAGAGACTTTCAGATGTTCTGAACCAGAAAATGTTCCTGGGTGGTAAGTAACTCTAAAAACAAATAAATTATTTCAGTATCATGATTATAGATGCTAATTAATTTTATCATTCTATATATAAATAAAAATTGGATGAATATCATTTAAAATATTTACATAGCATTCTCTAAAAATATTAATGTAACGAATAAATAAAGAAGTGAAGTTTTCTAATATTAAGCAGACAGTATGGTTATTGATAAAGAAAATATATTTTATCATTAATAAAATACAGTAGATTCAGGAAATGAATTTAATCTTATTGCAAACAAGTAGCAATTTAATCTATTCAAGCGATATAATTATTCCAGTAATCTTAATCCATTCAAAAACGATTTTTTTAAAGTATGTATACAATTCGTAGATTAAGCGATTAAAGTAATTTATCAAACAATTTTCTTGCAGTGAGGATTACTACAAGGGAAAAAATTGAAATAGAATCTTATCTGATTGATGATGTAAAATCATTCCAACACCAATACATCTAGGACTACAGTACTTATACTACTATATGTATTCTAGTATAATAAGCCAACTATTTTTAACATTGCATAAATGAGCGGGTCACTTATATTTGTACGTGATAAAGAATAAAACATTTTTTGTTTACATAACCAAGAATAAAAATTTCCATAAACCCCAGGAATTATGATAAACTAAAAATTATTTTTAAGTATATAAAAATTAACAAGAAAAAGTAGTTGAATAATTTAAAATAGACAATGCATTTACAATGTATGTTAATTTTATTTTTATTGTGTATCAAACACTAATATAAGTTATTAAGAGAAAGAGAAGAAAGTAAAAAGAAAGGGACAAAAAATTAAAAAATAACTGAAAATTAAAGTTCCATTTGACAATGGAGTTATTCAACTCAAAGTTATTAATTCAAACGTCGATAAATACCGATTGTTTTTGTGTTATGCAATCGATGAAACACGTACTCAAGTTGGATTGACTGCTTTCACTATTCACAGCCTGCTGCTGAGATCTGGTTTCCTCCTCGAGGGTTTCTTGAAGATCGTTCTTTTGCGCAAGAGTTGAACGATGTATTTAAGTATTACACCTGCATTATTAACAACATTTAACAAAATCGTTTTCAATAAATCAGTAAACACAGTAATTATGTGATAAAAAATACTCAAAATTAAGAAACAGTCTGCATAACCTATAACAACTTCTCAACCCATCATCATGATTGTATCATTATATGACGCAATTCGGAACCTTTTCTGTATCAAAGTAAAAATCTTTAAGTATCAAAAAAACTTGTACATAGGTACTGAGTACCTGAAAAACATTTAAAAACTGGTGGGGAGTGAAATAAGTCTGATGAAGAAGTGATCGGTTGTCGCGGCTGCGAGTGAAGGGAGCTCGAAGTCTTTGGAGGCCGAGACTCAACAGCTCTTTCGTATTCTATAAGTTCAGTAGTAACGGTCCGTATCGTGCGGACAAGTACGTACAACTATGAGCTTGATCAGGAACGTGTCGAGTCTATTGATATTGGCGGGGATCCTTTCAAGTGGTAAGTATGCCTCCACTGCACATTTCTGTCTCCCTCTACCTTGATTCCATCCCTTAGATGCATCCGATGTGCATCTCCGGCAAGTAGGCGAACCATTAAGTCAACGTGTTTGGAAAGAAAAGAGTAACTATCTGATTTCCTTTACTGTGTGAACCTTGCGATACGTCTTGAAGAATTTTTAGTTGCAATAACCACTTTCACTGTCTACCTACAGCCATATGGTTGTCTTCAGCCTCTCTATTATTTAATCATCAGCCAATAGGATATTATCGGATATTCACTCAAGTAAAAGTCTTTTATTTCTAATGTTTTATCCTTTTATCTTTTCTTATATTTTTGTTTTTTTCTTCATCCGTGATTAGATGTTTACCTTGTAATTTAAATCATTCTATCCAGTTTTACATGTTGCTGAGAATATGATTGTTCAAGTTATTAATTTCTGCATAATTTAAAAATTATGAATCACAAGTTAAGTTTCAACACCGAGAAAATATTTTTTTTTTCACTACTAAACAATTATTTAAAAAAAAAAATACATTTTTTATGATAATTATGTTAAGTAAACATTCCTATAATATTTATTATGTACAAAAAAAATTTATTCTCTCTTATTCAAAAGTTATTATGATGTGTGTTTATTAAATCATCCTCAGTAAATGGAAAAGATTTCTAAAAGATAAATTGACACCAATTTATCTTATTCATGAGATTAATAGCTGTTTAAATGATTTCTTGTTGTATAAATATAATTCATTATTATAAATTTCACGTTGTCATTATTCTACTTGAAAAAATTGCCCTGGAGCAATTTAAAAGTTGAACCTTGTCGATTGAGAAATTATATAAATATTCATTTTCAGGTCTAAGCATTGCCATTTATGGACCATCACCCCACTGTCCTGAGCTTTATGGAGAACAAGCTTACCCTCATCCTGAAGATTGTGCATCTTTCTTCCTTTGTGTCAATGGTACTTTAACTTTAGAACGATGTGAAAATGGTCTTCTTTTTGATGGACATGGTGCTGTTCACAATCACTGTAACTATCATTGGGCTGTGAAATGTGGAGATCGTCAAGCTGATCGTACGTATTGGATTAATTGAATAATTTATCTATTACTTACATAGATCAAGAGAAATCGATTGTTATCAGTACTTACCTAATTAACTCGTGTTGATTAGATATTATTAATAACACTAGTAGTGATAATAATGAAGAATTATTTAATAAGCCACATTAATAAATTTTTTTAACCACTGATGATTTTTTAAAATCAATAGTTACTCCAATCAGCTCACCTGGATGTGAATATCAATTCGGAGTCTATGCGGACAGTGATTCTTGTAGTACTACTTATATAAAATGTGTCTATGGAGAACCACACCATGAAGAATGTCTTCCAGGTCTTGCTTGGGATGACAAATCCCACACCTGTGTTTGGCCTGATCAATTGATTCCTTTCTGTAATCCTGAAGAGATTGTTGGATTTAGATGTCCTACAAAAGTCCCTAAACACACTGCTGCTGCTAAATTCTGGCCATTCCCAAGGTAATTATTTTCTAGTGATGACTATCATTAATTATTAACATATTAATTATCTTTATTAAGTTAATTACAATGTTTGTTCTAGTTTTCAGCAAAGAGAGAAATTAGAATATTCTTTTTTTTAACGAAAATTATGGTAATTTCTTAAAGAGTGCGTGCTAAAAGCTACTACATATGTTTTCTAAACATTGAAAGTAATCTATAATTACTCATGTGTAATTTAAAAGTATAAAAAATTTCTCATGACAAAAGTGCTGATGGATTAGTTACTTTTCAGAATATATAAAAATTAATGGTTTGAAAAATAGGCAGTGATCTCAGTCATTAATTATTACATTTCAGAAGCTATTAGTTTTAAAGGTCATATAGACAGAAGCACTCAACGTTTTATTAATCAATTTCTTCTTTGATTTATCAATTAGCATTCTTTATATAACACCACCTGAAATCAAAATTGAAATCTATGTTAAAAAGAGATTTTCATAAAATTTTGTTTTTAAGGTTCCCTGTTCCTGGAGATTGTGGAAGATTAATTACATGTGTAGAAGGTCATCCCCGTCTTTTAACTTGTGGAGATAAACAACTATTCGATTCAGTTACGTTAAGTTGCATGGATCCTGAAGAATTCCCAAAATGGTAAATTATTTTAACAACAAATAATATTAGTTATTATTTATCATAGAGATTAATTTTATAATCAAAATTAATTAATTATGAAGATGATAATTATTGTCTTTTTTATTTTCAGTGCCGATAGTTACGAATGATTTTAATCCAAGAGGAGAAATAGAAAATTGGAAGAGAAGTGAAATTTATCCACCTAATTATGTATAGTCACAGAAAATATAATTATTAAATAAAGATAATAAATAAAATATTTTTGTGAATCATAAACAACTATATTCCTTTGGTTAATAAATTTATCGATATATATTCATATAAAAATATACAGTAGTCTTTATTCGATCAATCTACAATTACCAACATTGATAAAGTCGTATTACAATATATCTCACATTTTATTTATAGTAAATAATTATGCAGCGGAGTATATAAGGTAAAAATATGTACAAAATTATCTGGTGGCAACCATTGAAGACGTGCAAAACAATAGATGTAAATTTTTATCTAAATTTCAACGTATTCAATTCATTCAATAAATGAGTTTTATAATATTCTTTCATGTAACCAAAATTTCAAATAATAAAAATATACATTCCAACAAGAGTCTTTGTTTAAAATTTACCTTTTGATTTTTAATTTTTTGTTCTTAAATTTTAGTCCTTAGAAGTACGTTTTTCTACCCATTATTATAATATTAATATAATGCATGATCCTAATTATCATTAACATTAATTTTTGTTATTACACACTAAGTGCTTTAGTTTCTAAGTCTGGGTCGAAGAGGAATAGGCACAGCTCCTGACGGTAGTGGAGGAACACCGGGAGGAAGATTTTCTTCTTCGGGTTCTTGTTCATTGTGTCCTTCAGGAAGTTCTCCCTCAAGAGTTTGTGGAGTTGTAGGAACATCACAATCCTCTGTAGGAGGAACAACACATCTTAAAGATCTTCTATCAAAAACCAACATAGCTGGACATCTTTGGAGACGAGGATATCCTCCTTGACATTGCCAATAACGATTGCAAGATTTTTCTAGTGGGACATTGCCATTTGCGTCGTCATTGCAAAGTGCTGAAATACAGTGTTGATAATCAGTATATGAGCTTCAGGTCAATTAAAGTACAGCTAAATTAATATATGTAAGTGATTTCGAAATTGACTGAGTGATGACATAAAAGCAATTCTATGAAGACGTGGGACAACATAATGGGAGAGGAAGGCACGTCGTGAGTTTATGAGAATGTAAATGAGTCTCTAACAGAGCCTCGCCCTGTGTTTTTACTTTGTCGGAAGGAGCCACTGACTTTTTAATTAAGAAAAAGGAAGAGAAAGAGAAAGAGTGTATTTACACTATGTGATATGCATAAATATTCAGACTTAAGTAATAGAAATTCTTAATTCTTCTTTAGTTTTGTTCCCTCACTTGTTGAGCAATGTTTGGGTAACCTTAGTCAGTGAAAGTAAAATTAAAAAGTCCAAATTAAGTACTCGAATTTCATTTAAATACCATGAGTTCAACAACCTGGATTTTTCTACACTTTACATCCTCGTCAATTTCGAAAGCGGAAGTTTTAATATAATTTTAATGATCTTTGTCTAACTTACGATGCTTTTGACACCCATCAACATTCTCAGGCCAATCACAGGAGTGAGATTTTTCATTATACAAAAGACCACCGATGCACAATTGTTCAGTAGCAGTTCCATTCCAGCATGTCCAATACCTGGTACATGAAGTTTCATGTCCAAATATTCCATAAAGCCAGTCACAATGTTCCGCACCTATAGGTGGGTTTGCTTGACGTTTTCCATCACAGTAATTAGCTCTCCAGGGATAGTCACAACCTTCCGTAACCCCACGATGTTTACCAGCAAATACTAGTCCATTGGGACAGTCAAAGAGTTCAGCACGACCACCAATACATTCCCAATAACGATCACAGTATTCAACATCTCCTACTACTCGAGATTTCGTTTGGCATGGGTCTTCTTGCTTTTGTGCCAATGCTAAAAAATACGTAAACAATTAGTTGATGAAATTTTCATTTTACTTACATATAATATAAAATTATTAGATCAAATATTATTCATTCAACTTCATTATTATTGTTTAATTATTCATTAATGATAACTGTATGATTTTATTCTAATTCTATAATGAAATTAATTCTCTAGTAAGGTGAACTGGTTCTTAATTTATATTACTTTGTAACGTTAGAAAATGTCACATAAAAAACTATGAAAAAAATATATCAATCTCTAGAGTCTAACAATTAATTACAACAAGATAGAATCTGATACCTTTCTTATCTGGATGAGTAATTTTATTATGCAATATGTTGTTAAACTTAATCTTAATTTATTCTATGTAAATAAATATTGCTACCTATTCTTTAAAAATCATTGTAAATTTATTCTCATTCATAACCCAACTAGTAAAGTTATTTCAACATTTCTCAACTTTGAAACACTGTTCCAAATAATTTAATCATGAAGTACAGATACGTATCAATAAATGAGTGATTTATTTGAATCTCAAGCTGATTAATTAAGATTGAAATGAAATCTTTATCTCTGGGGTATTGAAATTCACTTAACCAAACATGAAAAGATTTATAAAAAGTCTTCATCGAAGTGGAATCCAATTAATCAATGATATTATTGTTTTGGTTTAAAATGTAAATTGTATAGATGGGAATTCATGCACAACCACGCTCCCAAGAGATTGGTTGCGGGTGAAAGTATTCAGCCTTGACTTTAGCGACCTTCGTTCTTCAGCTTTTACAATATTTTTAAACTCATAAACACTTAAGTTTATTTCCTTTTTCCTCATTACTTTACACTTAGTAGAAACTTTTTTTTATAGCATAGTTCTAGCTAAAAATAAACCATCATATTGACTGTAAACATGAAAAAGGAGTTACCAACTGACGCATTAATTGCAATGCTTACTATGAACTTTGTGTATAACCACAAAGTTTGTCGTGATTCTTTGGTGCACACCCAAGTCTAGAACTTTCGAAAGGTGTACGATAGATTTTGAAAGGAATCTGACTTAACTAGACCAACTGAGATATCCGAAGGGAATAGACACTCTCTTATGTGCTCTTTTTATACTTTGCAACTTCAAGTAAAATACAAATATGTCGTTTTTTATGATTAATTTCTACTTTAAATATAATAAGATCATCTTGAGAACTTGGAAATAATGCTTTCATGAATATATTCAAGGAAAACACTGGAGAAAAAAATTATCTAAGTCATCGGAGCCACCCGCCTGTGGTTTCCTGATTGAAAACATCTTACAAGATCTTCAGGCAAGTCTTATGTAAGTCGTAACTTGATTGTCGAGTCTGGTTTACTTTCCCTTCCTTTAATACTCACATCAGTTAAGCCTTATGTCTCGAACATACACATAATCGGTATCTATGCTTCCACATGATACTCATAATGTTTATTTATTGAACATAAAGAAATAAAATTGGTAAAAATGAGATTATAAAAAAAAAAAGAGAGAAATAAAAGAAAACAACATAACCTATTTTCCTATAATAAACTCCAATAATTTTAAAAGCTTCAAATTGAAAGATAAAATCACTAACCGTAACCTTTTAAAATAAATTATCTATAGTTTGTTGAACTTTCTTGTTAACATTACTGTTTTTATTCATCTCATTTACGATTATTCATCATAAAGAATCCTACCGGAAAGAGAGAGTGACGTTTCCAGTCTATTGCATTTACTTTTCCTTTTTATATGTTGAAGAAGATGAAAAATTGGAGAAAGAACTGGTTTAAAGTGATTGGAAAAATTAATTTCTCTTATATATGCTTTACTTTAACATAATTTATAATAATTAACAAGCTCAGCTAGAAAATTGTGACGATACATAAACCGGTATGTAATTAATTGAAAATTATAGTATGAATTATTTAGATGTATGATGGCGAATTGCTTGTCTTATTGACGTATAAATAAGTGTTGGTGAATCGTTTATGGCCAAGTATATCTAAATGATCATGTTAATTAATGTGTTATAGAATAAACGGGAAATTGCACTCTCTGTTACGATGGAATTAGTAGTAACGAGCCGGTTTGTCACCTCAGGGTGGTAATCAATAAGAAAGAAAAGAGATACTGATGAAGAAAGATTTGAAGAAAGAGAGAGAGGGAGAGTATTAACACTCCTGGTGCTTGAACTACTTTCATATTTTCTCCAGTCAAACATGAGAGAAAGTCCTCTCTCTCTCTTTACAGATGTGTAAATTCAAACCAACGTATTGTTTCGAAGATGCGTATAATATTTAACAGTAATTTATATTCGAAAGTTGTTCATAATTTTATGCCTATAATTTTCATCTCAATCAATCTGCATATTAATCATTATATTCATTTACCTCTCTGTCATTATTTAATTTTTTAAATGAAAAGTACTGTTATATATCATCAACTTATCCATGTCAACAATTAAAAATTATTATTATTGTCCACAGATTATAACAAAGTAGAACTTCATTCTGGATTTTAATAAAAAGTTGAGAATTTCTTGACAGCTAAATTAATTGGTTGTTAGTGAAGTTTGATTGGAATGCAATCTTTGTGGATGAAGATTGATCAATTTTTATACCAAGGAATGATTTAATAAAAAAAACAAAAAACTCACCTCGACTGGCAACAACAATCAAGAAGAAGATGACAACCTCCGATTTCATTTTGAAGATGATTTAAAAATCAATCTGAGTCAACAGTTAATTTAAAATTGCTCCAGCGTTAGGAGCATTAAAATAAATCAATACAATCGATAAGTTATTAAAAGTATAGCCGGTAGCTGTACGAGAATGAAAAAATATCGCCGAAGATGCTTTGTTGGATGAGTTTTCGTGTCGGAACTGGTCACTGGGAGAGGCCTTTGACTACGGGTCTTATATGAACGCCCCACTCTCTTTCTTCGCAGTCTCTGCCACTTTGAAAGCCTCTTGGAGAATTCTTCGTTGTATACATCGACTAAGATTCTTGTCTATTTGTCATATTTCCTATTTCATTTTATCCTTAGATCAAACTTTTAACTAAACTTGAATTCTTTTATATTTCTTTATCTCTTATGTTTTCATTCTGTTACATTCTTTTTTTTCACCCAAAACATCTTATTGTGTAGCTTAAGATTCCCATAATTTTTACACTTTATCTTTTTTTCATTCATTGTTTACATAATTTGTCAGAATTATTTATGTAAAAATCTTTTTACTGATTACTAGTGATTTATTGCAATGTTTTAATTAAAATTACTAGTTCCATTGAATAGATTTCTAGAATTTTCTCTAATCATATTTTTCTTTCATGAAGTTTTCAAGTAGCTAAGAAAAAACCAACAATGGAATGACTTGGAAAGGTTTTTTTAAAAAAAACTTTTACTAAATTATTTGATGAATTAATATTTTATCTCAATGATACAGTCTTTTTGATGATTGATTAATAACAGAAAATCTAAGATTCATTTGAGCATTGAGATTTCACGGTTTCTTTCTCCATGTAAATTGAGCGAAAAAGCAACCTCATCTTCACGCGATCAGACAGTGAAACTGAAATGTGTAGTAAAATGTAATGAGTTGAACAATAAATTATATCTAATCCTTCGAGTTCCTTCTCATGATTTTCTTGTTAAAAAGAAACTATCTGTTTGATTTCAGAATAGTCACGGAAAGGAATAGCATTTAAGAGAATAAAACAATGGACAAGATCATTTCGAAATGTGTGAACGTCAAGTTGCGCATTGAGAAGTTTAAAATGGAAGATATGTCTTTTCTCTTCGACCTTATCCCCAATCAAATATTCTTTATGCCATGTTAGACACATCAAAATTGACCTTCGATCTATATATTTGGGTTTTTCATGGTATGAATGTAAATAATAAAACCTTTGTTTATGTTCAAGAATGCATGATTTGCAGTTGGTTGCATCCCAAGAGTTTTAAAAGGCTCCAATATATTTTCTTTTTGTTAATTCATATCTAGACTTATTTCTCTTTGTTTTCTTTATCCTAGTCTTTTGTTTATATTCATTAAAAACATATACTAATGCAACTGAACAATCATACATGCTTGCTTTGATTATGAATTATTATTAAATAATCACAGAAAATTCATTCATTTTATTAACACTGTTTCAATTCTTCAAGCTTATTTATCATAATTATGATAATAATAATTATTCAATACTATTTTCAGAAATTGAAGTTAAACACTGCAATGAATTAGAACTCCAATGTAGCCAGTTTGTGATAGTTGATGCTATGTTGCTCATATTTGATGGAGTGATATTATTTACCAGCTGCCAAACTCCATGTAATTCATAGTCATATGAGATTTTCTTATTCAAAATACCTTCCTCCAAGAGCTGTTGGGTAGCTAGAAATTGTTTTTTCGAGAATTGTGAATATCTAAAATGACCAATTAAACTGATTTCAATAATGGGTGTTCTTTGTTCACATCCAAAATTATTCACTCCAATTGATTCCCAGTCACGTCCTATATAAACACGTCCATCTCCACCAATGTAAAAGTTAGCAAAGACTTCTGGTGATGCATCTTTACGTTCTGGCCGACTGATAGAATATGATAATTCAAATTCGCAATCATTTTTATAAACGCACTGAGGTGTAGCTGTATGACTTATCACCACATGTCTAGGAATAATTGGTAGTTTTATATTAATAAATCCACTAGTTGAGTTGAATGAATCCCATTCTCTAAGTTTAACAAATTCCAACGGAGACCAACCTGTTAATTAAACAACAATTAATTATCTAACCTACTTGGAGAATTAAACTTTCGTAGTGTTATTATTTATAAAAATTCTATATTACTACCTTCAATATTTTTTATTAAGAAAAATATATAACGCAATTTTTGTAAATGAACCATATTCAATATATTTAACTTATCACAGTTGACGTTAGATATTGACTAAATACTTGATGGATATATGTTCTCTTTTTATGATTATATTCTGTACGATAAAGTTTTTAGATAACAAAATTTCATTAGACAGTCAATATCAACTGTAAGTATATAAAAAATGAACTACTCTATCCAATGAACGATACACAATGTAACTTTTAATCCATATCTTTCATATTAATATTAATTTCGTATTTTATGATTTCAAAAAACTTATTAATAAAACTATAAGATGTTACCTAATGATTTCAAATGTTATCTTCAATACTATCATTAATAATTCAATATTCACTATTTTTTGAACAAATTTGATAAACACCTTGGACGAATAACTTATTGATATCAGATACAGTTCTAATAAAAAATTTTTATGCTTTCAGAAATCAATGTTAGGCATTACAGTCCTTTCAGTACTTCTTCTACTGAACGTGCATTCACGGATGAAAAATTATTGGTGACGAAGGTTTTGGGTTACACAAAGATGAACGTTCTTCAGCTGATTCAGAACCCAAATGGAGCCAACTTGCGAAAGCTGATCTCGTTCTACTGTTTGGTAGGAAAAAGTTACAGTACTATTACCAGAGTCTATATCATTTCAAAAATAGAAACTGAGTTTAATAAATAATTATATTCACCAGCTAAAAGAAATTGTTTTGTTTTTTATATGAATGTTTTTGATATAAATGTCTACATTACAATAGTTAATAGCTTGAAATGATAATTAATAGAAAATCATATAAATAAGTTAATATTAATACAATTATGTTTATTACTTATTGGGTATTTTTATAATAACGACTTCATTAGTAAATAACAGGAATATAATTACTGAAACCATCTGAGCAAATACTACCATTTTCATCCCAATGAGGCCATGTTTCAATTAATTCTATATTACTTTTATTTGTCATCACAAATTCATTGTTTAATTGCCATCCTCCAAAAAGTTTGTAATGCTTAGATAATTTTCCACTTTTGATACCATATTTTATCAGTTTATTAGCAGCTTTAAATTGCACAAGAGGAAATGCCGATGATTTAAAATTTCCAATGAAACTGATTTCAATTATTGAGGTATTATCATCACAACCAAAATTATTTCCTCCCATGAAATTCCATCCACGGCCTTCGTAAATGCGCCCATCACCTCCAATGTAAAAATGAGCAGCAATACTTTTTGTTGGCTGTCTTAAACTCTCATAATTTATTATGTAGTTTAAGAAAAATGAACAGTATTTATCGTAGGGACAAATTTGGGTGTTTGTGTCAGTTATTACTACATATTGTGGAATTGATGGCATCCGGATCCATTGGAAAGTAGGTATTGGATCTAAAGCCCAATCATCGAGTTTGAGATATGTTAGTCGTGGCAAAGCTGTTACAAAAAATTTGTTTCGTTAATTTATATGAAATTAATAGAAAAATAAATCATTAAGAATTAAATAAATCAAAATCACAGTTATTGAGATTAATATATTAAAGAAGGATTTAAATAATATTAATTAATTATGATAAAATTATTAAATAATAAATTTCTTACCTTGAACATTCACCATAAGATAAACAAAAAAAATTACAGTTCGTAAGGTTTTAAAAACATTCATATTTGAATCTATTTTACTTAATGATCACGATGAACTGAATTGTTTATTAACAAGTCGTGTCTAATATATACGCATAAAGCATAATTAATTATTCAACAACAAAAACATTGGATTCACAATAACTATTGTTCAATTGATCTAATTTGTTATCGCATTGCTTATAAGTAGTTACAATTTCAGGAAAGATTACATTCAAATTCCAAAGAAAACATTAAATTTTGTTGGTAATTATTTCGACTTCTGAATAGTAGCTTTATAAATGATTTACAATTATCATAGTCGTCATTAGTTACATCATTGAGTTATTTTTGGATACAAACTATTTTTTTATTGTGAAATAAAATTTCTTTTTTCTCAAATGCTTGTTTCTTAGAATCAAAAGTAATAGAATCTTTTCCATTAATTAGGTGAGGGTTTTCTACCATGTTTATATCAATTATTAAAATGAATAATTAATGAAATGTTTTCTACTTAGAATATATTTCAATAAAATAACATGAAAGCTAATTTATCAACCAAAATATAGCATTTAATCATAATCTTTAAATTCATAATCTTCTATGTCATTATAATCATTTAAAAGTGTACATTGAGACAAATCTGATGCCCAATGTGGCCAGGTCTTAAAAATTTCTTTGTTATTTTCGTTCATCGGGAAATCTTCTTCAATTAATTGCCAGTCACCAAATAAATCATAAGTCTCGGACAGTTTTCCAGTTAAAAGACCTTTCTCCAGAAGCTTTTGAGCTGCTCGTAGTTGTTTGTTAGAAAATTTTGAATTTTCAAAGTCTCCAATAAAACTAATTTCAATCATCATTTTTTTGGGATCACTTGTACAGAAATTTACCACTCCTACGGAATCCCAACCATGACCAGCATAAATTTGTCCATCGCCACTGACATAAAAGTTAGGAATGATTGCTGATACACTGTTAGAATTCAATAAATCTTTGCATTGATCCCGTGAAAAACATGGTTCTGTAATTGTTTGGCTTAACATTACATGTACAGGAACTGATATCATTTCGGTTTTATTTAAAATTTTTCCTGTGTTCCATTTATCAAATGAAATCACTTTTAGAGGCTCCCATGCTAAAAATAAAATAAAAATCTCAAATAAGCTAGTGTTTTTTAGATTATATTTAAGTAATAAATTAAATTTTGGATATAAAAAATTTTATTATTTATTGATATGATATACCTTTCACATAGGTCACAAAAAAGAATAAAACTAATACACTGCACCCAAATTTTACAGAAATCATATTTAAATATAAAATAAATATTTGTTGTACAACTCAGTGAAAGATAAACGTTTATGAATAATAAATGTTGCTTATACCGTATGCTATGATAAATAAATAATATTACACGTGTAAAATGTTTTTATGTACACGAAGTAGTTTTTAAGTTTGAAAATGAATTGTTGTAGTAATATCTTTCATCACGACAGAACTTCTTATCGAAGTAATGAATAATAATCATATGGAGTATTATGAAATTATCAATAAATTTATGATTTTGGTGAAATATTTTATTAGTCACTAATGTTGAAAATAACAAATCTAATTTAAATGCCATTATTTGTTAATGAAAGTAGGAATCGATTTGAAAAAAATATGATAATTTTAATAAAATATTAATGCATTTTTCCATCGTAATCAAGAAAATTATATTTTCCTACTGTCTATTTAAAATCTATGTGTTTCAATAAAATCTACCTAATTATTTTTCGACTCTTTAATACTTGGAAATACTTATACTGAAAATAATTATATAAGAATTCAATTATTATATAAAATGTAATTAAAATTAAATTATTCTAAACTATGTTAATTAGATCCCAAATTCAAATTAACTATTATATCATTCGAATTTTCAGAATTTTGCTTTACTAAGATTTTGTTGTAAAATATATAGCTAACATGTTCTTTTGTAGCATTTGATGACATATTCTTACATTTCTATAATTCATCTATTTAAACAATTATTCTACTCTTAAAAGATATTGAAGAATTATCACAAGAAATCTTGGCGATTTAAAATAATATAAGCAAGATATTCAAGTTTTTTACCTCATGCTCTAGTGATTCCAGCTTTGCCGAAGGCTGAGATGTACTTTTTCTACTTCGCCGACTACCTTGGGTTTATCCCACGAGCGCAAAGTATTTTATCTTCCTCGTTCTATATCATTGCTGACAGTACAGCCAGAAGAAATGTTTACAAGAATACTTTTTATTTGAATTTTTGCAAATTCTCAGCCATCAAGAAGATGCCAAGGTGATCATTCCAGGATATATGGTTTTATTTTACTACCTTGAGAAGAGAAAAGACAGCATTGAAAATACCTGATGTCAGATTAGTTGCAAATAGTGATGAGAGATATATTCTTATCATCAATTACTTCTGGAGTTTACTGAACTGATAGACAGGAATATAAATGTCAGGCGTCAAGTAAAATATGATCAGGAAGAAAAGGAGTTTATAGGATGCATCCAGAGTAGAGCTAGAAAAAATTCGTGTCTAAAAAGATTTAACAACTCCAGTAGTTATGCATAATCAAGCTTCTAACGATTATGAGGAAACAGGAAATGACGTGTTGCTGAACATAAAAAATATATGTTCGAATACTTAGAGATCCATTTATATGCATATTTGTATTATCAACTTTGTACAAAAAAAAACTTGTAATCCTCACCTATAAATAAAAAATCTTGAAATTATTATTATTTTAAAAATTGCTGCATTAAAAATAAAAAATTCAAGTTACCTTCTTTGACTGCCGATCTTTTTAAAAAAGCACGTTATGATAGTGAAAAGCTCCCAAAAATGCAAATGATCTTATTATTTATATTCAAAGGGGTTGAAGATGTCCAGTTAATAAATTGGAATATTTGGCACATTCTTTGGGATTAGGTTGGTTGGTAAATAAATTCCAAAAAAGAGTTGGAAAAAATACAATTGGGTTTCGATTACGGTGGACTCATGTTTGACCTGGAGAGCAAAGACCCCTGGGCCTTGACGCGTCCCTTGGGCCCTTGTCCTCTGCATTCATCACTACTACTACTACTTTCCTCTTTGATCTTCTTCTTTCTTTCAGTACTTCGTTTTCACGTTCTTTTTAAATTGTTTTGACTGTATCCTTTTTTTTTCACTGACGTTCTTTGGCTCGCCGAAAATATATTTGCTTCATTAAACCGTACTGGTCGAGTTCGATCTTGTCATGGCAATGCGAATTATCGACCAGTATCGAGACTTACGTGACTCTGGATCTCGTACGTAAATGGGTGAGCCACAACTACTCCTTTTTGTATACTACCTGCGGTGTAAGCAAATTTTTCATGGACCCTTGCCATTTTTATGCATCTCTTCTTCATCTTCTCTATCTTATTTGTTTAGTTTTTTTCTATCGTTTTATTTTCTTCTTTTTGTCGTGTTCCTTTTCAGCGATTGATGTACTTTTTTGCATTGGTACTTGTAATAAACCTTGAAGGTCCGACTAAGTGGTTGCTCGGTGAGTTACTTAATTTATGAAGATTAACTTAGGGTAACTGAGTAAATACTCTACTAAAATTTACATAATTGATAACTTGGAATCCTATTACGTTTAAAGCAAAGTAAAATAATAGAAATATCATTACTATGGTTTCCTTTTTATTTGCATACTTGACTTTTTACTTTGCGGTTTTACTACTGTGACTCATTGCTGCTTTATTACCTTCATATTTTTACAAATATGTTAAAACTTTTTTTACTGTCAATTTTTCGCAGAAAAAAATGTGTCATAAAGCGATATATGTGTATAATTTTACTATGAATAAAAAAATAGAAATTTCTAACTTTTCTCTTTTTTTTGTATTTGAATAAGTTATTTGATGATCCTTCTATAGCTTGAGTTTAGTAAGTTTCGCCTTGAATGTGTGGCAAGTATTATTTATTTGTTACAAAAAATCCTTATTGGATTAAAAAGATTTTCTTATAATGATCTCATCTTTGACAACTTATCAATTTTTCAGTTTAGTTTTGTTTCAGTATAAATTTAATATATGCACATGCTTATTGATTTTTTACAATATCATGACAACTCTTATCAATTACATGTCTTAAAAGATGATAAGTAGTCTTTGATAGCTCTATAAAAAATAAAACTACATGCACAAGCTTAACTTAAACCCATAAAAAATATTTTTAATATATAATGTTAATGCATTCTATATTTTATAACTCAATTATTTATAATTTTACGTTATTCTATTAAAATTGTTCAAAATATTTATCGTTATTTAAAAATATGATCATAATAACTTTTTAAACATAGCTGTATATCATGCAAAAATAAACATCTTTAAAGTCTTATTGCTGCACAATTTTTTGCGAAAGAAAATGACTTGAAAGAAAAAAAATAGCATTTCATAAATATAACATTAAAGACGCGATTAAAATAATAAATTATTTAAATGAATCACATAAATAACAAAATGTGATGAAAGAAGTTGTCAAATTTACCATAAAAAAGCTACTTATAAAGATTTTGATTGAAATGTTACATAGCTTGTAGTTAGCAATGACTAGCAATGACGTGAGGATACATGAGACGAGAGTTTGGTCAAGATACCAAAGCTATCAAACTCATTCTTCAAGTGACCGCCCATGTAAACTCATCGAATTTATTAAACGACTTATCCTACACTTCAATCCTTACAGGTTCAATGGCTTATCGTAATCTACCTTGGCAGAACGTATCGTATTAAATTAATTGTTGTAGAGATTCGCGGTATAAAACTTTTTCCTCGAATCTCTTTTGGTCGTTTCACTTTGCCTTTTCTTGTGGAGAATTCTTTTACGTCCCTTTGGGTTTAGCGTTACCCTTCTCTTACATTCCTTTTATGCACTTTTCTTTGTCTCTTTCTCTCTTCGACCTTTTAGTCTCCTAGATGTTTCACTGGTTGGATCTTGTAAACAGAGAATATAAGAAAGGAAAGATAACCAAATTCGACGATGGTTTCGAAGAAGGCTAAGATAAATATGCGGATCCCCTGGCGATCAGACACGTCTCAAGATTCATCCAGACACCAGTATTGCACGCGAACCGTCATGATTTCCTTTTAGCTAACAATACTATTTTTGGTATGCCTCCATTTAAAATGTTTCAGCAGCACATCATTTTATGATGGTGAATTGAAATTTTAGTCAATGAGTGAAGTTAATGTTCCATAAATACTGCTTGAGTTTTATGGTACTATAAAAAATGTCTTCTTAATTATAGATGAGTTGTAAAAACATCAGAATCGTGCACCAGAATTCCGCAATTAATTAGCAGTAATAATTTACATGGTTCATTATAGAAATTGAATTTTCAAGATGAAAGTGAAATTATGAAATACTTTTGTAATCTTCATAAAGTTTGTAAACAGATGCTTTTTTTTTTGTTAATTAAAATATCATCTTTGAGCATCTTTTTTCTTAACGTTTTCTTCGTAATGATGCTGCGATAATAAAATCAATGAGAAGACCTTGAATAATTCATGGATAGTATTTATAAATTGCAAAAAATTTTACCTTTAATTTATTATTAATTTTCCCAAGACATGCTCTATTTTATTTTTACTTTTCACAATGATACTATTTTTTGATCATCAGTTCATCCATAAAATTTTATCCTTGACTCCATATTTGACCGATGTTAAATCAATAAGAATCTGAAAAGATACAAATAATGTTAATAATTGAAAATAAAATTCCAATAATTAATAAAATTTTTATTCAACAATTTAATTTTTATTATCAGGCAAGTGTCAGTAGGATAACCGTTTCGAAAAAAAAAAAATTTGCCAAGCACAAACGAAAAAGAATATTTTGTATCAAGACAATCTTATAAAAATATCAGAAACACACAGTAAAATTCTTCCGTTAATGAATATAAAGTACTCTACTCAATTTATTGCAAAAAATTTTATGTTTTTCAAATATTCTGAAATTTTTCTCTGTGAATAAAAATAACTTATTTCAAGATTCTTGATAACTTCTAAAAAAATCGTCTAAAAGAACTTAAAACAAGCTGTGAAATGCTAGAAAAAATTTCTAAATATATATTAGTGTCTTTCTAATTAATTGACAAATAAATTATTTATCTTATAAGTAGTAAATTGCATTACCAAGTGATTTAGATCTTAGCTCCTTGTTGTACAAGTAAATTACAGCAATTAATTAAATTAAATACAAATGAATGACATTAATACTTTTGTATATCAATAATTGTATCAATTAAAAGATGAATTGAATTTAAGAATATAAAATGAACTAATAATTACAAGCCATTTAGATATCAATACAACAAAGAATAAAAACTTAGGTTAGGTTCCATTAAGATCTACTCTATAATTATTTAGCACATGATTTATTTATTTTCAAGGTGAGTAATTCAGATAGCCCCATGATTTAAATTGCACTTTCTGCGTGTACTAATTAATTACTGCGATCAATTAAGTTCCTCAATGCCGATAAAAATGATGACTTTTTTCCATTAATAATTAACTACCAAATGCGGGATGTTTATCACGAATTTTCAAAAATTGTATGATTAATTTGTTTCCTGTGTCATTGATTCTCACCGACGATATATCCAGTTATGGAAATATTAAAAAAAATGTACCTGGTGTAATTTGTCGTGTATTATTTGTTTTCCAAAGATTAACATCGAACAATCTGCTACAAAAGGATACCAGAAAGCGAGGGAGACGTATCAACGGGGGGAATTCGAGTCACGATCCTGTTTGAAGCGTGCACATGGTTGGTCTCTTGCGGCGCTCTTCTATCTTTCCTATTACATAGCGTGTCCTTCGCAAGAGGACCTGTTCATCTTCTTTGATTTTTACCATCAACTCTATCATAGATAACTAAAACGAAAAAAAAATATTTGAGTTATACCAAATGGAAACTTATTTAAACATACACAGGAAATAATATTAAGAATATATTCAACGAAAGCTTACCTTTAGATAAATAAACGTGTGGATAGTGATAATAAAATAATTGATTTTATGAATTTAAACCAGACTTTAGATACATCAAATGACTAATCCATGTGCAGAATAACGGGCATATAATAATTTGAACGGGAATTTTGGAATTGCAAGTTTGTTTATTCTTCTTGTTTCTTCCTTATTACCAAATTGAAGATCTCGATAATAAAAAAATTTACAAGTGGATCCATGGTGAAGAACCAGGACCAGTCTTGATTCCCTTTTAGTCTCCAATCGATTCAGATGTGTGGGTCTTGGGGTTCGTTAGCTCATTTTCTTATCTTTGGTATTGAAATACATAACATGCAACCTGGACTTGTCCTTCCGCGTTCCCCAAACGTTACATAGTCTCTCAGAAGTTCGACAGTCTGTAATCACAGAGGTCAAGGCCGAGGAATACATTTCCGGATGACTGGAATGTAAAAATATCAAATTATGACATCACTGTTTTTATGTTCTGATAATAGTAATTGAGTTTTATTCTGCTAATATCTATTTATCAGAATTAGGACTAGCATAGATTCATTTTTTGACAAGCCAATTCTCACCATACAAACTGGTTCCAGCCGCAACACCTCCAAGGTCGTGGTTTTATTTTTGGCCACGAAATCAGCATTGATGGGGATGATTTATATATTTTTCGAGCTGGTATTCTTCCTGCAGACGAAGGGACTAATTTAAGAATTAAAAAGAAATAGGATAAAAAGCAAAACACTATAAAGCAAATGTATTATTTTTTTTTTTTTGCTAAATAAAATAAAGCCTTGAAAAAAATAATTTCTGTGATTACCTTAGTCATTTTGCAGACAAAGTTGAAGTTGAAATTTATTTAATTCATCAATTTTTAAGCAGGTATTTTTTCTGCATACCAAGCAACTGATTTAAAATAAAAGTAAAAAATATTCACGAGAGATAGTTCTTGCTATTGCGTTAGTTATTTGGCAAAAGGTTGGAGTGGAGAGTAACCAAGTGACACTGGTGACAGCAACAGGTTTACGTTAGTCAATCGAGAAACGTCAAGAGCAGTACCAGTCCTCATAAATTATATGCAGGGTGAATAAACGAAACATTTGCCTTACATCGCCTTTACGAGTCATTCATTTTTTTGTGTGTGTACCAACGCCTACATTTTTCAAGTTCATTCGTGTTTGCAAATTTTTTCAGTGCTCTTATCAATTCTCTTTAAACAAAACTCATTCAAATAACAAATTGAGATTCTTGGTATCAAGTAAAATTGCTAATTTGTGCAATAAAAATAAATTTGCTGTTTTTAGTGGTTGGAAGTTCCTCTGATTCATTTTATCGAAATACAGTTGGTCAAGGAGCCTCTCCTTCTACGCAAAGGTCACCAATGCTTAACGTAATTTTGGATACGTATCATCAATGTAGTGGGGGATTTTTTTTTTCTGGGGGGAAGTTGAGGAGTAGAGTGCACTTCCTGCGGGCAATAGCCGCGAGGTCCTGCGCCCGTGTAATTGGCATCCTGTGGTTCCCTGCACGTTCATGGTGGGGGTTGCCCTATGTAAGCCCTCGGACGAACGAGGTCCAGCCCATCCAGCATCTGGAGACGAGCCAAGGACGCGGAGTCTCTGGTGCTTTGTAGATTATCGTAATCGCGAATCGGAAGCAGATCAGTTGCTCAGTTTTTTTTTACCTATAAGCACAAACTAATAACGTTTTACGTGAGTTTTATTTAAGAAATATAAGTTTTTCTGTCATGAAGATTTTTCTATTTTTAATTTGCCTCCTTGTGACGGATTTGGAGGCTGCTGGAGTGAATAGAGGACAAACGAGATACCGTGGACGACAATTACCTTTTATAAGACGAGAAGAAGGTAAGAATATTTTTTTTTTATTTTTTATCAAAGTTATTATGGGGATATCGTTATTAGTTCCAGTGTCAGATGATGTTCGGGAACACTCTACAATTACTAAGGTGGATGGAGAGCCACAATCAGACAGTGTTTCATTGACCAATCAAGTGGAAACTGCATCCCCAGGCTTCTCATCTAATATAGCTAGACAACTTTATCCCGGCTTCCCCGGTAGTGGTATTAGTGATTTGCCAGAGCCAATTTATCCGCAAGATCCTAATCAACCTGCCAAACCAGGACAAGGTACACAGACTGGACAAGGCTCCCAAAGTGGACAAGGTGGTCAATCTGGGCAGGGTGGCCAGTCGGGACAAGGGAGTCAATGGGGACAAGGTGGTCAATCTGGACAGGGTGGCCAGTCTGGACAAGGGAGCCAATGGGGACAAGGTGGCCAATCTGGACAAGGAAGTCAATGGGGACAGGGAAATCAATCTGGACAGGGTAATCAGTCAGGACAAGGGAATCAATGGGGACAAGGAAACCAGTGGAGTCAAGGAAATCAATGGAGCCAAGGGAATCAATGGGGACAAAACAATCAATGGGGACAGAATAATCAATGGGGACAAAATAATCAATCTGGGCAAAGTGGACAGTTTGGACAAGGCGGACAATCTGGACAAGGTGGACAGTCTGGACAAGGTGGACAGTCTGGGCAAGGTGGTCAAATGGGACAGGGTGGAAAACCAAACATTCCTGCTCCAGGATGTTTAGCAGCTCGTGGACAATTCCCAAGTCCTAATAATTGTGCTAATTATCTGAATTGTTGGGATGAAACTGTAATTGAACAACAATGCCCCAACGATTTACTCTTCAACGATAAAATTGGTGTCTGTGATTTCCCACAAAATGTTAATTGTGGCAGCCGGCCCGGGGCTACTCCCAGTAAGTTGATTCTTTTTTATTCTCATTCTCTCTTTCTCTTCACTGTCTTGTTTATTATTATATCAATTAAAATAGCCAATATATTATTTCAATTACCAACAAAATGTAAATAAACATTTTTTATTTTACACCTTAACGCTTTATCTCACATGGATAACTCGTTACCTTGCTATTAAAAAAAAACCCTTTGTATTCCTTCTGGAAGATCAGTGTTGCCGATTAGCCATGATTCATTATGCAGGCAGGATTCGCAAGCATAAAAGAGAGATAAGGGTACAACAAAAAATATTTAAAAATAAATAGAAAAAAATTTCTTTTGACCATCATCTAGATGCTCCATAGAGAAATCTCAAAGAAAAATCGCCCTCTTCTGTAATTAAGCTGATTACAAGACGTGTGATGAATATAATAACAAGCTGAAATATTTTTTTTGTGCTTTTTTAGAACCAGCTATGCCGCCTGGCTCTCGAAGATGCCCTGATCCTAACGGACGCTACAGAAGCCAGACAAACTGCTCGGAATTCTACGTGTGTCTCGCTGGCAGCCCAATCAAGTTTAACTGTCCTCGTGGACTGGTCTACAATGACGTGAGCAGCACTTTTAAATCTTCTTCTTGACTCTGAATAATCGCATTTTTTAACAATTTTTATGAGCCATGGCCCCGAGTAAAATTCAGTCATTGAGATTCTATGGAATTACCCCAGAGGTCATTCCTTTAATCCCACACGCCTTGAATATTATAACAGCTGCTGATGTAAATTTAATATACCTTGAGATTACTGTTCCTTAACCTTTTTCACGAATAGAATTTCAATTTTCTTTCCTGATAATCACAAAAAATCTATTTCTCTTTCAGGCCGTAGGTGTCTGTGATTATCTCTATAATGTAGATTGTCAAGGAGCAGCTACTCCAAGTCCTCTGCCAATTATTACCTTGGAAGAAAATACTGGATCCGGAGATAATTCAATAAATAGTGGTAGTGGAGTTATGGACAGTTCTGGTGGATCATCATCTACAGGAGGTTCTTCATCCATGGGTGGTTCTAGCGGATCTTCATCAATGGGTGGTTCCGGTGGATCATCATCCATAGGCGGTTCTTCTCAAGGTTCATCATCTGGACTCTCAACGACTGAACCACCTCGTCAACCGCCACCACAACCAACTTTCCCACCCGGCGCTTACCCTCAGAACCCTTGGGGCTTCAGGTCAATGCCATCAGATCCATGGAATCAAAGACCTTCTGCTGCTCAAATAGAGGTTGATAACGAACAGAAAGAAGAAGTAACTCAAGACCAAACTAGTATGGTTGAACAGGATTCCACTGAAACGATACTTAATCCTTGGTCTACTGTACATGCCATCCCAGCAGAGTTAACAAAGGTTCCTTGTGAGAATGGAAAGATTCACCGGCTAGATGATGCATGTACCAGTGTCGTAGTCTGTAAGAACAATAGACCGCAACTTGTAAAATGTGACACTGGACTCATTTATGATAAACCCACTGACTCCTGTCGACATTTCACTGTCGCTAAATGCAGTTAATTTTTAAGATTATGCTTAATTTGCTTCTGGCAATGTTTTAATATCGCTTTCAATACTTGTAGTGTAATAAATAGTTAATTAAGTAAATAAAAATTTTGTATTAAATTCTATTTATATCTTTTCAAGCCTTTCCTCACTAGTTTATGTGATAAGTTATTGTTTAATCAGTTAGATACACTTTATGGTCAGAACCTCATAAAAAGTTTAAAAAAAATTTTCTTTTCAACAAAAATTTCCTTAAGATCGTTTGAATATTTTTTATATAAATAAATTCACTGAAACGATATAATGTATTTGAGATTTTTACTTTAAAGAGATTATTTATTTAAATATTGACTCTTTTTCATGACCAAATGATATTAATAGTATATATTTTAAAAGTAAAGAATCATGTTCAGGAACTTTAATTGGAATATTCAAGATCTAACAAGGCAAACATCCCTATAAATACTTTTATAATAACAACTAAAATATATATACATGTTTCTCACTTGTGAATACAACAGTAATAAATATTTATCAGGTCTAGGGTTAAGTTTTATGTTGTTATATTATTTGTTGCTCCTATTTTTGCACGTTTACTCTACACAATATTGGAATACATGAAACATCTATTTATGTTTCTCCACTGGCATACGGAATTCTGTATAGGAAACGGCTATTTTTAACGGAAAAAATCACAGACTACATTATTCACAGAAACTAAAAGATTATCGATAAAATAAAGAATTATAAATTGAGTTTGAGTAACTGTATTTTTTTTTGAAATTGACTAGTTGACTCTGATGAACCGGGTAATAATTTTAATTTCAATCTTCTAGTCTTTCAATAATTTATTCAATTCTGTAAAGCTTGTTAGCAGTGTTAAAAATTTAATAAGGATATTTTTTTTTACTTTTAATAATTTATTGAATTATGTAAAATACTCAAAATACCGTAAATTTGCGCAGTTCTTGAAATCCATTGATTATTTATCGACATAAAATTCATGATTTTTGTCAATAATCAAGTAATTAAAACCACCACTATTTAGAAGCTTATTTCATTAAAATAAAATCAATAAACCATTCACAGTGGTGAATTATGTCATTGCATGATTTAATAAAAAATTTTAAATTCAGTTGTGTTTAATTGTTTTGACTGTCTTGAGAAATTTTAATAAATTTCATCTTTGATCATGAATGAATATTAACTAAAAGAAGTATCGAATATTTTTGTGAATTCAAATTTGAAGAAGAGCAGCAAGAAAACTACTTCTTCACTGACGGTAAAGTCATATCCAGGAACATTTAGCTTCACATTCACCAGCTTTCAACTTTTCTTCCAAGAGTTCAGCACCAGACATGGCTGGTTCTTCCAAGATACAAACTTTTAAATGCTGCCCACAGGTTCTTTCAGTCCACTGTCTTATCTTGCAAGTAGAGCAAGTCTCCAAAGTCTTCACTAATCAGGCAAATCGTAGTTGGAATATTGGAAACCTAATAATAGATAAGATTATTAATTAAAACTTTTTCTAACACCTTCTATGGTAGTAGAAATAAATAAAATATTGACAAACAGATCGACATTCTGGAAAAAAGTAATAAAAAAATGATCTAATGGTTGACTGCACATAAAATATTAACGATAGCTATCTCTAAAATTCAAATGTAACTAGGACAGGACAGTCTTTCTCTTATTTCCGTGAGAGTAAATATTGTAATACTGTCCCAAAATTAGACATTTTATATCTTTTCTTATTTTTACTTTCTATACATTCTCTTATGAATATTAAGAATCAAGAGGATTTTGAGTGTGTTCAAATTGTATGATAGTGAATGCGTTCTTGATCACATAACAGACAGTTTGTAAAGGCGACATCACTTTCTCAGCTTTCGTTAGGGGAACCACACCCGGCAGTATGCACTTTTGCTGAAAATATGTCGTCGAGCTTCATTGAATATCAAAAATAGTCATAAAAAAAAAAGAATGATAATATTAATATCATTTAACGTTTACAACTTGCAAATGTAATCACTCATAACCGTTTTCACTTTACAGATCAGCCACCTTAAATCACGATCTAAACTTTTTTCTAATCTCATTGCATTTCAATTTTAACATTATTGTAAAAAGTCAAGAACATGCACACAATATAAACATCAATTACATCATTCAACATTAATCCAACTTGTGCAAGAAATTACTTTATTATTAAATTGAAAATAAGTGGGTATAAATCTGCGTTTAACCGCTGAGTAAAAGTCCATTGCGCATTGAGTGAAATAAAATGTTAAAATTGTGGAAATTATTTTTACCAAATTAGTTATTGAAAAAAGCTACATTTATAAGGTAATGCTCAGCCACAAAGTGGTCTTTGTAATTATCATAATCTGAACACAGTAACTTAATTTTTACACTATGCTTTTATCATAAAATTTTCATATTTGAAAATAATATTTCATTGTTTTAATTTTATTCACAAATGCATTTTACAATTTATAATAATTTTCAATGTAAAAAGCATTAAAACAAATTGACTTTTTATATTTATTAGATGTAATTTATTATTGATAATTCAAAAACTCAAGACCTCACTAACTAAAAAAAACTTATTACCACCGATTAATATTAACTGTTTATTTGTTTCTCAAATTTTTTGTTGATTGAATATTTCAACAAATGATTTAGAAGCTTATAAATCATACCTGAAAAATTATATCCACCTTCCATTATTTATTTTTTATTAATACATACCAATTTTTTATGATAATTCAATACATCATCACCCATTGCTTGTTTCATTTACACCAGACATCATTGTTGTAGTTAATTATTATCATTTGTCATTTGCATCCTGAAAGAAAAATTAATTATTAATACTAATTATCATAATAAATAAAATTCAAACATTTTTGGGATAATTTTCCTTTCAATATATTCATATCACACAGCTAGATTACGTTTTCTCTGGATAATCTTAAAGAGAGAGTGTTTACTTGCAGCAATAAAAAATTCCTCACATAAATTTAACATCCTACAATCTATACACAAAACTCATATCTTTTCGGATATCATTTTGTCGAAATGGGAAAGAGAAAGAGAGAGTGAAATGCTCTGTTATGTGGTCTTGTATTCAAGCAATTCTTTCTTAAGCGAAAGTTGGATATCAAACAGCTACGAAAACATTTTGTTAGGAATAAATACATGCGTAGAAATTAATGGTTTACGCGACCTTTCTTTTCTCTTCATGAGGCAAATAAAAGTTTCAGTCAATATGTCATTTATTATTTAAGTAGTACAGAAGAGCTCTAATATGAAGTGAAAATTAATCACTCTTCTCAGAACTAAAGCAAAGACAAAAGGAAAATTTACAAAAGAAAGGTGTTATTTGAAATTGAAACAATCATTTAATTCATAATTATTATTAAAAGAGGACATAAGTATGTTTTGCCTGCATTTCTTTGACATTAGACAAACCAAGTTTAAGTCTCTTTATTAGTTCTAGAGGTTACTCACCTTCGACTTTATGTTCACGCATGAAGCGTGACATGGGTGTGACGTAAAACATTAAATTGGCTAAATCATAAGTTTAATGGATTAATGTTATATTTTCCTTTCAATTTAATCCAATTTAAAAGGCATAATGTTTAGCTGTTGTTTCAACCATCACAAAAAACTCGCTCTCTATCTAAAAATAGTAAAAACACAATTTTTTAAATTAAAACATTAAAATAAAAACTTTAAATTAATTTTTAATTAACATTGATATATAAAAAATAATACTTCATTAAAACTTCTGATATCTCCATTAATTTTTTTAATGGTTTTATTCAATTAAAAAAAAGTGAGTAAGATTATTTATATTCAATCATTTTTTTCATGAATTTTTTTTAAATCAAGTTTGTCACTTTTTTGAATAAGTCATAAAAGTTATTAATGATTTATATATTTTTTTTTTTGTCAACATGAAAAGCTGATTTAGAAGTTGAAGTAGAAATTGGAGTAGCGTTACCTCTTAACATAGATTAAATGTCAGTTTCAAGAACTAGCTTTGCTGATTTCCGGACACAAGTTCTGCACCAAGTATCATTATTAATGTACTTACTAGTCACATTCCTTTATAAACCTTTTGTATATTGTTTCTAAAGGTATTTGATTATGCCGTGGGCAATGTGTAGGATGTCTTACTACATTTCTTACACATGACGAAGCTTGCAGCATACAGGGCAACATACAAGTGACTAGTATATTGATGTACCAGTTTCTTATATTTATTCATCAATGTCATTGTAAAGTAAATAATAAATACAAAATATGAATGACAAAGTGATGAAATAAAATATTTATGCCTTTTCTATTTTAATTTCATTCATATTATGTACTATTGTTCTTTGTTTTACAACTAATATTTCTGTCATTAATCAAAAAATCCTATGAATTAGATAAAATAAGATGATTTTTTACAAAAGAAAAAAAAGGCGTTTGGATTTAATGATGCTCAATTTATTTTTTTAATGGAAGCTAAAGAATTCCCTTGTAAAAACTTGAGTATCCTGATAAAAAAATAATGGACGTCAAAATGTGAGGATAATTAAACCTCCAACATTATATTTATTTATAATGAAAATAGTATTTTTATTTTCTCTTAAACGTCGCCATTAGCTTCAAACAACAACCATTTTTTCTGATAAATCAACAATAGTACTTAAATTTCGTTTAAATAATTATGACTTGAAATAACCTTTAAGCTAAAAGCAAAATTAGTGAGATTATAATTGAAAAAAGTTTTCGAATAAGTAATGAATTAATGCTAATTACACCAAGCAATAAATTCAAACTAGAATTAATCATTAAGTTTCTTGCGTGTTTGTATTACGAAATGGATTAGCCGAAAGATTGATTGATGGATAAAGTATCTAAAAAAATACACTCAAGTATAGTTGCATACATAAGGACGGTATCTTACACAGAGGGAATACTCCAACCTACTTTGCTCGACGATGCTCAGTAACTAGGTCACCTTGCCCAAGGGTTTTGCAATTGCCTGGAGTATCTAAGGTAACTGGGAGTCTGATGTGAGTATGTATAAAGTCTACCAATACACTGTTGATCACTTTGGTAGGAGAACAGACCTGGGAATCCGGTTTGGAAAAAATATTAAGAGACCGGAGCCGAAAAAGAACACCAACGACTTCTTGGAATGTTTTAACCAACAAAATCTACTGTCATTGTAATTTTTATCCAGAAACTGCAATATTTATGGAAAGCTGACCTGCAAATAATCACCACTTGTGTTAGAAGAAAAAAAAAATAAATAGAGAAAATATTTAATCAAATAATTAATTCATAATTAATAAATTATTAATGAATGCCCCCTACGTTAACTATTACGTGTTAAATGTTAGAAATGGATAAGTCTATCGTTTAACTCCATTTAATCGGTCAACGCACAAAGAGTGAGAGACAAGACTGATACTTACGTAAGAGATATCCTCATAGAACATAGGTGCTAGTATAACCACACGGTGATCGAGTCGCGTTAAGGTTAACCTCCAATGACATTTTGGATATGACTTTCACCGGTCGTCAAGCAACCAACGAACGCCGGTTGCAGGCATGCTGCTTTCTTCGTATTTTCGTCTCAACTTGATCAGGGCGCGGTCGTGGACATTAACTCATGAATGTAGTGCTTTGCTTCATACTCAATACACACTCCAGGCTAACTAGCGTCTCAATTATATCTCGATCCCTCGTCTTACTGGCCATGGCACGAATAACTTTTTTTCACCACTTGAGAATGCCCCGAGAGTATTCTAAGGAAGGAAAAGATTTATTATCATTTTATATATTACTAGGTTAAATTAATGATTAATCATAACAGAAACTAATTGCTTCATATACTAGCAAAATTATTATAATTATCATTATTTATTTTACCAAAATTAAAGTTTAATTCTCTTTCGAAATTTTTAACTGGCTATTTCTAGCCAATTATTGTTTAGATTATAAATCTATATATCGTCTTATAATTTATTCAATCATATTGATGTTTAGAATAATTATTTTGTGAGTAGTTGTTCATCAATTCATCATTGATGATTAATTTTGTACAACTTTGATCTCACAATCAATAAATATTTCAATGTTTACACAACTTTTTGAATGATAAATTACAAGGATTTAAAAATTAGCTTAATAAATTATTTTAAAATAAATATCTATCCATATAATGCAAAAAATATTCGTTAATTATACATGCTCATTAAAGTAGAAAGTCTAAATTAATAACATAAAGTAATAAAATTAAATTAATTGATCAGTTTAGGCAAATAAAGCAAATTTCTTTAAATTTTAAAAAAGAGAAAAATCGATTAATAAACGAATTAATAAATGAACAAATCATTAATCTAGTGTTGAAAACTTTCAACTAGCAGTGCATTTACCTCAAGTGATAAAATAAATATACAGTCTTACGTGAACATCTTGTATAAGGATGTTCAAATAGAAGTTATTAATGAAGTAAGTTAAAATAATGCTGGTAAGCAAAGTACAATATGAATATCTAGGGTGCAGTCACAAGTGGTTTTCCTTGGACGTCGATGCCGCATTCCGGTTCCTTTGCATCTCTCCCAGTTTTTCTTTGCCTCAGATTTCTTTGCCAATTCACATTTACCGTTGTATTTAAGTCCTTGTGCCTGCAATATCAAATTTAATGTTGTCGTTATGGTGATGTATGTTTAAATACTATTCTAAAACAAGTGAAATATTTCATAGATTTTTTTATCTACTACAATCTACTTTATGACTTTGTGTATCGACAACTATTAAACAAATCGTCCTCTATTACTCTTACATTGATCTTGATAAAAAACTTAGGTACGTGTTTCTAGATATTATTGTTTTTATTTTTTGACTTTTCAATATATCTAAACTGTCTAATTTCCTGACCTATTTTAATACAAAAAACATCAAACAATAATCTTAAAATGAAATTCTGTTGAAATGAATGAATTCACTGATTTAAACACTTTTTGAAGTAAATAGTCATCAGTTGGACAACTCTCTCTTGCCTTCCATGATAGACAAATTATTGAGATTAAGAAAAAAGTTCAATTCAAAGGTAATCAAAAAACCTAACTTTCTAACGTTCAAATAAAAGAGTATTACTAATTAAAGAAAGGATATATTCTTTAAATATAGGTCAATCTTATATTGAATAACATCATCAATTCATTTTCCATCATCTGGCCTTCTATATCCCTCTATTGAATTGTTCACTTGAAGCAGAATTTGAATCAGTGAATTAATTATTCATACATTAGATTTGATGGACACTGGACTACGTGGAGAAATTCATTTTGACAACAATAGTAATATGTGTTGTGATGTTGACAGATTAACCTTCGAAAGACCTCGAATGGCACAAATATACATGGATCTTCAAAAAAACTGGGCAACGTTTAGGAGTCATAACGCGCAAATCGGCGAAAAACACGGTGTGAATTCAAGCAATGAATGCTGGATTCAACAGATGATTCGCGAAAAAAAGACGATGGAAAAATTTAGCAGAGAAAGAGAAAGAATGGATTCTTGAGGTGAATTACAAATTACTACTGTTTTGTATTACGACCAGCATTCAGTGACGTAGTCAGTTAATTTGCAAAAAACTTTCTATAGACAAGGTAAGACAAATGTTTTCCAGCAAAATTTAAATTTATTAAAATCGGAAAAAGTGGTAATTATATCATTTCTATTGCATTTCCGATCCCTGATTCTATTATTTGCTTAATTTTCTCATCAACAATTACTTTGTTGTTCTTTTCAAAAAGAAATAAATAATTATTAAGAAGATAATAGTTGAGAAAATAATTTTAAAGGCTTACATAGATGATAGACGACATCGTCAAAGAAGAATCGTCATGCAATAATGAATGCACGTGGAGTAATGCATGCCGGCACTACGTGCTCATGGTCTTGGTTTCGTTGGTATGCCGACAAGACGTTTGTCTATAGACTCTCGAAGCGTCGGTAGAAACAGTTGTTGAAGTGTCAACAACCCCGTAACTTCCTCTCACTCTTCTTCCTCTTCATCTTAGTTAAAAGCATTGCATTCATCATTTTTAGCATCATCATCATCATCATCATCATTATCATCGTCATCATCATGGGATCCATCCGCCTGCACCAACGAAAAAAGGTCTAGATGCTGACGAGGTAGCATTCATTCTCTCATCACTTTCACTTGTGATCTACTGTAGGATAAGTCTCTATACCTTTTCCAACAAGCCAGCATCCTCTTTGGAGGACGCCGGAGATGCGCTAAGATTTTTATTGCGCAATCGGCGAGACGTTACGTTGTAGCAAGTCCGTTAGCGTGGCAATAACCGATTGCTTTTCATTCTAGAGAGTTTGCTGAATTAATGTGTCGTATTTCAATTAAGTACTTGAGACTTTTCCTATGTCCTTCTCTGCAATTTATTCCTGTAATGCAATAAACATTCTTGAATTTTAATTATTTAAAGTATTTCAATCAAGGTTAATTTCATATTAACGGTATTATTAATATGTTTTTTTTTCCTATATTAGACAAACCTTAAAATAATCATCACGTGCATTGTTCCAAATGCACCGTTATCCGGAAGAATTCATTCGTATACCTTACTTCCGTTAAGCTGCACCTGCAAACAATCGATAAATCTTATTAATCATTTCATGTATCATGATATCTATTTTTAATTTCTGACAATAATCATTTTTCCAATAGATTCATATAAGTTATTGTTCTTTTTTTTATAAACACAACCTCCAACAATGTAATAATAGACTTTTTTTATATTTTTATTGCATTAATAAATTATGCACGATTGTTGATAAAAATTTTTTACTTGACAATCTTAAAGTAATTTTTTTTCTGTGGTTAAGAACTGCATTCTTGTCTGACTTGTTATGGCTTTTCAATATTAAATACAAAAATAAAGAAAATAATTTCATACTTAAAAGTTAATAAATTTAATTTCATACTGATAATTATGTCATTGAGTATAATTTCTATTAAAAAACTATGAATAATATTTTTCTTTTAAATGCTAAAGCTCATTTATTACAGTATTACTGTAAGAATGCTTTCATTGATCTTAGACAACCTTTCTTCTTTGAAGAAGAATAAAAAGAAGACAATGCTTTCCTAAAGGTCAATCTTTAAATGTAAAAGGTTAACAATATGTTAAAATTTATGAGCAAAAAGGTGACATTGAAGAGATTATAACTGCACTTCCATCATTTCATCCTTCACTCTTCCTTTCTTCTTTTAGCTCGAGGCGGACAAGTCAACACAACGTATGGTAATATACTTCTCCAAGGCTCACCTCGTCTCCTTCCGCACTCCACACTACAACTTGTATCTTTCTCTCTTTTTCTCCCGTGGCTCATTTGGAATTATTCAAGAAACTAGATCGAGAGCGAGAAAGTTCCGTTGTTGAAAGCCTTGCTCTAAGCTGTAATGTGCATACAGGATGTGTTGGTTCTCTTCACGGCCTTGATTTTTACCTAAATAAAAATTATTAACAAATTATCTTAAATCATGGTGTTTATAATGACGTAAATATGACTTTATTTCACCTGATATTGGATATTTTTAACCGTTGTCTAAACTTTAATTGATTCCATTATGTTCCAGGTAAAATATCAGACCCAAAATTATATGAAAACTCGTTTCGAAAACCGGCCCAAGTGAAAACAAAAGTATTCTATGACGATACCTGTATTTTTAGGTGAACCTGATGCACAGAAAAAATGAATTTAAAAATTATTTCTTGGAGTATTAATAAATAGTTAAATATTTCTATATGATAATGAACGTTATGATAAATATTATTGAGTACATTGCACTCTTAGTTTGATGCAGTTATTAATTGATTTAATCTAGAGTGAATTAAACTAAATTATCACTTATTAATAATTAGATGAAGTTATTAATTATGGAAAACATGTGGAATTTTTTTATTATTATTCTAAAGGATATTGATGAATAATTTCAATGCATTCATATACACTCTGATTCATGTCAGAGTGGTGAAAGATGATTAAAAAGTAAGATCAACATTATTTTCTTTTTACGTTAACTCATAAACCGTGTCATCTGTAATAAAAAATTAAATGTTAAGTAGAATTAACATTTAGAAAATTTTATATTTGATACGCATATGGGTAGTCAACTTTTACTCAGAAAAGAATTTCTTAAAATTGTTTTTATGTTCATTTTGAAATACCGAGCTTTTGCTTTATCAATAATAAAATTAGAAAAAATATTCTAAAAGTTTTTAATAAAATACAGTCAATGCATTTTTATCCGAACTGAAGAAAAATTCTAGAATTCATCACAAATAATATAAACAAGCTGGGATGTCTCATAAATTATTATCAAATTTTTCAAACAAATATTTTTAAAAAGTGAAATATAAAATTGAATTAAATGTATATAATATATCAAAAAGTACAAAGCCTTGTCTCCGGTATGCTCCGTTCGATGCAGAAGAAAAGGTGCGGGGTTTTGGGTGGCATTTCAGATGATGCCCCTCTTCTTCTCGTAGGCGGATGCCAAAGAGGGACCTAGAGAGGGCCCGCATATTCACCTCCTCTTGACGTTCTCGTCAATGGTTTATAGGTAGGGGAACAACACGTGACCAATGACTTATATAAAGCTGAGGACTGGCAGGGCGCTAACAGAATTATTCTTACCAGAGGTTACTATCTATTCTATCAAGTTTTAACAACTCGTTTTTATTTTTTATTTTATCCTCACTTAGTTTTAATAAACTTTTAGTTTTATATCTTCAACGAATCCTTGGTAGAAGTTAATAAACATGAAGACATACGTCGTGATAGCTGCCCTCCTCATCGTCGGTATGTAATACAATCAAAGGAGCTTTAAAAACAGTGATAAGGGGAAACAGTGTCCGAAAGTGTGTGTCCAGATAGACTAGATTTTGTATTGGTAGTGATTCCAGGAAGTGATAGTACACTTTCAATCATTCTGTGATCATTAGCATTTTAATTATCATGTCAAACTACTTTTCTCAAGTGTAAGCTTGATAAAGTCCTACAACTGGAAGTTTAAAAATATTATTGAATATTCGAAAAACCTGAGCTCATTTGAATTATCAGGTTTTATTGGTATTTTTACCATGTTAACTATTTTATAATGAAGTTCGCTGGTGCTTGAACTGAGATCGAGTGAACGGGATGCTGATAGTCTAGACTGTCGAGCTCAGGCTTTACTCCAAGAGTGAAAGTGCTTGGCGAAAGTCACTGTATCCCCTTTACATAAGATCGCAGTAATGTTCGAGAATCATGTACCAATACCAAACAATTTTTAACATTTCCATTCTATTTAAATAATTTTAATAAGAATTGTTAAGTATGGATGAGTAAAAAATTTTAATTGGTTGAATCGAATGAAAATTAATTGATTAAAAAATGTATGTTACAGGATCCAAAGCACAAGAATCATTCAAATGTCCTGATGACTTTGGCTTTTACCCTCATCACTCATCATGTGATAAGTACTGGAAGTGCGACAATAATGTCGCTGAATTAAAGACTTGCGGCAACGGTCTTGCTTTTGATGCATCAGATTCCAAGTATCTTACTGAAAATTGTGATTATTTACATAACGTTGAGTGCGGCGAAAGGACACAACTTGAACCACCAATTAGCACACCCCACTGTTCTCGGCTCTATGGTATTTTCCCAGATGAAAAGAAATGCGACGTATTCTGGAATTGTTGGAATGGTGAAGCTTCTAGATATCAGTGCAGTCCTGGTCTTGCTTATGACCGTGAAGCACGAGTTTGTATGTGGGCTGACCAAGTTCCTGAATGCAGAAATGATGGTACATTAATTTTGAATTCATTAAAATCTTTTTTATTATTATTTTAATAATTAATATGTAATTCTTGCGTATTTCCTTACATAACGGTCACATCATTATTACATTTATTAATTAGTATGCAAGTCAAACCTTATTTAACGGAGACTATTGAGCGCTCTTCATGAATTTTAAATGAAATTTTCAGAGGTAGCCGGAGGATTCACGTGTCCAGCTGCAGGTGAGGTCGCTGGTTCATCAGGAAGCTTTTCTAGACACGCACATCCCGAAGACTGTAGAAAATATTACATCTGTCTTGATGGTATTGCAAGAGAATACGGATGTCCTATTGGTACAGTCTTCAAAATTGGTGATGCTGATGGCAGTGGTGCTTGTGAAGATCCCGAAGATGTTCCAGGATGGTAAGTTCCACTATTATATTTTCATCATTACTATACCCATCGAATTCCTTAAATAATTGAAAATCCTGCAAAATTTATAACTAGTCGCGTTGGGAAATTTTAAGGATAGATATTGCAAGTAATAGACAAATAAGGGTGTAATGGTAAAACTTTCTTTGTCTTGAGTACTTGCAACTAACGAAAATGAATGAAACTTTATTATTTACCGCAACCACTCACACTAATCTCTTGTTGCACACGCATGAGATCCTGACCCTCGGTTTTCTCGGTTTGCTTCACAGTGAGGATTACTACGGTGACCTGGATTTGAAGAGCATCAGGAAGAGCGAACTCCTTACTGGTATTTCTCAGAGCGGTGGAGAATCAAGAAACGTGCCTAAACCACAAGGCAAACCTAGGCCAACACCTGTACCCTCGAGGCCTGCACCTCTTCAGGAATAATTTCATTAACTTTCATGTGTTCCTTTCAACCCTTTCCTTCCTTTTTTTCTCTACATCATCATCCCCAAGATGATCAAGAGTCGTCATGACATCGGAGTGCCAAAGCTGTGAAAATAATTGAAACATAAATATATAAAAGATAAAAAAAAAATTGACTCTTGATCACTCTATTTTTCAAATCATTCAAAAATCCCTCATTCTCTCTGACCTCTTTTGTTTATTTTTAATTGAGAATAAGAAAACTTAATAAATAAAAAAAAAGCCAAAAAATTTAATTACGGTGTATTGCATTTTGCACCCTCTTTAAACACCGATACTGCATGAATTTCTAATGTAGATTATGTATATCTTATTTTTTTAATTTACTAACCATAAATTAGGATCATTTCATTAACAAATAGATGTAAATTGAGAGTAAATTAAAAATTATCTATTTAAACAAATTGAATTAAAATGTCCAGTATATTAAATTAGATAATATTGTCAATTCCAAAAATAGTTAGTTCATTTGTTAGTAAATTGATCCTACAAGTAAAATGCTATCCTGATTGAGCGTAAATTTACTTGAAAGTCTAATTTAACTACTTATCGAAACAATTTTTTAAGCCAACGTCTAGAATAAATAATCCATTTAAGCCTACCAGATATTTGTATTGCCTTAATATGGTAATGTTTTGGCTATTCTGAAGATATTTTATAAACCGATAAATTTCTCAGTGAGGATTACTACGGCGGTGTGGATCTAAAAGCACTTAAGAAGCTGGGCTACAAAAAATAAAAGATGTACATCGTGCAGCTAATGTCGAAGATTGTTCTCAGAGGAATAATATCGTTACGGAAAAATGAAAACAACTAAGAGGATGAAGATCACGTGATGGGAGTTTAAGTAGTGATCTCAACGTTGAAGCACTAATGCTTTTAACTAGTGGAAACCCTTCACTTACATCGTTTTTTTACTTTCTTCTTTGTATGTACTACTTTTTACGTCTATAAAAAGTCTGTAAATAAATTATTAATTATAGTATCAATGCATTTAACAGTGATTTCTCGTGTAAAAAAGTACTTACTGATTTATAGAAACTATATCTACTCGTTCACAAATATTTATTATTTATTACAGATTAATATCCATTTTATTTTTCTTCAATTTCTTCATTTCTGTTTTCTTTTTCCTTTTTTTTTTGATGAATTTTTTTTTATCTTACAAAACTTATCACGCGATTAGCATAAATGGGATATTCCCAAGTGTTTGTGTGTTATAGAAAGTCGATCTACTTCGTTTACATGAGACCAATATCAATTGGGCCGCGTGTAAAGAAATAGATTGGTATTATCACGATTTATAGTGGGTCTACACGCGCCGATAATCGGCTTTCTCGAAAGCTACCGACCTCCTTGGGACGCATTGCCCGTGGAAATATCCTGGAAACGCTCTACATCATTATTCGAAATCGTGAAGTCAGAGATTTCACTATAAGATTTCGCCACGAAATAGATATATACACTTAAATCGAAATTGATTGTTAGATAGCTGAAGTACAAAGTACCTTTAAACAACTGATTGAATTCTAAATATTCTATTTTCATCATCAGTTTACATTGTTAATTAACATTTCTATCTAATCATTACAAACTCTGCATAATATGATATAAATACCTAAGATGTGGAGAAAAATCGACGTTTAAAATAATTAACTATTGTGTTATTTTATTTGCATTTACCTGAAAATTAAAATTATCTTTAATTTATATTTTTCAATGGATAAGGAATCTAGTAAATAAGCTTGATAATTATACTTACTTAAACATAAGAAAGTTACTTCATAGCTACTTGAGTTGCCGATCTCTGTTGGCGCCAGAATTCTTGGCGATTTTTTAAAAAAGATATGCCTTCCTCAGCATACTTGGTAATGTGTTTTGCAGATTCTTGATGGGCAGCTTTGATATCTAAACAATTACAACAAAACAAAGCATATTATTATGATAATTTATCAGATTATTTGAAAATTACGATCTTGAATTAATTTTCTATCGATAAAATATTCTAAGACATTTTTGAGATGCTACATTGATAAGATTTATTGATTAACTTTGAAGATTAGCAAAAGCATTTACAATATCATCGTATAATTGATTAAAACTATTTTTAATTTCATCTTCACTTTTCTCAAAAGGATCAAGAAACTTCATAGAACCTAAACGGTAAATAATTGGCTTGATATTATCACGAACTTTTTCCCAAGTAATTTTTTCATTTTTATCATTTTTCTTGATGGCTTTCATAGATAAATTATAGAACAACATGATATTTTTCAAAATACCGAATGTTTTGTAGAAAGGACAAAATCTATCGTGAGAAGAATAATTATTTTGTTGTAGAAAATCATCTTTTAGAATTTTCGCAACTTCAAGAACAATTTTATCACTTTCAGATAACGAACTTTTTCCAACAAGTTGAACAATCTCCATTAAATCTTCTTCATCTTGTAAAATTTCCATTGCTTTAGCTCTAAGTTCATTGAAACCGTGAAAATTTCTATTGTAAAAAGTATCCAAAGTCTTTAAATATTTACTATAGCTTACAAGCCAATTGACAGCTGGAAAATGCTTCTTTTGTGCTAATTTTTTATCAAGAGCCCAAAATACTTGAGTAATACTGAGAGTAGCACTTGTAACAGGATCAGAAAAATCTCCTCCTGGTGGTGAAACAGCTCCAAGAATACTCACAGATCCTTCACGTTTAGGATTACCGAGACAAACAATTCTCCCGGCTCGTTCATAAAAACTTGCTAATCTCGCACTTAAGTACGCTGGATAACCAGAATCCGCTGGCATTTCTCCAAGTCTTCCACTGATTTCTCGAAGAGCTTCAGCCCATCTTGATGTTGAATCTGCCATCATTGATACATGATATCCCATGTCTCTAAAGTATTCTGATATTGTGATTCCAGTGTAAATAGATGCTTCTCTAGCAGCAACTGGCATATTTGAGGTATTTGCTACTAAAATAGTTCTTTTCATAATGGACTCAGAAGTTTGACCAATTTCTGTGGTCAATTTTGGAAAATCTCTCAACACTTCAGACATTTCATTACCTCGTTCTCCGCATCCAACATAAAGTATCACATCTGAATTGGAGTATTTTGATAATGACTGAGATAATACAGTCTTTCCACATCCAAAAGCTCCAGGAATTGCTGTTGTTCCACCTTGAACACAAGGAAAAAATGCATCCAACACTCTTTGGCCTGTTAAGAGTGGATTATTCGCCGACATTTTTCGACAAATTGGTCGAGGAATCCTTACTGGCCATAATTGAAGCATTGGTTGATTATAAATTTTATTTTCAAATTCTATCTGGAACATCACATCATCCACAGAATAATTTCCAGCTGGGGCTAAGTAACTTAATCTTCCTTTTATTTTTGGCGGAATTAAAAGTTTGTGCTCGATCAAGTTATTCTCATAAATGACTCCATAAATATCTCCACCAGTTACTAACGTTCCAGGTCGTATATTAGCAGGCTGAAATTCCCACGTTACAGATCGATCAATTGGATGTAAATAAATGTCCTTGGGAATAAAGACTTTCTTAGATTTCTCGGCGATATCTTTTAAGGGTCGTTGAATGCCATCGAAGATGCTACCTAAAATGCCTGGAGCGAGTTCTACAGAAAGCGGGTTACATGTTCTCATCACTGGTTCACCAACAGTCATTCCATAAGTATCTTCATAAACTTGAATTGTTGATGTTCCACCATCTAACCTGATAATCTCTCCCATCAGCTTGTCGTAACCTATTCGAACTATTTCATACATAGAAGCACCTGGCAAGTTCTCGGCTGTTACTACAGGTCCAGATATTCCAGTCACGTAACCATACTGAGATTCCCGTTCTTCGAGTAAGTGAAACGAAGGTGATGGAAATTTACACTTTGAAGACTCATGTCGTCTACTTTTACTTATGTTATACAATTGCTCACGTATTCCGCTCATTTAAATTTGAAAAGCCAACAAAACAAATGAATACAGGTTTATCATACTAATGTTTTTAAAATCAAATGAATGAAGCTACAAAATTAAATAATAATAGTAATGTTAAGTAATAGTTGTATCATACCTGGACTTTTTAGAAGATGCTGCAGATATTTTTTGTCAACGTTCAGCTGACCTAGAAGATTCGGAGCATTGCTTTTTCTCTTTAGAGGTAAAGAATCTTTTCTTCTATCTCCATTAGAAATATTTGACTTTTTTTCTACAGACATTTCATCATTTTTCTCGACTATTCCACAGCTCTGTGGTGTTTCCATTATTTTAACAGATTCTACTGCGACTTGTGGCGCTTCTAACTTATCAATTCTTTCAGTTTCTTTTGCGAAATCAATCTTAATTGGAATACTATTATCTATAATTCAACAACACCATTCCATTTATAATTAATTATCTAAAAAAAAAATATTTTTTTTTCTTTTTAACTACCTCCTAGAATATTTTGAATAGCTTCTTTAGCTTTTTGAACGCCAAGACGAAACTGATCAAATTCTGGTCTAATCCTCATGCCTCTGTAGTAATAAACTAAGCTCAGTTCAAAATCTCCAAGATGGTAGAGAGCTTCAGCTTTATAATACATTGCTCTAGCATTACTAGGATCTTTAATTTTCTCATTTAAAGCTGCTTCTGCGTCTTCTAGAGCTTTTTGAGGTTCTCCAAGCATCAGATAACATTTGCTCCTTGCCAGTAGTGCATTCTTATCATATGGACTCAGTTCCAACGCCTATAAATCAAAAAAACAGAGTTACAATTAGAAAAAGTTCAACATAACAATTTTTAATGCAACAAAATGCCGAATTTCTGGAAATTGCAAGTAAATTATAGCTTGCTGAAAGATTATCTTGGTGAACATAGTTAGTTGGTACCTATATGAGTCTAATAACAGTAACTACCCACTCCGCCCCCCTAATCGTACCGGAGTCAGGCAGTACCGTGTTATTTCGAGACATCATAAATCGTGATAGATTATCGGAATACTCCGTCTTCCCTAAAATGGCATTGCAATGGTCTTCCCCTAAATCTTTTTTTCTTGCTTATTTTATTTAAGATCTATAGTTATCTATAACTATATTGTAATGTATTATCTTGATCGCGTGTCAACATGACGATTGACTTTGTGATTTAATAATATGTAGGCAATGTACTAGTTATTAATATAAACATCAGAAAGAATTGATTTGAAAACAAATGGCAATCATCAAAGCACATTGAACCTTATTGATACAGCCCAGAGCTACGTTGAGATCTCCTGATCGCATTTCACGAGTTCCAAGTGCAAGCATAGAACTTGGTTCCGCTTCTTCTGGTATTTGCATCATCTTGCTTCGATCTTGTCGACGTTTAATTTTCAACGATTGAATTATATCACGGGTACCCATGTTAACAGCTGCTGCACGATCTTTGTCAGTATAAACTTCTTCTTGTCTTCGTGCTCCACTTGCTCTCCTTTTACGTATTTTTTTACTTTTCTGTTCATTAAGTTCATACTCAATTGAACCTTTTCCTATTCTCCGTGTCGGTTTCACTATTTCTTTTTTATCATCTCTACTTCTTCTACTACTGACTGAATCCTGGTGATCAGAACCAACTTTTCCGCTTTCCTTGCTCTCTTTTCGCACCTGCTCCATAATATGTGATTTCTTTTTACTATCTCCAGAATCATCTAAACCAATTCTTACGAAGCTTTGCAGAAAATCATTGTCTTGGAGTGTTGGTTTTAGAATACTTGATGCTTGAGTTATGACGCGATCTTCAGTTGTTACTTCCATGGTTGTAATTAAAATTGAGATGATATAATTCACCAAAATATCACCTTGTAAGCAAAGAAAAACTGTATAAACTTTTGTAAAAATTTTAGATTTTAGATTTTTACTTTACGTGTAGATATCGACACCTTTTCTAGGTGCCTGGTTGTCTTAGCAACAGTCAACAATCCGCCACATTTGGCAACGCCGTTCGTGTCGTCATCATCCTTCAAAATGTTTCTACTCCACGTGCGTACATTCTAAACATCAGTGCCATTCGTATCACGTGAGGTATAAAAATCATGCACGATATCACCTGTTGCGATCATAAGGGTCATTTATACATCCAAGTCGTCACCATTCCTAAACCCACCAAAGCTCTTCTTCATGACTACTTGTTGAAAGAATCTCTCAAAGTTTATGTTAATCTCCTCAGTATAAATGTACCACTTAACAAAATGATGCTTTCTAGGTTTTTGAATTTACATTTGAACAGTCAATTTTCAAGAAATTCAGAAAAGTATACGTTTCAGTAGACTAATCATTAATTTGGGTGTAGAATGCATGCATCCAAAAAGTCTACGAAATCAGGACGGAACGACTTTAGAATTGATAAATAATAGGTAGAACACTGCCTCTTCTTTCATTTGAATAATTTAAAAAAACGAAATATCCAATATATAATCAAAGGTTAAGTTTTTCAGAATTCATTTTTTTTAATGTTATGATTATTCTATTTCAAGTAAGATCATCTTACCTTTGTTTTACTAGATTGTGAGTAATAAGTACAAATTGAACTAAAAAGACAATAAAATTTACAATCAATACATATAAATATATATATTGAATTATCGATTGATTTTCAAAAACGAAGTATTTACAATTCACGATATGACTAAAAATTCATATTTGAATGTAATAAACAAAACTGTTACCTCTTCAAATTAAAATCTTCCATGTTAACTTACAATCTTAATAGCTATCAATTATGCAAATAACAACAAATTACATCAGTTAAATATTTACACGTTAAAGCATTTATACCTTTTCATGAAAAATGCATTCTTCAAACTCGGATTTATATATCCTCACGAAGCTAAAGTTCAATGAAAAAAAAAATATATATATATACATTGATGCAAATCCTCACATGCGCTAATTAAAAAGTTCGTTCAACAAAACTTTCTATTTACTTTATATACTTGCTTCAAAAAATCATTTGAAAAACATTCTAGAAAACAAATTGCAGTAAAAGTAAGATTATAATTTCTTGATTAAACTTATGGCAATTACTTAATTTCAGATTATTCGAAGATTGATGTGAATTGATATTAGAATATCTTTTTTAAAAATAAATCTAAATGAAATGTAGCAAAATAAAGATAATAGAATGGCTGATAACATTAACATAATAAAAAAGCTTTTAGTTTCTTACCAATGTGCCGATTTCGAGTTAAATCCACGATAATCTTTCTAAACAATGTACTCACTTTATGATACAAAGACAATGCTTTATTGTAATTCTTGCTCTTTAAATGACCCGTTGCTTCATCTACCAGTACTTTAGTCTCAAATTGTGCAGCACTTCGTCGTGTTTTCTTATCGCTCTTTCCTTTATCCTTTCCCTTTCGCGGTGATTTCATATTTCCTCTTTCGCCAACGTACAGCAACTAATTTTAATAACGAAAAATAATGAAAAAAGAAATTCTTAATTAAAAATTTCCAATAAATCCAGAAGTTAATTACCTGCTTCGTATAATTAAACTTCACTAAGAAAACTTTTTAAGTAGCGAGAAATAGGTTTCCTTGTGAATAACGATCCTTTCAGAACTCTCAACACATCAATCTTCATTAAAAATTGTTTAAGAGTGATTATTGAAGCATAATTAAATCCATTGATACGTAATTTGTTTGACTTCTAACAACTGTTGTTTTGCTCCAGTTTAGAATTATCTTTAGGTCACGTTACACCTCTAACTAACGTTCCAAAGTAAAGGTTGAAGGAAGAATATCTGTCATAATAGAAGAGCGCAAGCTCAGATTTACCAGGGCATATTTCTCTATACAGTCACTGCTAAAATTGTTTTAACGACTTTGAATGGCCACTAAAAATAATCATATTATCCGTTATCGATGATAAATCTCCAATGAAAAGGTTGAAGTCTTTGATTGAATACATTCATTCTTCCAAGTGAAATTGCCATTTCTTTTATTCAGGTTGAAAGCAATACTAGAAAAAATAAAAATTCTTATCAGTTAAAACAATCAACAATTTTTGTAGATAACACAGTTAGAGATTTCAAACTTTCTCTATTAAAGTAATTTCTTAAATTGTATTCTTTCAGGGTGAGTTGAAGAATTTTTACTTCGTATTTAATTAATAGGTGAAGAAGAGTCACGAAGTAATTTTTGAAAATAAACTTAAAAGAGAAAGTATGAAGTCACAGTTGTATTTATTGATAATAATATAAAATTAAAGAATGTTATTGTTTATATAAAGGTATAAAAATAATGGCTTAGTTACTTTTGAAAAATACTGTAGATGATATCGTCAACTGATCAGCTGATATTTTTTTTAAATTTTGTCAACGATAAAACACGAAAGTCTTGAAATTCTTAGTATTTATGTACATAACATTCATTGGCCAATTTAGACGAATAAGGCAAAAAATATTTCTATCGTGCATACACATAATTAAAGAAGAACTATAATTTCTGCAATAACGAACATCTTTTTATTTATGATTTACCAGTAACGGTTATTGAAGAAAGACGACTAAAAGTCACGCGGATTGAAAAATTTTGAAGTTGGGTTATTACTCACACTATTGGACAGAATGTCAGCTTGGTCCTCTTAATATGTATAATTATGAATCAATATATGGAGAATGAATAAATGCATCCACATAAGAAAGGTTGAAGCAGGCCAATCCTTGCGTGATCTACAATTTCCAGACTTGTCATATTGAAGAGGCGGGTTTGCAAAGGTCTTCTGATCATTGTCGTTGACGTACAATACATACAAAGTCACGCAATCGGTGACTTATTATTTACCATTTGACAAGTCACATAGAGTAAGAATAATGAGTAACCACTGTGCAATAATCTAAGACACAAAGATGAAATATTGAACTTAATGTTATAAATTAGCGGAATAGAAATACAAACAATTAAAATGTAAAATGGCTGTTTACCTTCTATAGGATAATATTTCAGAGTCATACAATTTTGAAATATTTTTAGTAACTAATTGTCTGATGTTTTCCTTCAATTATCGAATATGAATAATTATTACTTTCAATATTTTTCGTAGTAAAAAATTAGATTGATTTAAACGTTAAGAAAAATAACCATTATTATTATTGTGAAATAGAATTGTTTTAATTTTTGTAAACAATTAACCTAAAATAAATCTCGTAAACTAGATCTATTTGTATTTAATATTGAATAAATCAAATTGATGTCTTACGATATTATAATTGTTTAATTTTTGATAAATATTTCGTATTTTTATTTGTTAATAAAACGTTGATGAACATCTTGACAAGAGTTTGAATGAATATTTGAATGGACATAAAGTAAGACAGAATATGGAAGCTTCTAGATCAATCGAGTCAGAGAAAGTTGTTAAAAATTCTGAGAAATACCGGATACAAACACTTGTAAACAAAGGTTGTTTACATACCTAGTCGATCACCGATGAGCATTCAATTATACGCAAAATAAAGATTCTTTATTTATTAATGATTTTAATCATCTCGATCTTTGAATTTTACTTAAAAAAAAATTAAACGATAAAGTATTTATGAATTATTAATAATTTAACATAATTATCATTTACTTTTATAACTTATAACTTACTTGAATAATCGAATAGAGTAAATAAACTTAAACAATAAAATTGATCATTAAAAATATATGTTTTTATTCAATCCATTACTTGTTCTATTAACAGCTTACATTTTTAATTACAGAATCTAATACTTATATACATTTATTAATTAAGCACATATAGAAAGAAGGTTTGTTCTCTAATAATTAAAGTAGAATCTCTCAGAGGATCAATTTCAATAAATTTTTGCAAACTCATTTTAATCCTTACTTAAAAGTATTCGAGAGCCCAAAATTATCGGATCTTTAAGAGATACTACTGTAATTATTCGATGAAATCTCGTGAAATAAATATTTTGAATTAACGCATACACGTTTTTGATGGAATCCTGTTCCCTTCCATTTATGATGAATTAAGAGTCTTCAAATTGTGCTGGACATTAAATCTGACATAGCTTTCTGCCTTAAATTATATAATTTTTTAACCCATTTATCAAACCGGGCTTCTTGATCCATTAGAATCTATAATAAATAAACCAATAAGTAAAATTTGAAATAATTTATCAACAATATTTTAGATAAAAATATAACTTACAGAAGTATGAAAAATGCTATCAGAAATGACGGATAGATTAGGGACTGGTGGTACTTGGATAGTTTCAGCTGTGATGTCAATAACAATGCTTTTGCTTTCTTTCTTATTATTTTTTGACTGAGCAGACGAAGTGAATTTTTTCGGAACGAATTCGTCTGCATTTATTTCCTCTAAGATACTTTCTTTGATTCTGGGTTCAATCGTAAATTCATCTGTAAAAAATTCATTAAAAGAAATAAGTTGCAATTTTGTATGTTCTATTGAAACATTTCAAATCAGTTGGAAATACAATTATGGAATATAATTTATACATGATTTTTACCTTTTACAATAACGCTTGGAGTTTTTTCTGAAGATATTTTTATGAATGATTGAGAACTACTGGATCGACTGGTTGATTTTTCTCTTGACACTGATCTAGTTTTCTTTTTCATTCGATCTGGGGAACGAGATTTAGATCTACGAGATTTATATCGTGATCTATCCTTGTCTTTTGAACTTCCTGGAGAGAATCTGTAGCTCTTAGAAGATCTTTGATTATCACGACTTCTTGAACGAGATTTATAACGATGACGGGATTTGGAGTATTTTGAAGATCGCTTTCGATGTGAAGAACTATCACTGGAATCCGAACTACTTGATCTAAACACCAAATATAACAATTCTGTAGTAATATTCATTTTATATTAATTTTTAAGTAAATAAAAAATAAAATAAATTTACTAGTTACGATATTTTTGTAATGATTCAATTTTTCTTTCATTTTCTTCACGGAAAAACTTCAATATCATATATAGAACAAGAAAAAATAGAGAAATTGGCGGAATAAATAATGATGGTCGATAACGATTCATCTTGAAGATATTAACGTCAAATAAGTTAAATCAGTAATGAAGAAGAAAGTAAATGATGAATACTTATTTCTAACCTTGATCTATGATAGCGTTTACGACGATGTTTACTACTTCTATCGGAACCAGAATCACTCGAATATCTAGCCATTATTTTCACTGTATACACAAATATTTTTACAATTTTAATTTCACGTATCTACGTTTATTATTGTATTACATCCAATATTTCGAAGTAATAAACTGTAATGAAAATATTAACCTAAACACTGTTGACAAATGCTCTTTGGTTTGCTTGACATGCGATACTGCCATACCGTTGCAATTGGAGATTGATTTAGTTCATCACCAGTGGCGCCAACATTTTATCAATCACTACATTATCAACAGTGTTGTTGGTAAAGTAAATATGACTTATCGAATAATAATAAAAAAAATTAAATTAAAGACTGTGCGACCTATAGGGGTAAAAATTCTCTAAAAAAGTGTGAATTTTTTTCTATTTTTGCAATTGTGAGTTGAAAATTGCCACCATGTGGCACTACACTTCAAAACGAGAGAACTTCCTATCATAACCTCAAATGTCTTAAAAGTTTACATGTGACGCAGCGTTAACATTAACCTTTTTCATCAAGCTATGTTGAGTACTTTTTTTTTACACAATTAGTTAAAAGAATTTTTTTGATGAAAAAATGAATACTATTCGAATAGTGATGTTGCCCGTGTTGAGAAGAGTGTTGTCACCTAGTAATAATCGAACTACAAAACAATTTGTACAAAATTCAATTTTAGTATCGCAAATAATCAATGTACCTCAGAGAATTTCTTGTTATTATTGCACTAAATCATCGACAAGCTTGCAAAGTCGAATAGACAAAGATTTACTTGCCCGTGAAAAGTTGGAAAAATATTTGGAAAATCCTGAAAATAAAAAACAATATCAAATGATTCAATTAGAAATAGAAGTCATGCGACAAAACGGTGAGAGTGTACCAAGTCATATAAAAGACCGGCAAATGTTAGAGCTCACTTTATTAGATTCTCGAAGTAAAAGAAAGTAAGTCTCTTTAAAGATTAACTTAATAAAATGTCATTAATAATTGTTATTATGTATTTATGTTAAATAGGAGATATTTAGACTTTTTATTTGGCATTGAGAAAAAAAAAGAAAATCGGAAAATGAAAATTAAAGAAGCTGAGCTTCCACAGGAACAAAGTAATATACCGAATTATCTACAGTATAAACTTGGATGTAATTCACCTTTTTTACGATACCGTGAAACCAACATAAATAAACTTTATAATTGGAATCTTATGAAAGCTATGATGTATGGTCAAAAAGTTATTATGGATTGTGGCTTTGAAGAGAACATGAAAAGAGCAGAAGTTAAAAATTGTGCTAGACAATTAATGCTGGCCTTTGCTACAAATCGTGTACATCCGAATCCTTTGGATATTACATTTTGTAATATCAACAAAAATGGTTTGTTATATGAAGAGTTGTTGAGTTATATACCAACCATGAACGATTCTAATTTTCCATTGACTGTAAGTGAACAATCATATTTAGATTTATTTGATCGTGACAAATTAGTATATCTGACACCAGATAGTAATGATACATTGGAACGTTATGATTATGATTCGATATACATTATTGGTGCACTCGTTGATAAGGTAATTATTTTGTTCTATTGAATTATTTCTCGAAAGATATAAATATATGAATATTTCAAGTTATCAATAATTAGTTAAAATAAATGTTCTTTATTACTATTTTAATTTTAGGTATCTGGCCGATCAGATACATTAGCTAAAGCTAAACGAGAACGTATTCGTCACGCCAAATTACCCATTGATAAATATCTACGTTTTGGTGCTGGTGCGAGAAAAAGTTTGACGTTAAATCAAATGATAGCAATACTTGCTGACATACAACACACTCAAGATTGGACTTATGCATTTAGACATATACCAAAAAGAAAATTGTATGAATATAAGTTGAAAGATATGGAAAATCGGATAAAGGAATTTTGCGCTGAAAATAAATACACATCGTTTTCAGTGTATGGTAAAAAAGAAATAAATGAGTTTGACATAAAATCAAGAAAAAAATTTAGATATAAAAAATAAGTATCACTGATAGCAAAGACGTAATAATAACATTTTTTGTTTTTTTTTAACAATGTTTATATTTAATAAAATAATGTCTTTAATGATTATATTTTAGTTAATTTAACTTAACTATATTTACATTCATTTACATATTATCTCCAACATGAAAATCGGTTAGTCTAAAACTTCGTTTTATCGATACGTGTGGATATAATTCTCGCCATTCTTCTATTTTAGTATCACTTATGGAATCACAAAAGCTAAGATCTATTAATTTTAATTTAGGACAACACAATAAAAAACGGATACAGATTTCCGGAGTAAGATATCGTGCTCCAAGTAAATCTAATTGTTGTAATTGATGACACAAAAGTAATGGTTCTATATCACGATCACTTAAATTCCTAAGAGCTGTAAGAAAAACCTTTTCTAAATGACGACAAGTAGCAAAAAATATTCTTAAAGCATCTCCAATGGCGGTGATTCCAGTGCTAAAAAAAAATTTTAAGTTAACATGTGTTTATAAATATTTATCTTTTATTTATTAATGGAAAAGAAAATAGGTAAACATTACCCTACAGTATAAAATACTGTATATTAGTCTTTACCATGAGTAATGTATTCTTACCACCAACCGAAATCAACTTCACGTAAGTTGACACAGGAAGAAAGTGTTCGGATTCCAGCCGAAGTCAGGGTACGAATTTTCCAGAAATCAATACTTTCTACATATGGACAAGAGCAAGTAATTTCTTCTACCACCACATCCATATTTAAATAATCAGTCAGCCCTGCTAAATTCAAATGTCTCATACGAGGATTGTTTCTTAATATTAAACATAAATTTGAAGTTTCTATCAAAGTTCTATATAATTCTAATCGTTCAAGATTGTTTAATTTACTTAAGTAATAGAATCCATCATTTGTTATTGCTGTACAGTGACGCAAACATAATTCTGTAAAAATAAGTAGGAATATAACATATATTATAGTAATAACAATAAAATAATTTACCTTTTAAATATTCACAAGTAGTTGATATTGTTTCTATCACAGAATCATTAACAAACTGACAACAGTTTAATCGTAGATGTGTCAAATGATGCCCACATAGAGTAAAAAAATTAGCAATATTTTGTGATTGTAGAAAATTATCATTTCCACACCAAGATAAATCAAGTCTTCGTAAAAGTTGACACTTGGGGATAAACAATTCCAGAGTTCTTGTATTGAAACAATACCAATAAGGCTTCAAGTTGAGACTAGTGTACAGTAGAGTATCTTGTGCAATCATGTTGAAGTATTTATTGACTCTACTAATTCGTGATAGTGACTTCAAGTCTAAATTACTTAATATTTTTAGTATCATTTCATCCTTTAAACATATCAAATGATTTTAATTAATAAAATATGTAGTTCCTGAAAAATTATTATGTAATAATTATAATTACCGGCAATATACAAAAATTTCCACAAGATTTACTGAAGCATTGATTATTTACAGATTTAACACAGGTTGTTAGTGGCTGTGTCGTTGTTAATGCCGATGAATTGTTGATGTCTTTTATTAATTTTAGAAAATCATCTTGTAAAAATCGTTGTAGAACATTGATAGATTCACTGATTGGTGGAAGATGTTGGCAGTTCAATTTGATTTGAGATACTAGTGTCCCTTTTAAATCATTATCAAAAATTATGCTGCAATAAAATTGTATGTATTTAAAAAAATTAGAAATTACGTTGAACTACTTTTGTTTAATAAATTAACTCATTGCAAGTAACTTCAATATTTAATGAAATCTTCAAACATTATTCGTTCTTTCCAATCTAATATTCACATGAGATCATTTTCTAAATCAAGTCTTTGTTAAAAATCGGTTTTTTTCAAGAAATATTATAAGTTACTTAAAATGACTTAAAAAATAATTATGAAATAAGAATAATACTTTTTATAAAGAGCGCAGTATCTTGGAAGATCAGATTTGAATACCTCTAAGTCATAATTAATTTTTAAATTATCAGGTGTCAAATTGTATAAATCATTATGATTTGCATAATGACTACCTAGTTGTTGTAACAAGACACTGATGGTTTGAAAATTATCATGTGGAAGCAACAACTCGGTTGTTCCAATCAATAATACTGCATCTAGTTCAGTATAATAATCCAATAAACTGTGATTAAATTCTATTCGTAAAATTTTAGTTTTAAATTTGCATGAATTTAATGGTGGTGAAAATATCCGTGGCTTATGAGATATTTTTTGTGGAAATCCAGACCATAGTTGTAACCAATGACCAGAAGAATCTCTTGCCCATATTTTGATTACACTACCCGGATTATATGTTTCATAAATCGATACTCTAATAGGATAAACTTCTGTGTAATATTCAATATCTAAAATTTAAAAAAATATCATTTAACAATATTTATTATAAGGATTTTGTAGTATTTACGTACCAACATAATCGTGACTGTCAATGAGTTCGTTATTTTGATACATGTAATCCGTTGATCGTGATGGTGCATGATCCCACCAATTTCCATACGTTCTCTGTTGAAATTTAAATTTTAAATAAATAATATTACCCAGAGTTGTTAAGTATTAAAAATAAGTTCTTTTATTATTAGTTATTATACATATAGCATACATTATTTTTTATATAAGTTTTTTAGAGCTGTTTTTAAGAATAAAGCATTTTTAGCATTTCTTCACAATGACAAAGAAAGTTTGAAGCCCTGAAGATTATTCGTAAAAACATCTGTTTCAAAGTACTATCTACAGTACCACAAAGGTGACTTTATATTCTGGGAAGGTATTCAATATGATGAATGCAAGCAAATCCATGAACAAAAGTAAATACAATACCGATTCGACTCACCATAACAAAAGCCTGCGGAAAGTCTCCATAATTTGGGAATTTGGAAGGACTTCCAACAAGATTATATGCAGTATAAGAAATACTAATATTACTTCCATACTGAGAACTAAAACCTCTTACTCGTTTTACATATTGTTCAACAAACTTCACTAAACGTTTTGGTTTATCGTTATGATTATTTTCAATTATTGGTACCAAGTCTATTTTGATATTCTTATTTGTATTCATGTTAGAATCATATTGATTGTAATTTTTTGGAGTTTAATTTTAGCATAAAAACAAAACAATGTTTTTTTGATGTATTTTCTTTATGTCAACTACAAACCATTGTGAAGGACATGCGCAATTATCACTTGTTGATGCTTTTCATTGTTATCGACGATATTTTCTATTACCAACAGAGATGATGGGATAAACTTTTAGTTCTTGTAACAACCGCATGTGGCGGGAAGTCAAAATTAACTCTAATAAAAATAAAAACAAAAGTCAAACTCCGATAATCACAATCCAATATTTTAAAACAAAACAATAATATTTGAGATTACATATTTCAAATAATAGAGACAATTGTGCGTTTTTAATTTTTGTATTGATAAGAGATAAATAGAGACTACCTAAACAAAAATGGTTGACTTTTTGATCTTTATTTGCTTAGTGTATGAAAATAGTTGTACTTCCGGTTTGCAGAGAGCGTCAATGATCCGACAAATCGCAGTGAGAAGAGGAACATAGCCTCCCCAGTAGCAGAAACTGAAAGTAGTTTTTTAACAAATCGATATCCTCATTAAAATATTGACTGTGTGATTGTATACTGTCGCAGACAAGTCTAAAAAAAACTGTAATGTATTTTTAACAAGTTCATGTGGGAATAATTATTTCTCAATACACTAATCATTGACTAATTATCAATAAAGACATGTTTATAAGTTCAAGTGTGTTTTACATCATTTTAGTCATAGGATATTCATATGCTAGGCTTCAACCCTGGTCACCAGCTTCTTTTAACAGCGATGATGGTATTTTTACCTTTTATTAACTATGTTGCAAATGTCTTATTTTTTGTTTTCATGTTTTTAATCGTATATGTCTTGTGTTTTATCGTTTTTTTAATATTTAACAGTTTCTGAAAATTCGTACAGACATATGCAAATAAAATATATAATATATGTAATGATGTATGTATGTATGCATATACATGTACAGGTATATATATATATATATATATATATACATTAATAGAAATATTTCTCAGAAAAACTCTGAAATTTATGCGCTTTTTACACGATTTACGCAATTCTATTTAAAAAAAACTTTCCATAATTTTTATTTTTTTTCAGCTTGATTGTAAATTTTTCGTGTTGTTTTCTTATTCCTATTTAGTTTATAATAAAAAAAAAAAATTGTAATGTCAGTTTGCAATTTAATTAGAGAATATATTTATTAAAAAAAAAAAATTTTATTATAATTATAATTAAAGTTCATGAAAAAATAATATAGTTTGTAGAAAATCGATAAAACTCTTTTAAAAGTCCTTGAAAACAATCAATATTTTATATTTTATTATTTTTATGAAATATATATATTTTTTTGTAACTGTTTTCCAAATTTTTATAAAAATTTAGTAATCAATATAAACATATATATATATGTATATATTGATCAAATATTTGTATATTCCGAATGTAATGACAGTATATACATATTGATGAGATTAGATGAGTGTCATAAACCTAAAAGAGTTGGTAGTGATAAGTAGATATGATCTAATCTGATCACACCTAACTAAAAATTATTTTTGAATAATATCAAATACATTTGAATTTTAACCCCTCAACAATCTACATCCATTTCGTTAGATTTCCAATAAATCTAAGTTGATTAGATTAAATCAAATCAGATGTTAAAACTATTTCTTGAATTACTATGAGTGAATATTTACTGTAATTTAATATTTTGGGTATTAATAATTGATCATAAATCTTAACTCCCCTCAACTAGTTGACGTTTTTAGTATGATAACGATCAACGAGAGTGAAACATAATAAATATCAATAATTGAGTAGTTTACCCCATTTATTGTAACTTTGTGAATCATCAGATTACATAACAAATTATTATTAAATATTAACTTTATTGATATTTTGGTAAAATTGGAAAGTACTGATAATTTTTTTTTTTTTTTCTGTAACAGTTCCTTATTTGGATTTAAATTCACTTGACAATGGATACCATGGTCTCATTAAAGAAAATGAAACTCTTGTTGAAGTCACACCCCAAATTCATGCATTGGGTGCAACAATATGTTCATATCGTATTGTGAATAAACATCATGGTGATGCACCATTTGACATAACTCTCAAAGAAAATGGTTATGCGGAATTACGGGCTTTACAGGAAAAACTCAATTGTAAAAAGCGTCGTAATTATAAATTCGACATTGCTGCAGTGGCTTGTAATGGAGCACAATCACAAAAGTATGCTCCAATTTCTAATAACTATTTTTTTTTGTTTTTAATTAAACTTACTAACAAACTAATAAATAATTTTTTTGTTTAGTGTAACTGTACATATAACTGTAATTGATGTGAACAAGTACGCGCCGCAGTTTTTGCAGCCTGCTTATGTAAGTACAGTTGATGAAGGTCGGCTATATGAAGAAGTAGTTCGTGTAAAAGCATCAGATCGTGATTGTACCCCTAAATTTGGTGATGTATGCAAATATGAAATTCTTACTGCTGATCAACCATTTGTTATTGACAATGAGGGTGTTATTCGTAACACAGAACCACTGGATTATGAGCGGTCACATAATTATATTTTGAGTGTTGTAGCGTATGACTGTGGTATGAAACAGTCATCTCCTGCTATGGTAACCGTTAAAGTAAATCGAATTTGCTCACCGGGCTGGCGTGGAATTCCAGAACGAGTTGATTATGCTCCTGGCGCAGGACCCCAACCACTAATTCCATCTGCAAGACTTGAGTTGTGCGATGCTCCTTGCATATTAAGAAATATTCGCTCAACTTTAACTCTTGCCACTGATCATATTGGAAAAGGCTGTGATCGTGATACTTATAGCGTACAAAGTCAAAGAAAACTTTGCGGAGCATCTAGAGATAGTGTTGACTTATTACCTACTCCAGGACCCAATACCACTTGGACTTCTACACTTTCTCGAGATGAAGGAAGAGAAGCGGATGAAATATTCGAATTCGATGGCATCAATTCAGCCGCTATAATACCAGCTGATCGATTAGACCATACTTTGGCACAAAAATTCAGTATTGGAGTTTGGATTAAGCATCGACCTCGACTACGGCAAGATATTCACGATAAGGAGCATATTTTATGTGCTGCAGATGATCATAGTAAGTTTCTGGTTTTTTTTTAATCTTTTTCTTTTTTTAAATTGACTAAAAAAATTTATTTTACAGAAATGAACCGCCATCATTATGCCTTCTTTATCCGAAACTGCCGACTAATACTTCTTTTGAGGCGTGATTTTTCTGAAAGCGATCCTAACATATTCCGCCCAGCTGAATGGCGATGGAAAATTCCTCAGGTATGTGATGACCGATGGCACCATTTTACTGTTCAAGTAGACTTCCCTCAAGTAACGCTATTTGTGGACGGTAAAGAATGGAAAGCAGATGAAAAAAATCCTGAGGTAATTGACGATTGGCCATTACATCCAGCAAAGGGTGTAAATACTACCCTAGTTGTCGGTGCATGTTGGCAAAGTTCTGAAAATAAAACAAAACATCACTTCCGTGGTTATATGGCTGGTCTGTCAGTACTTATCGGACATAATGAGAAACCGGAAGTATTAACATGTCTACGACGTTGTCAAGAGGGTGTTCATGTGCCATCTATGGATTTACTTCAGCCTGGTACACAACTACTAACTAATTCTGATTTAACTGAAGTACGGATTGATGGTGATAATCACACAAATGTAGAAACGCTTTTACGTCGTATTGGCTATTTTAATACACGTCGTTTTCCAACACCTGGTCGTCGTAATTTCCGAATCGATACAAGTATTTTATGTGAGGGAAACGAAGCGCGTCCATTAATAATTCCCTCAGTCCAATCTTATGTTACTGTATTGCCATCTCCACGTCCAGGTATTACTGTAAATGGAACAGCCTTTATTGCACGGGAATATACTGATTTCCGTACCGGTGTTCGAATTTTCCCAGATACTAAAGTCACTGCAGGTTCCGCTGCTCGATTAGATGCATGTGCTGTAAGTGTTTATCCGAGTTTAAATCCCGATCATGAGTCTTTAGAATTACCTATTGATACTCTTCATCAATTCCGATCGATTATTGCAAGAACTGACCGTGACGGTGTAGTATTGTCAGGCGCAGATACTCCTTATAATTATCAAAAATTAATTAGATCTATTAAATATACTAATCATAAACCAGCTTACTATCTTGACCGTGTATTTAAATTAACGTGTTCTGAGCTAAGCGGACGTTTCGCTAGCAACGAATATGTTCAAACTCTGGCCGTAATTCATCCTAAAGAGAAACCAACCTTTGCGCCGCAACCTACTTTAGAGCTTCCACTTATTTCAAAAATACTCGAGCCATTACCAGGACATGCACAATTATCACATTATCATGCTGAAACTCCTGATGAATATGCAACTACTGCCCTACGAGAAAACACTAAAAGTATTACTGGAACAGGTGGAAGTCATGCAATAACAATTGTAGCTGCTGCTTGTATAGCCTTTTTGTTACTTATGGCTATTGTGGGAGCTGCTAGAGTTAGAGGAGCAACTAAGGGACGTCGTACCGCTGGAGACGAGCTTGCAGCTGAAACTGAAATGGCCTGGGATGATTCAGCTCTTGCCATAACAGTTAATCCTATGGAACATTTATCTGAAAATAATTGTAATACATACATTCGAAGAGATGAAGATGCTGAAGACTCAATAAGCTCTGACTCTGAAGATGATTCGTTCCATGATGATGATTTAGACACTAGTGACTGTGAAAATGATTGTGAATCATCGAACAAACAGAGTCACCGCCATCACAACGTTCCACATGATCTTGAATGGGATCATCGTGACGTTTAATTTAGGATATACTTCACAGATTGATTATGTAAGCGATCTGAATTTGTGAATCAATACTTGAGAAGGTACTGAATACAAAATTAGAGGAAAATATATCAATTTAATTTCAAAGTTAAAGGGGGGCAATTTAAAAAAAAAAAGATTTTCACAAACTAATTTTTTTTAACTCGCTCTTTTTTGTTTTATTTGTAAAGGATTACAAATATATTTCAATCATGTGACGTTATTTTTATTTTTAAGAATGCAATAACGGATGTTTGAGTAATATTAGAAGAGAAATTTTACAATTTGAGCCTACTCAATTACAACAAGAAAGATGTTTAAGATTGTAGTGATGAAGAATATAAAATCATCCTAAACATCACATTGTATCCGTCCCTAAAGATGGAATTTTTTAAAAATATACCTATAGTAACCACTTACATACTCTGTTTAAGCACGAATCGTAACGATTTATTATTAAAATTTGCACGACATTTTAATGGTTGAATTTTATGTCTACGATGAGGAAAAAAATTTGTATCATCAATACTTTACAATTTTCACGGTGTACAAGTTGTCATCCATATTTAATATAGTCTTTCAGCTGCTATTTTTATATATTTTTCTATGTTTTTATCATGATTTTTGTGCAAGATATAACACACTAGCATGGAATAATACCACAACATAAATTTTTTAAGTTATTTTTTACATATCATATTAAAGTAACTAACATTTTTCTACAAAGAATAGGAAGAATAGAAAATTTCATACATGAATTTTTAATTTTTAACGATTTACATATAATACTATGTAAAATCTCGTTTTTTATCTTAAAAAGTTTAAAATCCATAAACTTACTTTCAGAATAATTTATAATTTTATTTCATTAAAAAAATGTTACCATAAATTGTAAAGAATATCTTAAAACTTGTTTGGTGTCGAATAATTGAACATTTATCTTTTATATCTTGCACATAAACTATCTTATTTTTTTTTTTTTTTTGAATTTTTTATTGGAAATTAAATTCATTTTGTACATTATTACGAAATTTAAAAAAATATGCATTACACAAAAAATAATTCATAGATTGGTATGAACTATAAATCAACTCTTTTGAATGATCTATTTTATTTCTAGAAGACTAAAAGATAAAAATTTTCTAGATTACAACAGTTTATTTTAGAATCGATTTTGAAGGAAATAAAAAATTGAAAATAACTATTATTAAAAACAATGTGATATTTGAAGTCTGTGTATATGCACATAATATATTGAAAATTATTATTTATATAAGTTTCAACAGAATAATAAACAGCTATTATACACATTATTGATTATTCCAGTAAAACTAACAACAGATGTAGTAAATAAACTACAATAAATAATAAAATTTTGGTTCATGAGCATATTTTTTTTTTTGTATACTTTTGATATATCTACTGAAAACCTCGATATTCATCTGAATAATTATTTATCGTAACCGATTTGCAAGTAATTATTTTATTGATTTACATCAAGTTGATTACATTATGGATGACAGTAATAAAAATAAACTGGTACAGGTAGTACAGTCACAAATGAAATCTCGGTCATATTGGAATTAAAATAAGTGAATAAATTAACTTTGATCATAATAATAATAACAATAATAACAATAAGAATAATAATAGTAAGAATAATAATAATAATAACTAAAGTAGCGATAATAAAATAAAGAATAAATGAAATATGCTTGCCTTGATTTGCTATTTTCGATGAATTCCATGACTTCACACACAGCATTACAGTCATATTTTATAATTGTGCATGATTTTTTTTTTTTTCGCTCAAATAGTTAGTATATAAGTATTACACAACCGTAGTGCTATATGAATAAAATTGAATAATTTCACTATTGATACTTTGTACTTGATCTTATAAGAGCTCTATCAGGATATCACTGACTACAGTAATAGGAACTTACTATAATTGAATGGAGAAAATGAGAATTAAACTTATATACAACCCGAAAGTGTTACAGCTAATTTTGGTTAGAATAGGACTTTCTGTAAAAAAAAAAAAAAGATTATACTTAAGTGGTTGAACAAACCAATAGATGGATTAATTGTGAAAATTAGAGAAAAGTTAAGGATTGAATAGAATAAAATTATTTTTCAACCTCAAATAAAAGCATTTAAATTATAAAAAAGTAAATTCTTATTTTTTATACATTTTTTGGTTTTAATTATCCATCGATTGGTTTGTTTACTTCAATCAACTAAATTCCTTCTACTGTTGTAAATACGAGTCAAGCCTGTTTATTATATAAACTTAATTAACAACTGTTTATTTTCTAAGTAAACAATGAATGTTTTTTTTTATTCAATATTGACAGTTTTTATACTATTTTGGATTAATTATTTAAAATGTAGGATTCGGGTTAAATTTTTTTACAATAATGAATCAATTCTTTATAAACTAGAACAATTTATGAGTATTTTATGATAAAAAGGTTTGACCACACCCAATCATCACTTATGTCATGAGTAATTATATAAAGATATATTAATTTTTTTTACGCATCTACTAACATATGGAAAACTAAACAATAGTGTGTAGGGGTTAGAAGACAGTTTCCCAACAAATAACAATTAACAGACCTTAGCAACTCTATGTAAAGAAAGTTCAGCATATGCGCTGGTTCAAAAGAATAACTTTTTTAAAGCTTTATTTCTTGTATTGTTATATTGTTTTTTTATAGTTGCTTTTGCAGTTTTTTTGAAATATAAGTTGTGTTCAATAAAACTTCCAACATATCAATTTTAGTCTAATAAATCTACGAATTAAGATCAACAAATTAATCATTTTATCATTATTTTTTATAGAATTGTAAAAATGGTTATACATTAATTAATTTATTATTTAAAAATAACTTGAACTTTCATCAAGTAGGAAACAATAATTGAAAAAAAAAATCAATACCAGTTCAAAAATAAAAATAGAATTCTAATCAGAGTTTCAATAAATTCTATCTTTATTTGCAACTATTTCATCGTAAGGACAAGAGTGATTTATTATTATTATATATTTATAATGCTCTTAAATATTTCAACAGTTTTAATCTTATGAGTTCTCTAAAGTAGATTAAATTGCTTTAATATTATTTTAGTCATAGTGAAACATTTTTGTAAATATTGAAAAAGTATTTATACGATTATTTTTATAAAATTTACTAAAAATAGTATTTAAAATAAAATGATTTTTTTTGAATGTTTAAAATCATTCCAATTTTCTAAAAAATATTTACTGATTAATTTGTTGATCGGTTTTATCAACTATTATAGATTTACTAGACTAGATTGATAATTTTTAACATTATTGACAAAAATAATACACTGATAACATGACAAAATTAAATAGAAATCCAGGCAACTAAACTGTCTTAATAAAAAAAAAATATATTCTGTGCTACTAATAAATGTAATGTACTATTTTGGAAACCTGAAAAAATTATTGAGGTCTAATTAGATTTGTCTAATATAAGTTCAATAAATCTAACTTATATTTAATACGTTAAGCTTAATTAAATAGAACGTTTTTTTTTTATTTAATTTGAGAAAAATCTCTATTAAATAATCTTTGATCAGCTTATATCTAACTTGTGACTAAAATTGATCTATCTAATCTGCTTTCATCAGATCAAATTAGATCTAAATATATTTCAGGTAATGCAACACAAATAGAATTATTCTTAAAAATAACAATTATTAAACACAGTATTCATGGGAAGATTTATTTTTACAATATGCATATCATATCATTTTCATAGGATTATTGTCTTGCTAAAAACTACAAATGGTACTTGTTTAATGTAGTTACGTTTTTCATTTATCTTAATTGCTTAACATATTTGTACGATGTACTACATAAAAATTTTTATTATATAAATAAATGTTCTAAGTGTTAATGATGAAAATGAGTAACAAAATGACACAAATCTGTCAATAATCAAGTATATATAAATATATATACATCAAATAATTTAACGCTTATAGTTGTATGTAATTCACTAATAGCATTTATTCTAAAGAGTGCAGTAAGAAAATTTGAATCTTTTAAGTTGAAAAAACAATAAAAAATACTCATATCTATAAAAAAAAAAACATTCTTTGTTATGAAATAGTTATTGTAAATGGCAGTTGAAAAATATTCAAATTTATTATTGTATGTAATGTAATAAACGACGTATAATCTATATTTTATTGATCTAAGGCAACTTTTTTAATAACTCATTTCAAATTTCATGAAGTCATGATGTCAATGACGCTTAAAATAATTTTATCGATTGTGAATTGAAATTCCTGTTTAACTCTTAAAGAGTAGAAAAATATGTTTGGATTACCACCATTATAGTCCTGTTTAAATTGTACTTGGATCTATTTTGGAGTAAAAATTGCATTTATTGTTTGTAATACTTGAGCATAAATTGAAATAATAAAGAAAAAGCATACAGCTTAAATGTTGGCCGTTTCAAGTTGGAAATCCATAAGTAATGAAAAAATTTAAATACGGAATAAATTTAGAAACTATTTTCTATGCTTATTTCTTTCATTAAATAAAAGGTTTCATTCTTATTTTGTTTCTGAGTTTTTAATTGCTTTATGCCATTAATATAAATATGAAAATTCGATAAATGAGATTGCTAAAAAATTTTGGAACTTCTTCTATCTACATATTAACTCTCAAAATTTCTTGTAGTGTTCGATACTATTAAATTATATAACGATATTATAATTTGATATTATAACTAATAATAAATTATTTTTACTGGTTTATTGATATCTAGTAATTTAAATAGTCTGTACCTTGATTCATTTTATTGACGGAAAATTAATATTCAGTTGTATAAAATTTAAACATAAAGGTGATAACAACATTTTAATTTATGTTAATTTTTCGTCAATTAATCCAAGCGTTATTATTTTTCTATTATGACAAAAATTCTACTCTTGTTTGTGGGTCAAACGTCAATCGAGACGTCACATAGAGTAAAATTCAAATAGATTTTCCAGAAATAATTGTAGAAGAATTTTATCAGAAGCAAAAAATGCAAATCTTTTGGGAACCGTAAGTCAATTATAATATTTTTTATAACGATTTTTTGCAATCTTTTTTAATCATTATTATTGTGTATAATTGTTCTTAATCAATTTTGTGTACAATTTCTTTATTTATTTATTGGATATATTATCCCTAAATTTTTTAAACATTTACTACTTATTTTGGAATATATTAAAGTAGTTGATTGTAAGTTCAATTATATTATTAACAAAGTAAACAAAACACTCAAATTTTTTATTTTCACAAAGCTACTTTCACTGATATTTACTCAATGTGATAATTATTATGAGTTTACTTTTAGCTTAAAATAAATATTGATAGAGGCTGCTGAATTACATTTCTCAATGTACCGCGCTTATGCATAACCTATGTCTTGCTATGTTTTGTGTATAAATCTGTTTGATTGTATATTTTTTCCGTACTATTCTATTATTTTGGAAATTTTCAACTATTTAACATTTTCCCACACTAAATTGTGATAATTTTAGTACTTTTATTTATTTTTTATGGTTTAAATTATTTTATAATTTAATATAATGACAGATAACGAAGAAATGCCGTCAAATCCTAACGAATGTCAAACGAATCGCGAATCTGATCACATTATGGATGAACAAAACCGTATGGGTATTAGTACTAATAATCCTGATAATGAAGATGATGATGGAGTTGGTACTGTTACAAAAAAGCATATTTTTTTGATAATTTTTGGTATATTCACACATATTCTTGATATGATAGTTGATTTATCAGTCGCTGGACGATATTTACTCCAAAAAGAATATCATGATTTCACATGGACAATTTCAGTTTTATTCATTCCTTCATTAATTAATGTAATTGTGAGTGATCGAATGTATCAACAAGATTTCGAGGTATAAATGATTGATATTTTTTATTGATTGTTTTTAGAGCAATAATTGTTAAAAGATGAACAATTATCGTTTTCATTATATACTAAATTCATGGCAATAATTTTTTTTTAAAATATTTTGATAGCAACAAGTATTTCCTCTATAAAAATGACTCATTTATCTTTACGCTGATAAAATGTATAAGCTCATGATGTTAGCTATTTTCATAAATGAATTTCATTTAGAATTATTGTAGTAAATCATTTCATCAATTAAAATACTATTCAATTCTACAAAAAATTTATAGAATCTATTTCTTCCAATTATAGTTGGGGAGCTGAGGTCTCTCAATTCTCACTTAGCATTTTTATTATTAAAAATGGACAGAAATAATAAATACGTCGAAAATTACAATTGTTTAAGCTGTAAGTAATATTATTCAAGCAAGTAGTGCCAAATAGATTACTCAAATTATTTTGATATAACTTGAATGGGCAATTGAAAAATTAATTTATTAATTTTTTTATCTGTTAATTTGGATTGGTTATTCATGAAACTTATGAACTACTTTTATTGTTATGATTGTAAATCTAGCATCATGATTAATTACCTAAATAGACTCTAAAACTGAAATTGCTTTTAATTTCTTTTTTTAAATTTTTCTTTACACGTTTGGAATAATTACAGCTGGATCCTGAAAGTTCATGGAATCGTACAACTGCTTGTAAAATCATTCAAAAAAAAAAATATTGGCCCCTTATTGTATTTTTTCAATTCGCTCCTGTTCTTAGGTATTTTGATAATTTGAAATGTGCTTTAATAATATACAAATGTCAAAAAGGAAACGATTATTATACAAAAAAACAATATCATAAGATGATGATCAAAGAAAAACAAGACATTTCATTATTGCAAATATTTGAATGCTTTTTGGAATCTGCACCTCAAGCAGCTGTCCAACTAAGTCTAATGATTAGAGATTATAAAACAGATGCACCAATTAATTTTACGTGTAAGAATTTTAGTAAATCGAAAGCATATAATTGATAATTAGAAACAAAATAATAAGACTGTTTATATTTTCAGTAATTCATCGTATTTTCAATATATCAATGTCATTAGTAAGTATGAGTTATGTACTGCTAAAATACTATGAAATAATAAGATTAGCACAAGAAAATAAGGAAAATATTAAAACAAAAATGCAAAAAATAGTACAATTTTTGTGGATTCTTTTTGTAGCAGGTACATGTAATTTAAATATTAATTTTAATAAGAAAATTATGTACTTCATTTTTAAATAATTAAAATATTTTTTAGTATCACGAATAGTAACAATTGGTGCAGCAGCTGCAATTTATAGCGTTTTAGGAGTAACTGTATGTTTTTTACACTGGATATTTATGACAATTTGGATGATAAAAGAATCATCTGGAATTTTACAATTCTGTCGAAATCAGAGTAGAGAACCTCATATTCCACCAACTACTCTAGAAAAAATAAAAACTTATAGCTTATGTGGCATTTATGGTGCTATATCTATTTTTATATATTTAAAACCAAAGGATGGACCGACACTCTATAGACATATAGTTTATTATACTATTTGTGGTTTAGAAAATTTCGGCGTAACATTATTTTGGATATTTGAAGAAAGTGTGAGAGCACAGTATCCACAATATTGGAACTACATAATAATTTCCTTTTGTACTGTTTCGTATATAGTTGGAGTATTAATGATGATAATATATTATCGGTTTTTACATCCAAAAGTAAAAAACCAAAGAAAAAATACTCGAAATATAATTACTTAATTATTTTATTACGTTACGTTAAATTAATTTTTATATTGTAATAAATAACCATGACATTTTATAATTACATCATTATCAATATAAAAAAATTTAATGAAAAAATCAAGCGATAAAAATCTGTCAACACTGATAAAAACAAATAAATATCGTTTTTTGTAATAAAATTTCTATGAATAATTTCTTGATTTGATTTGGGAATAAAAAACAGATTATTTTACTCATCACATTTTAAAATAAATTCAATCCACTGGATTTTGTACGACAATTAAAATAAATTCTTTATCTGGTGCTACCATAATTTCATGCTTTTTACTCCGAATACGTAAAAATGTTAAATCATTTGTCGGATCCAAATCTCGAACTACAGCTCTTGCTCTATCAGAAAGTTGGCTTATTAATCCTGCATATTGTACTGTTGTTGTATTATCTAGTGTTGATTTGATTGGTATACCTGAATAAGTAAACGGTAAATTATTATTTAGACTTGGAATAAAATGACTTAAAAATTAAAAATAAATTTAACCTTCTGAATTCACAACGATTGTTCCAACAACACCTTTATGAGATTGAATTCGTTTCATAGTTTCTTCAACTTCTTGTGCCTAAAATATTTTATTTATTAATTAATATTGCTATTCAATAATTCATAACATAATTAACAATACTGTTAAAATAATTAAATAAATATAACAAGATTTATTTACCATTTTTATAAGTGATAATAAAAATACTCCTTTATGACAATAGATTCAATAACTTTATTTATTTATAATATATAAATGGCAACAGCTGCTATAGCAACGAAAATCAATCACTGCTGATAACTTGGGATATTAAAAAATTAAAAAAGCTTAAAATTCAAATTAAGTTAAAGATTAAAATTAATGTTTTCGATTCACTATGCTTGGATTAACTATAAAATATAGCCAAATGAAGAAAATAGTAGACATTAGGTTTAGATATTAATAAATCCCCTCTACTTCAGTTCCGTACTTATCATCATGGTTACAGACATGCGCAAAACGATACACCTGTAGTAGGGCAATAAAACTTCATTGGAGGGGATAAAGTATCACTCATTATTTTAATATTTTATTCTTTATATTAAAAAAAATGTCACGTGGTCATTTCAAATTTCGACTAGCAATATGTTATGACTAATTTCTTAAAAATTTAATCCTTTCACTTTGAGAAACGTATTCGAATCAAAATGTAGCTTGTTACCGACATCACAAGGATTAATTTTTAAATCTTGTTGTTACCACAGGTAGCGAGGGCGTAAAATCGTCTTCGATAAAAATGAAAAGTCAAGCCTAGCCTTCAGGATATATATTCCTTATTGTATCTCTGCAAGAGTGTCTTGTGATACATTCACTAATTTTTTACTCTAACTCATAATTAATAATGTTTTTTTTAAATATATAGTCAAGCAAGTGATGATTGTTTGTTGTAAATTTTATAATTGTTTTAGACATAAATCATAGAGTATGTTTTTATATATTAATTGACACATAAAAATCTACCATGGACGGAGCAGATGTTACATTCCTTTTTCAATTCGGTTTATTACGTGATACTGTTAGTATAGAGGCAAGTGCCTTAACATTAAAAACACTGAAAGAATATGCATGTAATTTTATAATTACTAAATGCCCTGATCATGGGCTGAATCAATTATTTGAAAGATTGCTTTTATTCAAGCATGACTACAACTCATCAAATGTTTTACAACTTATTAACAATGCCGCAGAAATAGTTGACGAAACATTAATTGAAATTGTATTAAAAGGTACGTAAAAAATTCATTTATTACACTAATACTTATTTTAAATTTATAAAAAAAATATTTTTAATGTTTACTTAAATTATAGCCCAAGTACCAACCGAAGAGATTATTGTAAGACCCCATACTTTATCTGTACACTCATATAAAACACCTACTTTTTGCGATTTTTGTGGTGAAATGCTTTTTGGATTAGTGAAACAAGGTCTCAAATGTGAAGGATGTGGCATGAATTATCACAAAAGATGTGTTGTAAAAATTCCAAACAATTGTATACAAGATTCAAATAAACAAAGGCGTAGTTCAACAATGCTAAATGTGCCTAGATCACCTAGTCAAGGTTCTACAAGTAGTTTTGGAGGTACTTGTGATGATAATCAAAATATGGGAGCATTTAATCTCAGCCAAAATAATACTTCTGTAAGTTTAACACTCTTTTAAACGCTCTAATTATTCGTAGTTTTACTTGGCCTACTTAAAAGTGTATGCATATTTTTTTATTTTTACAGTCCGTTACAACTTCTAAACAGTCCAATTCATCATCTTTGGGAGATAAAATTCCCTGGACAGACCGAGAAACGATATCTCGAATCAAAATACCTCATACGTTTGTTGTCCATAGTTATACCAGACCAACAATATGTGGGTATTGTAAAAAACTTTTACGTGGGCTTTTTAAGCAAGGTCTACAGTGCAAAGATTGTCACTATAATATTCATAAAAAATGTATAGACAAAATTCCTAAAGATTGTATTGGTGAAAATTCAAAGGACAATTGTGGTGGTAACATTTATAATTTTTAAATCACTATGAATTTATTTAATAATAATTTAAAATTTATAACAATTAAGTAATATTTTTTTTTTTCTAATTAGGAACAGAGTGTTCAGATAGTGATCCAGGAGATCATGAAGGAAAATTTGATGAAGGTAAAGAAGATGGTGATATGGATAGTGATGTCGAGTCTTCCCCAAATTCATCTCAGCATGAATCATATCAACTGTTAAATGAACACCAAGTTGGCGAAGTATTAAATGTGAGTTTATTGAGACTAGAATTTAAATATGAATAATCAAAAAAATTATAATTTGTAGTAATACTTTGTATGACAATTATTAAGTTAAAGATTATTGATTAAATAGAATTTAATGAAACTTATAAATTATAGCCAATTATTGACATTATTTCATTCCGACACTATAAATATTTTTATTGGATGTACGATTATTTTTTAATTACAGCAACAACTGAAAATTTCTGACGAACCAATTCCAAACTCTTGTCAACCAAACTCATCAGAGTAAGTTTTTCTATATTTATTTATGCACATAGCAATACGTATTTTTACTTATCAAAAATATAAGATTTTTTTGCTTAAATAATTATCTGTTAAATTCAATTTTTTGAAAATAATTATAAAACAAAAAGAGTACAAAGTTACCACGTACTTACTTTATTTCAAATATATTGGCAGACAATAAATATTATTTGAAGTTGTCGTGAACTCTGTTCTTAGACTTTTTTCTTGAAAAGTTGGTACAAAATAAATATTTTTTACCTTACTCATAACTTAATATAATTTGTTTATATGATCATTGAATAGATGAATTCATACTTTTTTGAAAATCAGAAACGTACTGAAGTTTTAAAATCAAAATTGAATATTATATCTTGATATTTTCTATTTTAATGTACCTCTTCTTTATAGATCTCCTTTAAGCAATAATATACCTCTCATGAGAATTGTACAAAGTGTGAAACATACAAAAAAGCGCGGTGCAAAAATCTTAAAAGAAGGTTGGATGATTCATTACACCAGTCGTGATTCAGCTCTACGTAGACATTACTGGCGTCTTGATTCAAAAGCAATAACATTATTTCAAAGTGATACAGGATCGAAATATTATAAAGAAATTCCATTAGTTGAAATATTAGGTATTGAAACGTTCGATTCATCAGAGTCTTCCAAGAAAACATATTCCTTTAAATTAAGGACTGCACTAGTTGACTATTATGTTGGAGAAGATTCACTATATTTTGATTTGGCTGGATCATTACCGACACTAGATAGTGGGGTAGGAGTTTATTCAGGAAAATCATGGGAAACCAGTATTCGTAATGCATGGATGCCTGTTACAAGTAATTACGGTAAGATTATTTTACGGGTATAATTGATTTACATCTAATTAAATATTAATTATCCTTTATTAGAATATTTTATTGTATTTACAGTAAATTTTTTTCAAAATTTTATCCAAACAATGAATATTTTTAAAAATAAATTCTACAACTTTTTACTCTTTTTCTATAAAAATTTTCTCATTATTTATTTCATCTTCTACTATAAAAATTGATTCATTTTTTTAGAGAAATTGAAAAAAACTACTGTAGTTAGATATTTATTTCATGATAGTTATTGCTTGAAGAATAAATATAAATGCAAACATAATTTTTTTCAAATAAAAAAATTACAGATGATGATACACCAACGGAATCTGAAAATACTGTATTGGATATGTCACATATCTATCAGATATTTCCTGATGAAGTTTTAGGATCAGGTCAATTTGGTATTGTTTATGGAGGTGTACATCGTAAAACAGGACGGGCAGTTGCAATAAAAGTAATTGATAAACTTCGTTTTCCAACAAAACAAGAAGCTCAATTAAAAAATGAAGTTGCAATTTTGCAAAATTTATCTCATAATGGAGTAGTTAATCTCGAAAGAATGTTTGAAACGCCTGAGAGAATATTTGTTGTTATGGAAAAATTAAATGGCGATATGCTAGAAATGATATTAAATTCAGAACGTGGGAGATTAAGTGAAAGAGTTACTAAATTTATAATAACACAAATTTTAGTAGCACTTAAGCATTTACATAGCAAAAATATTGTTCATTGTGATTTAAAACCTGAAAATGTCTTGTTAAGTAGTAGTAGTGAATTTACTCAAGTAAAATTATGTGATTTTGGATTCGCTAGAATCATTGGAAAAAAAAGCTTCCGACGTAGCGTTGTTGGAACGCCAGCGTATCTTGCACCTGAAGTATTACGAAATAAAGGATATAATCGTTCTTTGGATATGTGGAGTGTTGGCGTTATTATATATGTTTCACTGAGTGGAACATTTCCATTCAATGAAGATGAAGATATTAATGAACAAATCCAAAATGCTGGGTTTATGTATCCATCTAATCCATGGGATGAAATATCAGCTAACGGTAATTTACACAATAAATAAATACTCAAATTACTTATTTTAGTTTCACTTTTATCACGTTTACAGTTTACTTTAATTAAGATTATTTTTTAAAGCTCTATAACTAGTTAAATAATAATGAAATTTTTTTTCAGCAATCAATTTAATTAATAATTTATTACAAGTAAAGCAAAGGAAACGATTTACCGTAGATAAAAGCTTGCAACATATTTGGCTTCAAGATTATCAAACATGGTGTGATCTGCGAGAACTCGAAAATCGTATCAATTGTCGCTATCTAACGCATGAAAGTGATGATGTTCGTTGGATGGCTTATAGTAATAATCAACAAACATGACATTATTTTTCTATCGTGAAAATCAAATTTTTACATAATTAAACAACCAACATTCAATTTTAAATTATATATACATTCATATCCATATTATTAAAACATCGCTCATTCCCTTAATGCGAAAAAATGTATAAAAATATATTAAATTATGAAGTAATTTACATACAAAGATTATAAACAATACTCCAATCATGTGAAAAATTTTTTGAAAACTTTAACAGAATATATTATAGAGTAAAATATATCAAAATCTGTTGAACAAATTTTTATTAGGATTTTAATTTATTAATATACGATCATGTTATATTTACCATTTGATATATTATTAAATTGTAATATTAATCTCTTGTATAGTATTTTCCCGCAAGTATATTCCATAATATACGATAATTATTTGATACGTGTAAATAATTTTATTATTTTTATGACGCGTTATCTAAATGCTTGTTATGTATTACAAAATTATTCATTTTTTCCATGTTTTTATATAATATTGACAAAATTTTATTCGTACGCAATATGTCTTACTTACATTTTAAGGCATTCGCAGTTAAAAAATTTCAATGTACTTTCATAATAATAAAGACAAATTTTAATGCTATCTTGTTTTTTTTTTCCATCACATCTTTTCATATCTTCAAACATCTTTCATTGTATAAATCTTTCCTTTGATTGAGAAAAATAATCTTATCAATCTAAGTTTATTTGTATTCCAAGCTATTTTTATCTGTAACAATTTTTAATTATTAAACTTCAAAGTACGCTATTATTATCATACGTAAACAAACTCAAACATTTCCATCCATTTTGTTAAACTCTAAAAGAATGATTATAATCAACATTTCTCTGCATTGTTTTAATATTAAGGAAAATAATTCTTCAGAATTCATACTTTATCTATAAAAAATCATTATAAAATGTTTGAAGTATTTAATGACTCCAAAATACTTGTATTTTTATATTAATAATAATGTACGAAGCGTCAGCTCCGAAATTTGACATTTGCCACCCTAGGTTTGTTGATTTTCTACGCATGTCAAACAAATAAGTAATCCCCCACTACCTTAGATAATATATTAGTTATATGTCTTTTACTACAGATCAAAAGGTTCTTTTTTGGCCAATAGTACTATAGTTTTTATATACATATTTTCAACTTTATTTTTTACACGACATGTAATAACGACATACATGCTAGCAAGTAATACATATGATAACATTATGTATATCTTGGTTTTTCTACTCGATGTGAATTTGTTTTGAACGTTTCATAGTTTCTAAATTTCCTATTGTCTGTGCCGTAAAGTGTAATTACGATTGAAAAATTATTTAAGATCCTGTAGCTACTTTTATAAAGATTTGTAGCGTATTATTATTTCATTTATGTTTTTAAATATGTCACAATTTTAAACATAAATATCTTCAAAACAAATAAAATGGAATCTTCACAAATAATTAAAAGTAAAAGGAATAAATTTCTTAATTTACTCCTTCAAAGAGAAATTCATGTAAGTATATATTTTGTCCTTTACAACAATTAATTGATTATTATTATTGACAACATTTGCTTATTAGTTTTATTTACATTTTATTATTTGCTTTGTATTGTTATGAAAAACGTTAATAATAGTATTAAATAAACAATGTTATTATTATTAACAGTTTATTGGTATAAATTTAATTAAAAAACAGCTTTTATTATTCATTTAAAATAAATTCAACCTTTTTTTTATTGATACAATATTTTTATAAAAAATTTTATTTCATCTTTTTACCACACAGATTTTTTATAATCAATGCAATTAGTTTGTTCTATAATTGAAAAAAAGAAATCTTTTCAATTAGTTTTAACATATTTGTTAAACAACATCATCAATCAAATAGTTCAATATACGTTAATAAAACTGCGTTTTTTCATTCTAACCACAATTTGAATATCAGCAAAATTATGATGGATTTACCACAACCTTTCTTGAATATTCAATTATTGCTGTAAAAATGTCACTCTCTTGAACATGAATCCTTCCTCTTTTTTTCTATTTTCATTAAATAAGTTTAATCTTGTGTTATATCATCTCCTAAGTGGTTTAAAAATCTCGAATATAAGAATTATAAAAAAAATGTAATTTAATTTGTCAATTAGTAATCAATATAAATTTTTATTTAGGAACCTACGGCACGTGTATTACCTAATAAATTACACGTGACAGATGACTTTATAGCACGCTTAGGATTGGAAAAAGAACTGAATGGACATGAAGGATGTGTAAATTGTTTAGAATGGAGTGAAAATGGCCAGTAAGTTCATTGTTTTACTTATTTTTTTTATTAAATCCAGCAAAATTATTATTTTTTTCTGTCTCTTCAGACTTCTTGCATCGGCCTCAGATGATATGCGTTTGATTGTCTGGGATCCATTTCGTTATAAACAAAAAGTTGCTCTGAATACAGGTCATACCGGGAATGTCTTTTCAGTAAAGGTAAATAATTTTTTCCAAGTATTTGTTATATGTTTAAAATGGATTTCTTTTTTAGTTTTTACCAGAAACTGCCAATGCAATAGTGGCAACGGGTGCTGGAGATAGTGGTGTGAGAGTTCATCATTTATTTATAAGAGATACATTTTTTGAATGTAGCTGTCATACAGGTCGTGTAAAACGAATAGCAACTAGCAATAGTGTTCCTTGTGTATTCTGGACTGCTGCTGAAGATGGGTTAATATTACAGTATGATATGCGAGTTCGACATCATTGTAAATCAAATGATCGTCGAAATGTCTTGATAGATTTGATAAACCATGTTGGAAAGAAAGCTGAAGCTAAATGTATAGCTGTCAATCCAACGAGAACAGAGTTAATTGCAGTTGGTGCAAATGATTCTTATGTTAGAATGTATGATCGCAGGATGATCAAACTTAGTCAAGTTAGTATTATTCATTACAAACTTAATAACAACTAGCGTAATTGTTGTTGTCGTGTATATTCATTTTTACTGCTATGCACACTATATATTTAATGATTGCAACACACATACATATCTGAATAAAAATAATTTCTCATACACTAGATACTTTAGTCGATATTACTCGTAGTTTTAAACTTAGTTTGATAATTAATAATAGCAATTAATGTGTTATTTTTCTAGATCCCTACTGGATCTACATTGCAAAACGACTGGACCCGAGTAAACTCCAGTACCGCTGGCAAAGGAGATCCAGATGACAATATACCACTTGGTTGTGCCCAATATTTTAGTGCTGGTTCGTTTGAAATTTAAACTTTAACTTTAGAACATAGTTTTTATTGATTTGAATAAAAAAATTAGTCATAGTAGTTTAGTTTATTTAGCATAACCAAGCAATCAATGAAACGTCTATACAAAATACTAAATAGCATTACATATATTCTAAACTGTTTTTATAAGTGTGGCTTTGTTTTGACATTTGCTTTATAACTTGGTTCTTCTAAGTGTGAATAATTGATTGTTGTTGAAAAATAGTTACTCTGTATAAATGTTTATTTCTAATTTTTCTATCAATCTATTTCATTTTTAAACTAAATTAATTTGTTTATTAGAATACTGATTTTTGTATTTTATTTACAGGACATTTAGATACATCTTCATTAAGAATAAAAGAAAACACTAGGAATTATGCTTCAACTTACCTGACATTTTCAGCTGATGGTAGTGAGTTATTAGTGAATATGGGTGGTGAACAAGTGTATCTTTTTGATATAATAAAACATAAAAACTGTAAAACATTTATAAATAATTTTGAAAACGAAATATCTTCGAAACAGTCAGGTAATAATTTTGACAAAATATTTTATTATTTCGATATAAAATTTAGAACGATATAATTTTTAATATAGAATCAGAAAAAAAAGATGATGATGATGATAATATTATAAAATCAGCTTATGGAATTGAAGATAATACGATGTGTGATTTATCATCTAAAAATATCAAAGAATTACCGAAAGATATTGAAGATATGAAAAAAGAAGTATGTTCATCTTTTGATAAAGTAGTTAAAACCACTAAATCATGACGGATAATTATACTTTTAGGCAAATGCGAAATTTGAACAACAAGAATATACATTTGCAATTAATTTATATAACAGAGCTATTAATTTATTATCATCCGCTGCGATTCTATATGCTAATCGAGCAGCAATATATATGAAAAGACGATGGTAAGTCAATTTAAAGAAGTTATTATAATATGTTTAAATAAAAATCCAACATTAAACTTACTTAACAATTTATTTTTAGGGATGGTGATATGTACAGCGCATTAAGAGATTGTCAAAAAGCTTTACAATTAGATCCTGATCATGTTAAAGCACATTTCAGGTATGTTATAATAAAAGTGGTTTATTTTATTTAGGAATATTACTTATAACTTCTGCATATGTTTATAGATTAGCTCGTTGTTTACATGAATTGCATCGACCAGTTGAAGCATATAAAGTCATTGAGGATTTTCAAGAAAAATTCCCAAGCTATGCTGCTAATTCAACTTGTTGGGCTCTAAAAAAAGATATCAAAGAAGCACTACAAGCATGTAAGTTACTTTAATTATTTTTGTTCAAATTTTAATGATAAAAATTTTAATAAACACTCTTATGATTGTTAAGATACGAAATACGTAGATTCATATCCTCCACAAATTTCTCCTTACGAACAAGAATGGAGAAAACGTACAATTCATCATAAACTTCGGTTTTACGGTCACTGTAACACAACTACTGACATAAAAGAGGCCAACTTTTTTGGAAAGTAAGTTTAAAAATTCTTTAAATTTCATCTAAAAAGTATCTATGCATAATGATCTAAAATATTAAAAATTTGTCATTATATTTTTTAAAAAACTAGTGATCAGTACATAATTGCTGGATCAGATGATGGCTTGTTTTTTATTTGGGATCGTCATACGACAAATATAGTTAAAATACTTCGTGGAGATGACCGAATTGTTAATTGTCTACAACCTCATCCATCAACTTGTTTATTAGCAACAAGTGGAATTGAACGAGTGATTAGGTTGTGGAGTCCATTGCCAGAGGTAAATATCAAGCATTTAAAAAAAAACCTTCTAAGATATTTTTAAAATAAGCATTTAATCCATGGATTATATTCATGTAGGATGATAGTAAAAATGAACGTGAAATAAATAATTTCGACACTATTGCATCAGCAAATCAAGTTCGTATGAATAGTGATCCATTTGAACTGATGATGACAAATATGGGATATCGAATAACAGGTCATTCCACCATAGATCTCGAGGATGGAAGTGAAGAAACTGATGAGCCTTTTTTTCAATACACAAATTGTCGAACTAGCTAAATATCCGTACTCCGGAAAATTTTGAATAGATATATAATATTAATAAATCATTAATATTATATAACTTGAGTAATTTTTATAAGGGCATTTCTTAAGTGTAAAATACACATTAGGTATACTCTTCCGAATTGTCCATTCGAATACGCAGATTAATGTTTTATCGTTGAAAGAAACAATGGATATTTACTCAGTTATTATACTAAACTACTATAGCCCATTTATACAGATTTTGATCTTGTGAATAAAGTTTATTTCTTCAAAGATAAATTTGTTGTTATCCAACTAATATTTTTACATTGACTATTTAAAAAAATCATTTTCTGATAAGAAAAAAAGTAGAATATATAATCATATTTACAGTTAGATTTAAAATTCTTATTTTAGCAAAAAGTATAAAAATTACACATAGATTTTTTACTTTCATTATGTTTATATAAAAAAATTCAAGTCTTTTTAGATTAAAAAAATTAAGATACAAACATCTAGATACATTCCAAGTTATTTTATTGATGGCATTACAATAGAATCAATCAAAGCCATAACATTGTTTCCGAGATTTCTGCAATTGATATCAGGATCACCCTTTATAGAATTCAATGACACATCTTCCAACCACATTCTAAACTCAAATAACAATGCCAACATTTCTGTGGTAAAATTATTGTCCGATAAATTTATAATTACTACAGCGATTGTTTTTATAATAATCAGTCGAATATTTGCTTCTTCATGATACCTTAAAGACCATGCTAATTCTAAAATAGCTTGTGCCATGTTCGGAGCTATTACGCAATTTTTTGAAGCTGTCATTAATACTGACAATGTTTTAAGAAAGCTAGTTAATAAAATGTTCTTAATGTCACCTAAATCATCAGGTACTTTATAAATATATGTATGATTTTGCATCATTCCATACATTAGAGGATAAAAAAAGTAAGAAGCTACATCATTAAATTTATTTATAGTTGTCTCATAGACTTTACTTTGATGTGCAATTCTTCTAGTTTTTCCTTGTATTCTTTCTTCAACAATCTCTTTCCAATTTTCAGAAGAATTATCACAAATGGCAGCAACTTCATATTCGTCATCATATAAAATTTCGTGCTTTTTACGACCACTCATATCTATAAATAAAGACACAGGTTTTGAACAAGTTTTCGGTTTTTTTATTACTTCATTTTTCTTCTTTCCATCATGATTCACAACACTTGTTGATATTTTTCTCGCAGCTTCAGCTAAAATTTCTAAAAATAGTAATCTATCATTTATTGTAACTTCTTTTGATTCTGAATGAAACTGATCACATAAAAACTTTGCACATTCCTTAGGATATACAGTAACTATCGCTACACATGCTTTAAGCTTTAATGTTTTAAAATTTTCTACATAGACTTCTTCTTTCAATGGTAATAAAATATTTAATAACTCTAGAGCAAATGATGAATCATCGTTTGGAAGTTGAGATAATATTAAATCTTCAGCAATTTCAAGTGATTCAGAAAATATATCTGGATCATTTTTTCCTGATATATTTATTAAATTTTCTTTTAAGTCACGTAAATAAGATGGCTTTTTATGTTCATTAACACTTTTATCATTTGATGAATCATATTGAATTAAGTCATCATCACTATCTAGATTTTGATCATCATCATCATTTTTTTCTATATTATCTTCTTTTTCCTTTACATCATCACATCTAGTTTTAGACAACGGTAGATCATTTGAAATGCTAGAATTTATGGTTTGCAAATCTTCTGTATGGAAAGAATCAGAACAATATTTACTTAGTTCGATGATTCTTTGATCTCCATCATCATTATGTGCTTCAAAAAAAGAAACTTCGGTATTTTCTGATTCTTTTGAAATAATTTCAGAGAAATCTTGCAGCCTTTTGATCATATGCTTTCCCACATCGGGCAACAAATTATAATCAAATTTTAATTCAGGTGATTTTTTATCAGCTTTTAAACATGATACTACTAATTCACTTGTAATCATACCCATTCCTCGGACTTCAATATTTATTGATGCTAAATGCACAAAAGTGCCATCAAAAATTAATTGTTCTACTTTGCTTTTATCTTCCAATTTTAATTGTTTCTGTTTCTTTAATATTTGTACCGACATTATAATTAATTTGGCAATGTACTCGTGTTGTGCAATACCGATATGATTCAAGGCACTTTTATTCCTCCATATTTCTAGTAATTTAATTAATAAATCCACTAAAATATTTTGTTCATCTTGAAAACGAGATAAATAAGTAATCAGGTTGATGATGAGCTGATTATTAGTATAATAAGATAGTAATGGAATCTTCGTTGTTAATATATACTTCCATTGAGGATTGTTGATTATGTCTCCAAAAATTTGATTCACTTCTTGTGGATTTTTGATTGATTTTAATAAAGAAACTGCTATTGACTCAACACTATTCCTTTCAATGGAGCAGAAAATATCTCGAATAACTGACATCATATTTTTTTGATGATTTAGAGACCAGCTCTTTAAAATATGAATTAAATCAGAAAACTTGTTACTACCAAATGCAAGAATATATTTGCTTATCATTGAAGATACTATTTTATAACTTGGCTTTACATTCAATTGTTTTTGTTCTTGATTTAGAAAGAGTAATGCACGAGATAGATGATAAATCATTAGCTTACAATATATATCTTCTTGAAAACAAGTTTCATTAATTCCATGAGTTTTATTAGCTAGTTTACTTGGTAAAGAAACTAAAAGTTGAAGAAAATTTTTCCATTTTTGTTCGGCTGTATCATATTTTTCAACTGTATTTCCATTGATGCAACAAATGTCAACAATTGATGAGTATAAAGCATCACTTTTCATAACTTTAGCTAATGTCGAAATAAGTATGTCAATCTTGGTGCTATTTGTAGTCTTTTTTAAATGACTATCGACGATTGACATTAATTCATAAAATATTGAAAATGGTACACAGTCTATTACCATAATTTTACTTATTACAGATAATAATAAATCATTATTTATAGGAGAAGTATCTAAAGTTGATAGTATTCTATCAAGTATTTGGCTGTATAGATGACTGTCGATTTCTTGATATTTTTGTTCAATGTATTTTTCCTTTTTTATAAATTTAGGAAAAAGCTCAACATATGTTGTAACATCTGACTCTAATTTTTTTAGAGTAACTGTATTTTTTCCTTTATCATAAAGATTTAGTGTATCAAGTATTTGTTTTGCAGCAGTTTCCATTTTAAAATGTATTTTGAATAAATGTATTATTTACAAATTTATATTATTGATGACGAATTATATTCAGAAGTTGACCTCAACGTTCCTTGTAAATTGATTTCTTCATGTTTATTGTAAATGAATGTAACGAGATCTGAAATGCAGAGAAATAAAAGTTTATAATCTTAAATTATTTCATATTAATTTTAACTAATGAATTATAACAGATATTTATAGTGAAATTATTGATTTAATCTTGTGTAGTAAAGTGTTTTCTTACTATTTCGATTGTGTGAATGGAGCAAGTGGAGTAACAATGTTTGTGTCAATATTGCAAAGAGAGGTTATGTTTACATTCGGTATGGGAAATCACAATATTATATTATTATAAATAAAAAATTATGTTAAATCGAAATTTCACTTTTTCTATTATATAAACAATGTAAAAAATACGTACAAAACCATCAATTAATATTATTTATATACAAGTATTTCTAAAAAGGTTATGCTGAACCAGATCAACATGCGAAAAAAAAATACTGCACAAATTTTGACTATACAACTCCAACTTTGATTGTGAGTTTGCGCATTATTGGAATAATTTCAAAAAATCAAATTGTTGTCATTGTTCATGTAATTATTGAACTATATCCAACAGTGTATGCTAATTCAATACCTCGGGTGTCTAAAATGATTAAAATCAAATCAATCCAATTTAAAAAATTTTTTTGGTGTATTAACCTACATTTTTTATTTTCGATAGCTTCTTAAAATTTGGCTCTGTCTGATCGTACCTGTCCATAGCTACTTTCTTTATGTCGGCAAATTCTGTTTGAAATTTTATCAAAACATATCACGATATATTATTTTTCTGTAAGTAATGGAGTCATCATTATTGTAAACTACGTTGTTTACATTTTTTTGATCCACATCGCATGCAATTGAATATAAACAGATATATGTGTAGAACTTGAAGAAAAAAATGTAAACAAATAAAATAGGTATGATCCAATGGATTTTGAAATGTTATTTAACAAGTATTTTAAAGTACTTATATAAGTTAATTTACTGTTGGTTATTTTTGTCAATATACGGAGTAATTTAAATATCAACACATTAAATTAGCTAAAGATAATTATACTTATTCTTTTAAATATTAAAAAATGTAAAAATTAAAATAATAAAGAATGAAGAATAGATGTTATTCAGTCAACAATCATACTAACGCTAATGACTTGTTGATAGTTTGCCTTTAGTTGTTAACACATTTGAACTTTTCACACAAATTCATGTAAACTTTATAAACTAATTAGATTTCAATTTTTAATTTATCTGTTACTGTACATTTCCATTTTAAAGTTTTCAATGATTACTACTCAACCAAATAATATCCAATGTTTGTATCACAAAAAATTGGCATCATTGTCAACATTCATTGTAAGTACATTATGATCTTAGGACTTTCAATTTATATTTTTTATTACGTACCAACATGAATGTAACTCAAAATAGTTTTTCAAGTTTTTAATTGTATTTTTGCGTTTAATATTATTATTTTTTGTTTTAACAATTTTGTCTATATGAAATTTAGTGAGTTTTCATAATTTTTTTGAGAAAGAGAAAGATTGGTAAGCTAAATTTCTTTCACCAAATCTTCTCATTTTGGCACATGCGCTGACTTGGCAGAATTCACTGTTCAACGAGCTTTTATATTTGCTTTCGTCAGTGTATAACTATATCTCTAGTCTCCATGACTGAAACAGAACTGTTTTCAAAAAGACATGATGTCAATTTTTTGACTAGTTCCACAATGTACAGTGTTCTAGTGATATGATATTTTTATAGCCAAAAAATTAAAGAAAAAGTAAATAAGAGTTAATAATAAATTTTGAAGACAGTAGTATTTATTTTGCTCATTTTATTTCGACTTATCAAATACGCCAATTGTGAAATTTAATGGATTTCGCTTATAATATGTACTTAATGCTATTTAGGTTAAACACTGAATATGTCATGAATTTAATATTTCAATATTAATTACCAACAAATTAGCTTGATAATAGTTGACTTTTTATTTTTATATGTCTACAGTTAAAAGTTTTTTTTGATTGAATAAGTGTATGCTAACAACTTGTTGAAAATGTAAAAGTAATAATTTTTTCTATAAACCAGTTATTTTTTTATAGCAAATTTATATTAAAAAACTATTTCTTATTCTTCTTAAAACTGTTTTTTAACCATTCAATATGTCTTTTATCAATATTTCAATATTTATTTAAGTGTCTAAATATTTCTTCAATTTAGCTTACTGTGGATCCAAAGTTAATTTTATGGAGACTGTTAATTGAGGTAAGTTATTCTAAAAACATTAACATCATTGAACAGTTAAATAAAAATTTTGCTTCTATAAATTTGGTCAAAAATATTGCGATAATATCATCATGCTATGTTTGAATGATAGCATATGGCTACGAAAGAAATATAGATAACTGTCGTAAAGGTAAATGGTTATTAAAAAATAATCGTTTCTACAAAAAAATGTTGGTCATAAAATTAAAAGCAAAATTACACAAGAAAAATGATTATGAGTAAATGTAAAATAATAAATAATTTTTTCAATATTCAATAGTGATTCATTATTCAACAATAAAGTTAATTGTTGAACTTCATCATTAATTTAAGACTTGAATTCTAATTTACATTTAGTAAATTTATTGTTGAAGGAAAAAAAATATATTTACTGAAAAAGTTAAAAAATGTTTCCAGATAATGACATGTTCTCAATCTTATTGGAGAAAAAATTTGAAAAATAGGATGAGACTTTTACCTAGTTGTTTTATTTAATGCTGATATGCTGTAGCTTCTAGTATCGTTTGCTAATATAATAATTTTTTTTATTTTTAGAAACATAAATATACTTCAAGGATATTTCCAAATGGGTACCACATTGAGCCGATACGACGATCTATCAAAAAATCCTTATCTAGAAAAATTATGTAGTAAAGAATATATTGATCCAAAAGATATATTCTGGAGTAAATTTTTATCATTCAATATTCGGCCACCTGTTACAAGAAATGATCAAATCGAACTTTTCTCAAGATTGGATACAAGCTGTCAACAGTTACTTGATAATAACTTGAGTACTGGAAATTTTGGTTCATTGGTCGATGTAGCTTTATCGAGAATTGAGGAATTAGTAACTCCATTACAAACTCAACAGTAATTATTGAATCAATTATTTTTGATCAAGAAAATGATTGTCATTAAAATTTATTCAAATAATTTACTCCAAATTTGTTTTCAGTTTAATGTCTGCATGGCAAGCCTACAATTCTCTGTTTGCAATAAGATGTATTCTTCAATATTTAATGGAAACAGTTGGCGAGCAAGTAATGATACAGTACATAGAGGCTGCACCTAATTTGTCTGAAAATCAGACACCATGGACGAGACTGGAACTTCTTATTGAATCATTATGTCGAATAATTACTGACTTACCTTTATGGTATAACAATTTTAAAGATAAACATTTCACAAATCGATCAATATTTTACAAGTTATATTAATACTTGAAAATTCTTTTACAGCGATTTCACTTACATTGTACATTTAGAAGCAATATATTGTTTACTGGTCCTTCTCTCAGTGCAATTATTCTCACAAACATCAGCAGACTATAGCCCAATATACGGAATATTTATGCGTTGTCAACCGGTGACATTACACGCTCCGATGCTTATATGTTCTTTACTACATAATTTTACTCAACAGCAACATGCTCCTTCAGGTTTACTTACAAAAGAAGCTGGTGGTAGTTTAGTATTTAGTCTAGCAGGTGAGTAATAGTTGATATAATTAATTTAGATCAATAAATATTTTGAAAAAAATGAAACAAAAAGATTCGTGAGGCAAAATTAATTTTGCAATACTCTGAAAGTTTAAGAAACAGGTGGTAATGAATGAAAATGTCATCTTATTAATTAAAAAACTAGTATCTATCAATTAGAACAAAATTAAATAAAAAATAAATTTATAAATTAAACTTTAATCTTAAAATTTTTTTACAGCTGGTTTATGGAATGTAATTACAAGGGGAATGGGTAATAGTTTTAAGACTATTCACGTCACAAATAATGGTTTAACTAATGAAGAAGAAAAAAAACGTGACACTGAAACTCCTTTAGCTAGTCAATCACTTTTATTATTATTAGTATTAACTAATCACTGTACTTCGGTTCATAACCCATACAGAGATGCGCTTTTTAGTTTTACTAACATTCACGACGATCATACCAACGTTGCTGATAAATCTAGTACTCCATTCCGATTTAATTTAAATAAAATGTATCATACGATTTGTAAACTATCAAAAAAAGATGAAGTTACTCTGTTATTATACATGCTGTTACATCGAAATCCTAATGTAAAAGAGCATATCATTAGTCGTGCGGACATTCAATTGCTAGTAAGTTTATTAAATTATTATCAAGATTTCATGTAAATATTGTAACTACAATTACATCCATTTTTCAGGTATTGCCGATTCTACAAATTTTGTATCACGCTCCAGATAATACATCACATCACATATATATGTCACTCATAATACTTTTAATGTTAAGCGAAGATGAGTCGTTCAATAAAAAAATACACCAAATCGTAAGTTAAGAATATTTAAATTTCTTTAAAGACAAGGATATTGTATAAGGCTTTATTGATCTCAACTTTGTTTTAGATGTTGAAAGGAATCACTTGGTATACTGAACGATGCATAAGTGAAATTTCTCTTGGAGGACTTTTAATTCTTGTTGTAATTCGAACAATACAATATAACATGTTAAAAATAAGAGTTAGTGTTGATTGTTTTTATAAATAATTATATTTCTAATTAAAAAAATTCTATTTGTGAAATAATTAACAAAGTTATTTAATTTCAGGATAAATATTTACATACAAACTGTTTAGCTGCTTTAGCTAATATGTCAGCTCAATTTCATGCTCTTCATCCTTATGTCAGTCAAAGACTAGTAAGTCTATTTGAAACTTTAGCCAAGAAGCATGCTAGATGTGAGATGAGAATACAAATACAACCTCATGTTAATAACACACAAGAAGTAGCTATAAAAGTACAAGAAGATATGAGTCATGCAGATTTAATACAAGATTTAACAATACTCCAAGAAGTATTGCGAATGATTTTGGAAATAATTAATAGCTGCTTAACGCATCAACTCGCGCATAATCCTAATTTAATTTACACACTTTTGTATAAAAAAGATATTTTCTTACCATTTAGAGATCATTCTGCATTTCAAGATATTATTCAGAATATTTATGCGCTTATTAATTTTTTTTCATATAAACTTGAGCAGAATGATCAATCACAAATAGGTGTAAGCGAAGTATTAGAGACTATTCAACAAGGTACAATGCAATGGCCGAAAGACCGATTACGAAAATTTCCTGAACTTAAATTCCGATACGTTGAAGAGGAACAACCAGAAGAGTTCTTTATTCCGTATTTATGGAGTATTGTTTATCAGACGGCTTTACTTTATTGGAATATTGAGAATATTAAAATTTTTTCGCTTAACAGTGAAGAGAAAACAACTGTAATAACTTGCTAATAACCAACAGATAGATGATAATTATTTTTTTCCAAATTTATGTGCGATATTGACAAATAACCTCAGATCAATTTTAATATATTGTGGATACGATATTGAAAAGGATCGTTTATAATCAGTTAGATATAAAAATTTTCATACTTAAACAAAAAAAAAGTGTTAACTATTTAGTATTATGTATATTTGTAATTAATAAATTTGTAATTATTATATACGCAACAACAAAATTAAAGAAAAAATAATTGGCTATAGAAAATTGTTGATTTCTAATATATAATAATGTATAGTGTCTTCTTCTCTTTAAATTATTGTAAGTTATTTTTATTATAATGTGAAATATTGAAATAATCCGTGATAAGTTTCTAAAAAATGTATATGAATTTTTAAACATATACGTTTTACAAATATGTATAAAACATATTGTAAATAGGAATGTTGAATCATATTTGAATTTTTTTACTCCCAACGTTGACTCCAAAAAATTTTTTTTTATTGGTATCTAGTGAAAAAGTAGATTTATAAAAAAGTAAGCAAACCAATAGATGAATGTAATCAAAGAATGACGAATAAACACATTTTTATTAATAAAAATAAAAGCTTCATATGGGAATAAAAAAAGAATTAGCTTCTGTTTAATATAAAATTTTTTTTCGGTAGATGGTTTATCTACTGGTCTGCGTACTATACTTTTAATAATAATTGTAATAAAATAAAAGTGTACGAAAATTTTGGATGCATGAAAAGAACTAATAAAAGCAATAATTATATTAAACATTATAATAGGGATATTTTTTTTAGAAAAACATACTATTTAATAATATTTGTAAAATCTTTTATTTATTTAAATCTCTCACTACGATATTTTTATCTTATAATATATATATATATACATCTATTTTTATATTAAACTATAAATGAAAATATACAAAACGTATTTTTGTAAGATTAAAAAATCTTAAAATCGTTTTATATGTCACATAAACGATTCAAAAGATTAGCAACAGCTTCATTAACAAATGATTTTTCTGGCTCTTTGTCAATATATATATTAAATTTATCCATATATATATATTTATGGGCATGTCGTACTCAATCCTTGTTCTACGACAATGTTTTTATCTTCATCTTGAATACCATGTGTATTACTGTCTTTTTGTTCAGGGAGTGAAATATTACAATCGTCGTCAACTCCACTTGCAGATGGCCATGAGCCTTCTAAAGGTTCCAAACCGATAATCGTACGTACATTGTTTGGTAATTCAGGTGCTACTGCTATCAATTGTTCATAAATACTTTCAGCTTTTGACAATGTTTCAGATAAATCAATGTGTAAAGATAAATCGTTGATGTGCTAAAAAAATAATTGAAATAATTGTTAGTTTATGTTCATTTTTGTACTTTTTATAAAATTAAAATTATAAATCTTACTTTTAAAATTTCAGTGAAACCATATCGATTCTCAATCAAAGCACTTTTTTCGGTGTCTAAAATTGCTGCACACAACAATAAATGAAAATTCTTACACGGTAAATCTGTCCATAAAATCTCCCATAATTTCATTATATCAACGGTATTAAATTCCCGTTTGAATAATACAAGAAGCCAACGAAAACAGAAAAACATATTTCCTGAATCATTTTTATCTAAATACTGTGCTAACTGAGGCTCAACAATTTGTAATAACATATGAAGTTGACATAACTGGGTTTTCATTCCAGCTTGATCCATTTCGAAATTTGAACTCTATGCAAAATAAATAATTAATACTTAATTATTGATGAAAGAAAAAACATCATTATCAATTAATGAATAAATTTTAAATATACATACAACTTTTTTCATGAACCCAACGAAGCACCAAAATGCATCAACTTCGTTATCCATCAAACATAAAATAGGACTAAGTAAATCACTCATACCTTGAACATAGCCTAAATCAAAATTATACATAACATAAGTCATGAGAATTTCATATAATTGTACAAGATGAGCATTATTATCTCCTGAATAATAGGGATGATTTCTGTCTGTTCGATTGACATCTTTTCCTAAAATTAAAATGTAAAAATTACTATAAGTATTTACAAGATTCTTATTTTTATTAGAAATTATATTTACAAATATTAAGATTACAATTACCAATAAGACTCTTTCGATCGCGATAATCTGAAAAATTGTTTTCTTGTTCAGAAGACATTGATCTCCATTGTAATTTCATTTTATAATATTCATCTGTTTTAGCTCTTTTTAGTTCAATTCTTTCTATGCGTGTAGAATCCCATGGATAATAACCCAAAAGAAATTTCCATACCTCATATCGTAATGATGGAACAATGCCCTAGAATGAAATATTTTCTATGTAAATAATGAGCATAAATAAGTAAAACTTTATAAAAAACAACTGAATTCAATTGATTTTTAATGTTAAAAAACATAACGAACCCCGCGGAAAATCACTTTTCGTACAAGTTCTGGATTAATTATTCTTCCTGATGGATCTTTGTAGTCATCCCACTGTTCTTGGCTGAGAGGAACACCTCGTGGGCATAGTTTTTTTGGAGGGAGAATAATTTTTTGTCGTGTTTGTCCAATAATGTCATACTCATATTCTTCTTCAGATACGCAAGAAGCAAGTGGTGGTGAAATTTCTACTGTTAATGAACGATTCAAAAGATCAGCAACAGCTTCTTCAACAGGTTGTTTTGCTGGCTCTTTATATACTGTAAAATAGACAAATCATGATTTTATGTTTTATCATCAATTACATAAATATTAATCAAACTTACACCAAATATCAGCAAGTTTACTGAATGCTTCCAGTGTCGTTTCATATGGTCTGTTATGCAAATTTTTCACAAACTTCCATACATAATCTGAAGTATTTTCTTGAAATAAATCTAATTCAGCGAATGATTTATTCATAGCAGCAGAGAATGTTTCAAGAACAAGATATAAATTTTTGTCTGTTTTTGATTTGACAAATGTGATAAAACTCTTTAATGAATTAATAAAACTTTCAGCATTTGATAATTGAAAAAACGCAACGTATGTAGTTCCATCCCTTAACATGAATATTAATTGTTGACCACCGTGATTTATGCGAAATGACTTTAAATCTGAGAATAATATACGAACTACTCTTGTTTGACATAAAAATTCAGAACTCTCTGTTCTTGTATTCCTTGTGTGCGATTCAACAACAGACCATTCTGGATCTTGATCAGGATTTTCTGATACAACTGATACTTCTTGTGGCTTCCATTCAATACATTTTCCAAAACTCTATAAAATCGTAAAATATCATGTATAAAAATAACTTTTTTCAGTTTAAATAAGATTATTCGATTGATTTCTTACATATTCGACGATATTAAGACTGCCTGAGCTATGTATTTCATCTTCTTTGATATTTGTTCCCCTTAAAACTACACCAGCATGGATACAAAGTTCCTGTAAATGTCATTAATTAATCAATAACATAACACGTATCGGATAATAGAATAATTATAAGTATGGATTAATCAAGTACCATGATTTCATTTAAGTTATCTGAGTAATTAATCTTTGATCACTAACTCTTTACTTGACTGCTCCAAAAAAATTCTCAAAGTTGATAATCATTTGACAACAAATTGAAGGTTAAGTTATCCACCAACTTTTTATTTTATGAACAATTCAAGAAATAAAGTCAAACTTTTTATTGACATTAAAATGATGATTTATTTTAAATAATTTATTGTGTACTGATCAATTCCTAAAATATGTCATTGCGTATATATCAATATTTTATCTTTATACTGATATGATAACCTTCATGTCTAATGATTGAGCCATACTCATAGCCAAGTTTAAAAGTTCTATTTAATATTAACATGAATTATCTATTTATTTAGATTTAAAATACTATTAATGATAGAAAATCAATCTATCAATATATTTTATTATAAAAGCCATTATTGTCATTATAATTATTTACTTTCAGCCTCTTATTTCTCAGATACTAAATTGGAGTCTAAAATATAAAAAATAGTTCAATGGAAGATAAAAAGGAAACATTTTGTTAAATCAATTGCTTCAATTCCATAAATATAAGTATTTCCGTATCATATTGTCTAAATGTAATTGTAACATTGTTATATTATTTAAAAATGTATGATGACTTTTCAAGTTAATGCAGTTGACATTTGTAAAAATTTCTTACCTTGCTTTTTTCAACAGGTTCAAACATTTTAAAAGTTTTTCAGCTAATATTTATTAATAATGAATAATATTAAATTTGATAGATGCGTAAACAGCATTAATCATACTCTTATTCACTTTTATTTACTTCTCAAAAAAGGTAATCAAAGGAACTATAGTCAAGTTAATTAAAACGACATAAAATATATATTAATCATAGTTCATTACAGAAGAATTGAACGTCAAAATACATCAGAATCTTACGAACATTGTTTATTTGAGAAATTCTATATACACACGTATACGTAAGAGAATTCTCAACAAAGAATAAAGAAATATATGGATAGAAGGAGAAAGCTACTTCTGAGCTTCTAGGTAAGACAGTGTATTCTTTGATAACAATAATTTCAAGGATGTGCCCAACTGATTTGTCGGTATTATATCGTTAATCAACATGTTGAGAGTTTTTTACTGGTCACTAGATGGAAATAGTATATCTTTCTTTGTCAGCTGTGATTTTTATTTATAAATTTGATATCAAATAATAACAATATAATCTGCTCGAAACTTCATTGTAAATGACATTTTTAATTTAATATTCTACTTAAAAACTTCTTTTTTGTTAGTCATTTGTCATTTTTATTATTAGATGCTGTCCAATTAAAAAAACAAAACTACAAAGGATGATTCTTTATCATCGTCTTTCATTACTCGATGCAATGAAATTAATATTTTACTCAACGTAAAATACTTCTTCAAAACTAATATATAATTAATTAATTGAAATATACAATTTTTAAGGTAATTATTTACACGAATAATAAAAAAAATTAGTTTTTAATGCATGATTTTCTATTGAGAGATATATTTAGAAGAAGTAAATTAAGTTAATAAGTAATTTTGTCCATGTCTACACATTGTTTGTGGAGGCATATTTTATTTTCTCCACAAGAGGTACCATCTGAAACGCCTGCATAAACATACGATTCGCCGTTAGCATTCAAACATGTCAATGACACACATATATTTTCATGCTTGTTAGTTGCATGTAAATTTCCTAAATATTTGCATTGTGTATCAACGTCTGTTATTTTTCCGGGCAAAAATCTCGATATCCTTTTTCCGAATTTGGGTCTATTAAAGAGGCACTCAGATTGTTGAGAGCTAGAATAACAAATTTATCATCATCATTTGAAAATATATAGGTAAATTATAATACAAATACATACTTGAGGAAGTTTTCAATGTCGTGAATAGAGCAGTACGACCAGTCTGATGAATTGGCATTTACTGTAAGAATTGGAGCCATTATAAGTCCATTTTCTTCATTACATTTTTGGTTCACAGTACCATCATGTTTAGCACCGAGTCTAAAAAAATTGGTCATTATTAAGTTGGATAAAAAGGAGAATCAGCCCATATAAGGTATTGTTGGTTCAATGTGAAGTTATCATTCAATTATGTGTTAAAATTAGAGAATCATCGAGATGACAATTAATGCTAATCCAGTCTTGAAAAATGATTGAATTATTGAAGTGGAATACTGGGTTTTCAAAACTTAAAAGCTACTTACAAATGTCCAAGTTCGTGAGCAGCTGCATGAACGTTAGCACAACCACCTTCATCGTGAATTAGAGCTGATTTAAAAATTGTAAGTGTATAACCAGTTGAAGTATATTCTAGTTCAGGCAAAGCACAAGCACCGTTTGTGTACGTCATACCAACAGTTTTTATTGTTCCGTTATTATTTTTAGCAATGAAATCCGTCCTTTAAAACAAATATGATATTAACGGATATTGATTATATTCTTCTTTAAAATAATTAAAAAGAAACACTTGTTTCGGATTGGTAATAGCTTATTTAGCTATTTTTAATTCTCGAAAATAATTTTTCTATAAATTTAAAAACAAAATACTCACGATGATAATGTTATAAGTGCATCAAAGTTAATTTTTCCACTCAATACTTCTTCTAGTTTTCTTATCAAGAGTGCACTGTGATACAATGCTTTGTCCGCTAATAAACCATAAGGATTTTGTTGAATAAATTGCATATGTGAAAGTGATTCTGGTCCCTAGAATAAAGCAACAAACATATTGTACATTATAATTAATATACCTCAACTTTTACACTCATTATTTTCATATTATCAATGCTTACTTCAGCAATAATAATTCCAGCAATATTTAACCTGATTTTAGGATTTTGAAAAGTCCGATATCTAAAATCAACACTATTCCAGAATGCTAAAATGTATTTTACAATATCGTAATGTTGACGATTGAATTTTTCAAATAGTGAATAATCTACTACTATCAGCAGTTCTGGAAAAATTACATCAGGAATAGATCTCTTGGATCTCCCAGTTTTGAATGATGCTGTTGAATAATATTTTTCATGAACCAACTGAATGATTTATAATTATAGAAATGAATCAATTAAAATAAAAAATTCTTACGAGGCTGAAGTGTTTTTAGATGATCTGGTACTTCTGGTAGTCTTGAAACAATATGATAGGTATAATTACCACGTTCAAACTCTGGTATTTTATCAACAAATCTCTTATATTTTTTATGATGGATTCCATTTGAAATTGGCCGAATGGTAAGACGTTTTCCACCAATTACTCCCTCCTAAATTACATTTCAAAATAATTTTGTGTTTTGTAAAAATCTTGTTCTTAATAATAAGACCATAGGTAAGTAGCTAGTTACCAATTTATAGTTTCCATTAGGAAGTTTAGTTATGATCATCGTAGCTGCCTCTTTAGCATCTTCATATAAAACGTTAATAATGTCGTTCATGGTCTTCAAAAATGAAATTTTTAATTTAGTTATTAATAATCAAATTAAGAAAAACTCTATTTTTTTTTATTTTAAATTCATTTACTTACCCCATCGTATTTACCAAACAAACCATTAGGTCTAATATAATAAATTGGTGTTATATCTGTTGCCAACATTCCATCATGGGGTTCTAGCCATAATTTAATATGTTCTCCAAAAGCTTCAAGTGAAAAATGAATTCCTCTACCAGTATCTCTTTTTTGTATTCTTGATCGATGAATTGGTATAATTTCATATTCTGAATCTATATTTACAAGTCGTATTATTTATTGGAAATCAGTTTTTTAGTAAGATTTATATGCACGCTTACCTTCTGCATCAATCACTAATGGTTCTTCTAGCATAAAATCATCACTGATCTACAAGATTTTATAAGTTATAAATTATTTAATTATAAAAAAGAATTATGATTAAAAATAATTTTTATTACCGATTTTGAAACTGCACAACTGATGAAACTGAGTAGAATAAATCTCCCAAGTATTATTGTATTCAATACTAAACAATAAATAATAAATATACTTCAATTTGAAAAAAATAATTATCTTTAATATTTTATCTAAATACCTTTCATGTTGAAAAATTGTCTTTACTTGATGACAATTGCAATAGTTGTGCCACGAAGATGATTAGAAAACGTGAAATAAAATTTGAGTTACAAGGCATTTATAAATTGAATGAAGTCCCTGATACACAATTGATGGATTATTAATTTATACAAATAAATTTAACAATAAAATATTTAAGAAAAGAAATTTTATTGACTTGATTTGTAGCCTTAACAGTCTATCTATTTATATAACTTGATTAATTATAATATTAGAGCTTTATGTTGCTCAATATCAATACAAAGTATGGAGAAAGACTGGGCTATGTTGAGTTACATGTAAGTTATAATATATGAATTCATAAATAATTTCATTTTGAATATTAATCTCATATATTATTGTAAGTTATATAAAATAAATTGTGTTGTCTTTTTCAATTTTCATAGGGTAAACATGATTCATATGGTTTTGAAGTTTATAAATCCTTCTTTTGAATTAACATCGACGTCTGATGATCATCAACAATTGGAATATATCAAATAATTGAATGATTAATTTTCTGTTGGTTGGAAAATTGAAATGATGATACATTTGTCGGAGTCCACTGTTTGAACTCTTGGATCCTGAAAAGTAGTGGAAGTTGGATATGGACAGACATGGAAGGCTTTCAGTCACACCTAAAGTATTGATGACATCTAACTTCGTCAAATACAGTGTACCGAAGTTTTCAATCTCTTCAGAATGCACAATCAGAGGCAGATAGATGGGAAAATTTAATTATTTTTAAGGACTGTAGCGGAAAGAAACAAGAATAAAAAGTGGAATGACAATTCAGGTGAGATCATGGATAATAATCATACAATTATTTTATAATGTCTTGGACGGTTGAAAAGAATTAACTTCTAGCAGTTGAACTTGGTCTCATAGTTTGAAACTAATTTGAATAGCTTTTCTGAGAGAAAGTGTTTGATTAACTTGATGTTATAAGATAATTTAGGGTTACACAATCGCTGTGAAAAAGCAAAGTTTAAGTGCTTTGACAAAGCTATCATTGAATGACGATCTCCATTGCAAGAATAATTGATTTTAACAATCATTCCAATCTGTATTATAATATTTGTCATAGAAATATTTTTTAGTAATGTAACGGAAATGTAATAAATAAATCAAACATTTTGTCATGGCATACAGTATGTCTCATTTTGCATTTTACTCTTCTCAAATCAACGTAAGCTTGAGAAACTGGTAATACGATAACATACTAAAAGTACCGGTGCATAGATACTTTACGAACAATGCATGTTTTCCTTGGAGCAGAATGCAGTTGAAATTCAAATAAATTTTTATTAATATGATTCTGGTAAACCAATAATTCAATTACGATATCATATAGTCATGGCTATTGCTTGTTACAATAAATACTGATTTTAATAATCATTCCAATCTGTATTATAATATTTGTCATAGAAATATTTTTTAGTAATGTAACGGAAATGTATATTTCTCATATTCTATAGAAAAGTGAACATGAAGATTCGGGTTTAACACGTGTTAAACATAAACTAGTACTAGTTCAAACAAATGGTTTGTGTTTGTTTTTGAGTAAATATTGCATTAATGTTGGATGTTATTAGAACTCACATTTTCTCTGTGATTGTTGCACAACCAAATTAAATTTCATTTAAAAATGAATATCCAAGGTTGATAAAATATTTAACAGAAACCGGTAGTTTGGATGATTAACTATGAATGCGATTTCATAAAAAAAGTCAATAAAAAAGATCACTTCCTCATAGATTAGGTATTTTATCGATAATTAAGTTAAATTAACTGTAAATAAGTCAATAAAACTGATATCATTCTCACCAATTATTCCAATTTTATTTGAATTTTTACAATTGATCAAAGCCAAATTAGCAGTACCTCCAAGTTAGACTATGTGCATTCCAATGACAAAATATGTTTATTTGTGTGGTTGTAAATTTATCTATTTGTTGACTCGTGAATTAATTTTATCTTTTAATTTTTCCTATGATAAAGCCCTAATTTGAATAAAAGTCGATCATACTCAATATAAATACATGCTTCTTCTCAAGACGATCCATCATTGTTTCTTGATCTGTTGAGGAGAAACTTGTATTTGTGATAAAATGTTGGGTGAGTTGAACAACAATTACTGAAAATACTTGTTTCGATGATAATTTATTATTAGAATTTGTTTCAGGAATTCTTCAAGCTAAACTAGCGGTAGTCCTAGTATTGCTGAAACTGGTCTTTGCTGTAGATAATATAGACAAGGTCCAAGTGAGTACAATAATTCATTTACAGCAATTTAACAAGTCAGAATATCATGATACATTTAGAGAAATTTTCTTTTGATTATCTCATTTTTGAAATATCATTCATCGTTCAACTCTGACTGATACAATAATTAATTCAAAATTTTATTCAGTATTTCAAATCCTTGACGCCCCAAGAACGCCAAGAGATATTCAATACAGATGATGTAGACCATGGTGGGTATATTAAACGAAACAATCAATCGAAACCTTCTTATGAAATATTAATCATTTTGAATCCATTTACAGTTCCGGAATTCGAAATCATAGACGTCGAATGGCCAAAAGTACATAAAAGATCATTCGATGAATCCATTCCTATCATTGTACCACTTGCACAAGGAAATGTCAACTTGAATTTAAAAGTAGCTGCTCCTCTTATTGGTCCAAATACGCCTGTCTACACCTTCCGTACAAGAAACGGACGGATTTATGCAGAAAAAAACACTGTACGTATTGAAAAATACATTTTGAAAAAGAAACATTGTACATTGCTTTAAACTACGGCGATTCCTTGGTAAAAAAATTTTGTTTTCCAAAAGTTCACTGAATGATCTCAATTAAAGAAGTTCCTCATGTTCTTCTTGAGGGACTAAGGAGTACTTTCAGGAAATATTAAGGGAATCTTAATTTTTTTTCTGTGTTGGATTTATCTACCGAACTTCTACTGAACACCTTCTTGAAAAGTCAATCTGCTCTTTCAAGAACTTATCAGTAAATTGCATTCATCGTTATTTATGAAACTGTCAAACATAATAAGAATAATGTGACTTTTTATTTAATTATTCGTCTTATTCTTCGTTCTTTTTAATGAATCTTCTAAAATGTTAATCCAAAAATAATCTATTTTTTAGCCATTCAAAGATTATACATTAAATATTTACGAAGATGAGGATCAACAAGCATCCATGGTGGTCAACGTTGATGCTGATGGGAACAAATACATCCATGTAATACACTAGATTTTTTTTTTTATAAATGATAGATATAATTAAAAGAATTGTCGATAGAAGATTTAATCCCATTTCTCTTTTCCTATAGTCTGGTATCATTGAATCACACAATATCTCTATTCATCGAGCACCAAATCCTCAAAACACTAGACACCGAACTTCTTACATCGTCAGACTTATAGATTTACTCCTTTTTGGTGGTCAACCACGTATGTATTAATTACTTATTGTATTCTTTATAACTGGTAATTCACTGTCATGGATCTAAGTTACAGCGAAAATAATATTTGTTCTTTTTTTTTTACAGCTATCAGAAATCCAGACAACGTACAAACCGACTCACCAGTAATAGTACCTGCTGTCATTTACCCAGAAATCTTAGTGATAGTTGACTCAACAATATATGACAAATATGATCATAATTTTGATATATTCAAAAATTACATTCTGAATTTTTGGACTGCTGTTAATCAAAAGTATAAACCCTTGTCTGGACCAAAATACAAACTCAGCATCGCCGGTATTGCTGTTGCTGAAGTAAGTATATCATAAGCATAGACAATTGGAAATTATTGACTAGATCCATCTATAAAGCATGTCTAATGTGCTCATCAGAAGTATGTTTCTTGATCAATTGGGTTGGGTTGGATATATTGACAGAATTAGACTTATTGAAATTAATTGTCAATAATTAATACTAAATTATTCATGCTTTCCAGGACCGTAATGCATTTCAATTTATGAGTTTACATTCGTCTTATACCAATGTAAACTTCGATAATGCATTAAATACCTTGGGAGCATGGTTGTACAACAACGACAACATCATTCCTATAGAAAGTTATGATGTTGCTATGGTTCATACATTGTAAGTATTTTTTATCATAAAGATAAAATTATTCTTAAGTCAATTTATGAAACGTCTAAGATCCAAACATACTAATTTCAATTACTTGTCTTCTCAGATTGAGTTCATCCAGTTCTATATTCGATTTCGTCACAAACCGTAATACAGTTGGCTTAGCAAATTTGGCGAGCGCATGTCAAGTAAATAATAGACAAGGTGTAATGAAGAAGTCAATTATATTTGATGATAATAATTATGGATCTATTTATACTGCAGCTCATGAATTAGGACATATGTAAGTACATTGATCGACTTCAATTGCTTCGATAGATTTGCTATCAATTAGTGATAATATTTGGATATATTGATTTACTATTATCTTTTAATTTAAAGGCTCGGTAGTAACCATGATGACAACGTGGGATGCGGCTCACAATTCATAATGTCATCTGTTGGCCGTCAAGATGCGCATTTGAGAAGGTTAACATGGTCTCAATGTTCAATAAATGGCTTTCGTCAATTTTTGAGGTAATTTGTTGTTAAAAATATCAATATTCTTGATACGAATCATTAGATTTTTTTATATGAAAAAACAATGAAATATTAATCTTTTTCATTATTAATCCAGAACCAATCCTACATGTTTATTCAATGTTCCTGAATCATATCAGAAGATGATGCAAGCAACAACAACACCGAGACCTGAAGTTTATATTGATAATATTTATAATCCAGTTGATACTGCTTCTATTACTCCAAAGAGAGGCTTTTTTGATGACGCCAGTAATGTAATTGCAAATAATCGAAGGGGTAGAAGCAGACCTATTATCCCAGTGGATAGATTTAATCAATTTATTCCTCAAACAAATTCCAAATATTCGGATCTAGCACGCATCGAATCTCAACATGGCTCCCTGAGTTCTAATTTCGAGGAATTTACTATCGATTTACAGAACGTGTCACCCGACCAAATCATATACGGACAGATTGTGAACAAATCAGATTTATTCATATTCATCCTAAACAAACCAACACAAAATATTCCTGCTACATCATTGTATGGTCAACAAAATTACAATGGTTTATTAGCAGGGAATAATAATGGAGTTGCTTCTCCTTTGAATAATAATTATGGAGTGGGTACAGGTAATCCTAGGATCTCGGTAAGCAGACAACCGATAGCAGCGAACTCATTTCCAGAACGTGTACCAACCACTTATAATAATCCAAAGATAAGAAATAACAATGGAGCAGCAGAAACTGGATTCATTTGGATAAATTGAATTGTTTCAAGAAAAAATATTCCATTAGTGAATGAAATTAAAATATGAAAAGTAATTAAAAAACATGAGAGATATTTAATTAAATTATAAATAAAGATTTATAACAGAAAAATTATTTAAAAGGTAAAAATGTATATTTATAATAACGTTGTACCTTAATAAATAAAATAAAAAAGAATCTTAAGTAATTGTGAAAATTCTTTAAGAGCATTTCGATAGAAGTTCTCTTTTCTAATGACGTTGGTTCTCATGTCTTTGGCTTAAGTACTTGCAGTTTATTACTTCTTTTTACGTGTTTTTTCTACTCTTTTTAAAACTTGCCTTTTATGTTTCTCTTTTCCTGCTGATTGTATTATATAAATCTTTCATATGCCTTGAAGGAGGACTTTTATTGGACTACTTTAAAACACATTGTGATAGGGTCGTTTTTTAAGATTTGTAATTTTATCATACACGATGATCATGTCAAGAAAATAAATTTGTGTTGTCGTATTGAATGTCAGCAGATACAACTATTGTTTAAGTAATAAACTTATAAAATAGAACACTCATAAGGGATGTTTAAAAACTCAATCTCTATTCACCATGCTTGGTGTGCTGATGATGAATAGAGCCAGTTTTACAACATGACAAAACTTTAGTAATAAATAATTATATGGTTAACAGAATAAAAAATACATTTG